TCATTTTTCCTTCTATATTCCAATCCATGTCTTATAATAATCTTTATTTATTTAAAGAAAAATTAGATTCCTCCAAAAAGACACTTATTTCTTCTTCTTCAGAATCTCTTACATCTATTATATCAAAATTCCATAATTAATTTATTTAATCTATAAAATTTTCCATTTTTATTTATTAGATAATTTCATTATAATTTAATAATGGGTTTTCCTATTCTTTTTTTTTTTTTTGATAATATTAAATATTTTTAAAATTAAAGATCCCAATATTATTATTATTATATTAATTAATCTTTTCTTTAGGATTTATGATTATTTCTTGGATTTTTTATATTAATTTTTATAATATCCCATTTCCTAATAATTATAATATTTAATCTTATTTAAATCTTTCTTAGATTTCTTATCATTTTTAACTATATTAAAGCTTTCAATCTTAATTAATTCCCTTTTTCCCTAATTTTTCATTATTTTAAAACCTTTTTTCTTCTTATTATATCTTTTATATAACCTATTATTATAAAGAATTACCCTGATTATATATTTATTAATGATAATAGGTTATTCCTCTTTAAAAAATTTATCCTTTATTTAAATAACCATTTCCTTATAGAAATAATCAAATTATATATCTTTAAATAATTACTTTATAACTATAAATCACTTAAATTCTGTCATATAAAATATAATTTATCCCTTTTATCTAAGATAATAAATGACCTTCTATATTTCCTCCTTTTTAAATAATTTATTAAATATTATTTATATCTTATTTTCAAAATGTTCATATAATTTAAAGATATATTAAAACTCCTTTAATTCTTCTTTAATAATATTAAAATGATTTTCTAAAATAGATTAAAACTATATAAAGATTATTCCATTTAAGAATTAAATAATAATGAATATTTATTATTTTTCCTATAATAAATTTTCCTTATAAAAAAATAAATAAAGTTCTATATATATAAATTAATCTTTAATATCTAAAATTTCATCATAGGTTAATAGATCTTTTAATTTATATCCTTTAATAAATGGAAAAAGGATTATCATTTTTTCCCTTCTTGGTTAAGGTCTTTTACCTCTCTTTTCTTTCTTATCTTCTTCCTCCTTGTCGTTACCATCATCTGGAGGTTCAGAAGGTGCTAAAAGTTGGGAAAGGGTTGATTACTAAGAGATTCCCAATGGAAATCCCTTAAAAACCTTCCTTAATCTAGCCTCTTTCAAAGTCAATTCCTTTTTAAGCCTCTTAACCTCTTTAAAGATAACCATTATTTTAATTTATTAATTAGGAGTCTCTTCTTCTTCCTGGTTATCTTCTCCTATTCTAACATTAATTTCCTCCTATATTTCTGATTCTAGGATTTACAAGTATGTTTTAAGAAATATTATTTTATTAATAAATTAAAATATTTTCTTTATTGATAATAAATCTTAAATAATATAAATAAATATAGGTATTCTAGGTAATAATAGATTAAACTATTATAAATCACCTAGATCTTCATTCTGGAATTCTTCTTTATCTAACTTTTCTTTATTTTCTAGGTTAGGATCTACTAATTTATTCCATATCCAATCATAATATTCCTTAAAAGATAATTCCTAAAAGATATAAAAATTTTCTATTTTATTTTCAAAGATTAATAAAATAAAAAAAGATTTAATTAATAATAATAAAGAAATATCTTGTAAATAATTTATATTATTTCTTAATTTAATATTAATATTAATTAAAGAATTATCAAAATATAATGAACCTATGCCTTAAAAAGGTATAATTATTACTAGATTAGTTAATTTAAGGTTTTCTTAATTTAAAGATATTAATATTAATAATAGATTAAATGGTTAAGTATATTCTGTTTATTAGAGAAGTTTAAAATCCTCTTATTATACCTAAAAGAATAGTCTTAAATTAATAATTAAAGAATCATAAAAGAATAATTAAATATATAAAAAAATGTAATAATTATATAGATATTCTTTACTATTATCTTTTTTATAAATAAGGTTAAATATCCTTATTTATATTTATCTTTATTATATTCCCTGGATAAGACTGGATATATTTATCTATACTTATCTATATTACATTTATTAGATGAGACTGGATGTCCTTATCCATATTTATCTATGTCATATGTTATGCATTCCTGTTATCATTGCCTTACTTCGATAAGGAAAAAGGTTTCCTCTAAGGTCCTACACCCTTATAAGCCTATGTGATTTGTGACAATTTATATCTTTTAATAAATAAAAAAAGAAGTATCATTTTTTTCTTTCTTAATTAAGATCCTCTACTTTTTTTTTCTTTCTTATCTTTCTTATTCTCATTCTTATTATTATTTAATAATTTAGGAAATATTAAAAATTAAAAAGATATTAATTATTAAAAGATTCTTAATAAGGATCCTTTAAGAACCTTCCTTTATTTAACTTCTTTTAACACCAATTTCCTTTTAAATCTTTTAATTTTTATAAAAATAACCATAATCTTTATTTATTCATTAAAAATCTCTTCTTCTTAATCATCCTTTTTCATTCTAACCCTAATCTTTTTTTAAACCTTTAATTTTAAGATTTATAAATATATCTTAAAAGATATTATTTTATTAATAAATTAAAATATTTTTTTTATAAATAATAAATCCTAAATAATATAAATAAATATGGATATTTCAGATAATAATAGGTTAGATTATTATAAATTACCTAGGTTTTTATTTTAAAATTCCTTTTTGTCCAATCCTTTTTCGTTTTTTAAGTTAAGGTTTATTAGTTTATTTTATATCTAATCATAATATTTTTTAAAAAATAATTTTTAAAAGATATAAAGATTTTTTATCTTATTTTTAAAGATTAATAAAATAAAATAAAAATTTAATTAATAATAATAATAAAATATCTTATAAATAACTTATATCATTTCTTAACCTAATATTAATATTAATTAAAAAATTATTAAAATATAATAAACCTATATTTCAAAAAGATATAATCATTATTAAATTAATTAATCTAAATATTTTAATTTAAAGATAATAATATTAATAATAAATCAAATAATTAGGTAAATTCTATTCATTAAAGAAGCTTAAAATCCTCTTACTATATTTAAAAGAATAATCTTAGATTAATAATTAAAGAATTATAGAAAGAATAATTAAATACATAAGAAATAATTATGATTATATAATTTAATATTTTTTTCTTCTAATTATCTTTTATTTTAATATTAAATAGAATAGTATTTTCCTTTATTTTATCCTATTTTAAAGTTAAATAAAGGATATTCTTTCCTTATGTTTTATTAATTAATAAAATAGATCATTTTTTTATAGTTCTTTTATGGTTAGTTACCTAATATCCTATTTGATCTGTAAATATACAATTATAAGATGTTGGGTTATGACATTAAGATTATAAAAATGGAATATTAATAATCTATTATAGTTAAATTCCAATTTAATATATTATAACATATTATAATAATCTTAAAATGAAAAAAGAAAGGAAGAATAATTATATAATTATAAATATTTCCTATATATTTAATTATTTTTTTTATAATTTTTTAATTATTAATTTAAGATTATTCTTTTAAATATAATGAAAGGATTCCAAGCCTTTTTAATAAATAGAATTTACTTAATTACTTAACCTATTATTAATATTATTACCTTTAAATTAAGACACCTTAGATTAATTAATTTAATAATGATTATACCTCTCTAAGGTATAGGTTTGTCATATAATTCTTTAATTATTAATTTAAGATTATTTTTTTAAATATAATGAAAAGATTTTAAACCTTTTTAATAAATAAAATATACTTAATCATTTAATTTATTATTAATATTATTACTTTTAAATTAAAATAAAAAAAAGAATATTAAATTATATAATAATTATAATATTTCTTTTATAATTTTTTAATTATTAATTTAAAATTATTCTTTTAAATGTAATAAAAAGATTTTAATTTTCTTTAATAAATAAAATTTATTTAAGTATTTAACTTATTATTAATATTATTACCTTTAAATTAAAACATCTTAAATTAACTAATTTAATAACGACTATACCTTACCGAGGTATAGGTTCATCACATAATATTTTTAAATATTTAATTAAAAATTATAAAATTATTATTATATAATTTACATAATTAAAATAAAAATAATAAAAATTATAAATAATTTATATATATAATATAAATTTTATTATTTAAATTTTATCTTTTAAAATTAAATCTTTTTTTAATTAAATAATAATAAATATAAATTTATTTATATTATAATATATTTTTTATAATTAAAACCTTTTTATTAATTTATTAAAATAAATAAAAATTTTATATTAAAATATGTCATATAATAAAAAATATCAATTTAAAAATAGTAAATAATATTTAAAATTATTATTAAGTTAATAAATATTTCAATATTTAAATTTATATGTTTTTAAGATATTTATTTATTAAAATATTAAAATTTAAAAAGTTAATATATATTAAATCTTTAATAACGCTTTATAATGCTGTATGCCCTGTGATTACAGCGCATCTAAATAAAAAGTTGGTTAAATATATTCTGCATCTTTGAATTGGCGGATTAGCGGTTTTATAACACCTTGACAAGGGTGGAAATCTCAGGCAATGGTTAGTATTTGTGACATATTGACAGCTCTGTGACGCTTATCCATATGGACCTCCATAAGTAAGTAAATGACAAATTAAGCCAATCTAGGTATATTATAATATTCGATATTTGAACCCATAATCACCTCATACCTTCTAGTTCTCTTAGACCTACAACTTTAGGAAGGACGTATTTCAACATCGCTACTATCTACCACCTCACGTTACATCTGTATCACTCAATAATGCTCCAAGTTAGTAACCGCTCGCTGGTTAAGGCCATTATAAATACTCTCTCCACCTCTCGCCATGCAACGGTCCGTACTTCATGTTGTCGGTCATCCTCGCCGACACTATGGCTTTCTTCCCGTTCCTCTTGTTCATAGGTGTTCTCAGCACCACTGCTGCAACCCATCACAAATCGAACACTCATTTCGATGGTTTTCAAGTCCATAGGTTGTACGTGAACCCTGAGGATACTTCTGTCTTACAAGCAACATTTGATTCTCTATCTATTGTCGAGCTTAACCATGGCCGCGGTAAAAATAATACGTCTACCTTGGACCTTGCAATTCCTCCTTCGCACGTCGAAGCTTTCCGTGCTTTGAACCTCACTACTACAATTCTGAGTGACAATCTCGGAATGGATATTGCTGCAGAAGGTCCATTGCAGGACTACCCAGGTCGGTGGTCAACATGTCATCCCCGTCTACTTCATTACTTATTGGAATCTAGAATTTGACGCTGATGGTGTTCCATCTCTATCTTGGTTCGACGCATATCACGCCTATGAGGACCATATTCGCTTTTGGTCTGATCTACAGGCATCCTTTCCTAATAACTCTGAACTTATTCAGGCTGGCCAGTCATTTGAGGGAAGACCTATACAGGGAATTCATCTCTGGGGGAGCGGTGGTAGAAATTCAAAACCAGCAGTCTTCTTCAACGGAAATGTCCATGCCCGAGAATGGATCACTTCAATGGTATCTCCTCTTCATCCTCTAATTGACTATTGCCCTGTGCCACTTTGCCGGTTTATTGATGTGGATTGTAAGTAGGTGGTTGAATATCTCTTATATCAGATAGTCGTTGGATACGAAAATGACACCGCGGTACGAACGGCCCTTGATAATTACGACTTCTATGTCCTACCTGTTGTTAATCCAGATGGTGAGAGATTATTCCCCTATGATGACTGCCTCGAGCTTCTAACCGAGCTGTTACCTCCAAGGGTTTGTATATTCGCAAACAGACAATCGTTTATGGAGGAAGAACCGCCAGAAGCGAGAAAATACGACTGAAATTGGAACAGAGTAATATTAATAATTTTCTTTCCCCCTTTTCCTGAGTTGTATAAGAGTCTATAGTCCCGCAATAAAATTCGGATAGGGGACACTGATTCAGAGGTCATACCCCTAGGTCTTGCTTTGAAAGCCACAGGCTGATTCTTATTGCATAGCATTAACCGGAACTGGTCTGTCGGATTCGGCGGTGATGGCTCTTCCTCTAATCCTGGTTCAGAGACCTTCAGTGGCTATAGCCCTGGGGATGCGCCAGAAACTGCGGCGTTAATGAAATTTGCCCAGACATTAGCTGCCGACAAAGGTATTAAACTGTATATCGACTGGCACAGTTACGCTCAAGTAATATTGCTTTCGTACGGGTACACGTGTGATAGCTTCCCGGAAAATATCGATCAGCAAATAAGCCTCGCCCGTGAAACATCTGCTAGGATTGCACAGTCGTGTATGTCTTGATCCGATTTCGTTCCCCTCAGCTCTAGTACTATCCTACTCACCTCAAGAGATTTCTATGTATGGCAGTAATGAACTAATTTGTGACATAGACAACACGACATTCGACTATGGGCCGGGTTGTCTTGTCCTGTATCAGTCGAGCGGGAATGGCAGGGACTATATGACGGATGCTGCCGGAACTGAGTTTGGATGGGGTATTGAGCTTAGGTCTACTTCGTATGGCTTTGTTCTTCCTGCCGACCAGATCTTGCCGAGTAGCATAGAGATATGGGAAGGCATGAAGTATTTATGGGCGAATATGTAGTTACGGTGAGTCATTGTTCTTTTCACAGGAAAGCAGTGCCACCTTCAATGTTTATCGCTCTTGAGGAAACCTTGGTGCTTCAACCTGTTATGACTTATTGGCATTACCGTGGAGAGGAGGGCCCGGAGAGCCACGGATGGATTGAAACAATATATATACGTATAAGTCATAAACTTTGTCATGTATATGTTGTTATCATATATCTATTATCTGACCGCGATTCCGTGTCCCCTTGCGTGTTTTGTATTTGCTCTTTGCTCTTTGCTCCTTCGGCCTTACATGGTATTTATGCCTATTTTGTATAGTCTCAATTAAAGGATTATTGTCATATCCTTTTAGACCCTCTAGTGACTTCGCTTCTCTTCTTATCTCCTCTAGCGAGTATGGACCGTCCATAGCATGGCCAGACTCGTATCCAGAAGGCATAGTATCTTCTACTTCTCCGGGGGCAGTCCAACTAAGGCGTGCCTGGCGTGTCCTTAGTCGTTCGCCAGCGATATTCTGCGCTAGAGTAGCCAACTCCCGCATTTCACTTAACTCACGATCTATTTTGCATACTTGGCCAAGCACACCCTTCTGGGGGTCTCCGTCAGGCAGGAGAGCGTCGAGGTAATCGTCAAACGTATGATGACGATTCCGCGGGAATAAAAGGTACCTTGCCGAACCCCTGACAGCGCTATGAATAGTGTACAAACTGCCTACAAAGCGACCTTCTAACCGTTGGCGAATTCCAAGCAGCACGCCAATTTGCGCAATGGGGTCGTCCGTGAAAGCGAAGTGGGTGACTAATGGGTAAACATCGCCTAGACTAACCCCCCTTGGTTGGTAGGAACGTCCCAGGGGTAGAGTCATCTCTATTGATGCAGCGCCGAATGTAAAGACCCGAAGCTTGCTTAATTGGTCGCCCGGAGGCAGATCGGCACAGAGACGGGCGAGCAGTCATGATACGTCTAGAGACCCCGCATGATGTGCGAGGATGCGTACGCTATCTATTTCTGGTTGCAAAAGGCTACCTTTTACCCGGTTATAAAGAGCTATTGACCTTGTCGTGGGGATATAGAAGTTTCGTTGGAAGAATATGAAGATCACGTCGAACACCAGACCGAATCTATCAGGAGGGAATAGATGTATATCATGTCCAAAGGTCGATGCTAGTTTTGGGGGGGGCCCTCGGCGCATGTATGTGAAGCCACCAATGATGAACCATTCTGAGCGCGGTTCTTCGCTACTCGATCGATCATTTGTAGCCTTACCAGCAGCGTGTATAAATAACGCACGTCCAGTGTTAACATAACGAAGGAGGGTCCATATCAAAGCCCCCTGTAGACATAGCCAAGGTAAGAGTGCTAGTCCTGGTACCACCAGCCAGAGTAGCGGTACGGAAAGGAGCAACTGTAGCTCAAGAAGCGATAAAAGGCAATAGAGTGATATGTCCCAGGCGTCAACCCAACTAATTCTTCGTTGACGATTTATTATGGAGGCCACAAAGGCAGAAACGACACGGAATGTAGCGGTTGCAATATAGGGAATATCTGCTCTAGGGAGCGATAAGGCTGGTTGCTGATGGCTTAATGGCGTCGTCCCTGAAGCGCCGTCTTTTAAGGCCAGAGTGAAGCTTAGGGATAAGTCGTTCGTTTTGATACTCGGCGAGGGTTCCCGCCCTAGTGTACGGTGTGAGGTGATAGGTATGGTCGCCATAGGCCTAATTCCTGTCCTAGCGGTAGAGGGGCCCACGGAAGTCCAATGTCCAGCCCAGGAAGTGCCTGGAGACTGGACAAAGGGAAGGCATTTTTTAATATTGCTTCTCTATGGAATCCACCAATATTTCGAATCGCGTGGGAATACATTCCAGCACGCGGGTCGCATCACCGTGCGCGTCCCCAACTAAAATGAATCAACGCGCTATAAAATAGCTTCGTCATTCCAGCTTATGCTACGATCTTTTCGTGAGCTTTTTGTAGCATTGTTTGGTGAGTCTAGGAGGAGAAGGGGGGTTTCCTCGTGATGTGATCATTGGATGCTGTTGTTTTCTTAGCTGAGCGTGCATACACATGATGTTCAACCCTGACCGGCTAATGGAACAGTTGCTTTCAGAGTATTCGTACGAGTCAAACGGGCCATAATGCAACATGGCTAATCACCGAGACAGGGGTTCCGGGGCCGGACGTGCTGACGACGAGCGCGCCGATAGACAACGTATCGAAACTCTAGCCTTGGTGGAACATTCTTCCTTATTCTGACTTTCGCCTGCACCGAAGGGGATGTAACCCAAGATAATATAAAGATAGAATTCATGGGGAGGAAAATCCTTTTCATTCTTTTCTGCCTCTTTCCTCCTCGGTCACTCTTCTAGGAAGGATTATAATCGGAGTCATGTTCCGCTTCCCTGGGAGACTCTAGTCTAGGTCTTTTCTCAGATTTCACTAGGATACGTCAGATACCGGATAACCTCGGGGTTTATGATAGGGTCGAGCCAATGTAGGTAATTTATCATACCAAATGGTTCTAGAATCGCAGTTGCGGAAGAAGAGAAGAAGAAAGAAGCGATCTGTAAATTAACAACTTGCTATTTCCAGCGCTGTCAAGATCTGTTACGGTGATTCTTGGCACGGACGTTGACTTTAGCCTACGGTTGAAGGCGGTTTCTGGGAACATTAGCGGCAGATCATCCTACCCTGCAGCGGGCTAAGGAGCCCATCGGGTCTATTGTCAACTAAAATTAGCACAGTTATACAGAATTATAAGTGTGGATGTAACATGGTAGCCCCCGCATCGTTCTTCTATTCTGGGGGGTGAGTATGGGTATGTCGTCGTAGTTTGGGCGAATTGATATTTTACCATTATACCTTATGTAGCTTGGGGGAACAGATGTACATGTATTACCAGGTAATCTATGATGAATGTGCATGTAAGGAAGAAAAAGTTTGTTACATGTGCCTAGAATATGTTGCCGCATGTGTAACTTATACGGACCATGTATGTCCATATGTGGTGTGAGATGTGTCGTGATCCCCCTTTCCGATCGTGATACTGTTGTACGTTCCTCCCACCTCGACGTCAATTTGCCAATGTTGTGGACAGAACTAGCGCGGGGAGATGCCACCTACCTCGTTTCCATACGTTCCTCTTCCTTGTACATGTACGCAGCAAGCAGGTTAAGATTTCGAGATGTGACTGCCTACATACCTTACCTCCCTACCTCCCACGCAGCTACGCAACATGCGTGTAGATCAACCAGCTCTAATTAACCTTTTCGCCTTGGCTCTTCCATCCCCGTCTTCCATATTCTGACAGTGGTCATAGAGGACAGACTGACAAAGGATAAATTCTCTCGTTTCCCTCATTCGTTTCCAAGTCTTCTTTCCATCGTCATCATCACACATTTCACATCAAATAGGAGCAATAGTTAAGAACGTCGCAACATCTCAGAGGATAAACCCGACCTCAACTCGTCAACCCGTCTCCCCTATTGAACAGTATAAACTGCACCAAAGTGAATACACAATGAAGTGGCTCGCCAACCTTCTTCCCGTCGGCCTCCTTGCCGCTTTAGCTTCGGCTGCCCCAATTGTGGAGCGACAGCTTGACCTTTACCAACTCCAGATCTCTTGGTAATTATAATACTGTGGCGACAGCCCTTCTAGTTCGCTATTACTAACGACGTCGGTAGCCCGGGCAACAAAAATGTCGACGGTCGATTCCTCGCGCTACAGAACAACACTTTGGGTGTCTTTGACGGAGACAACGTTGCTCCTGTCCAAGTGTACCCCGTAGACAGCGAGAAGGAAGGCTGCAATGAGCTACACACATACCCAGTGGGCATCGTCGACCATTCCATCGCGCTCCTTGGCCCACCTGGGCTGTTGACTCTTGTTGATATGATGAATCCTCGCACGATACAGCCAGGAGATGGAACCATCGCCCAATGGGATACATTCCGCATTGCTGATGGGAAGCTTGCTAATGACGCCGATGGTCAATGGCTTGCCTTCCCAGACGGTCGCGGCAGCTGGAAGGTGAAATGGTCCGATGGTATGTGGTTTCGAGCACGATTTCTTACCCCTCGAGCTTCCGATGTTTGGTTCATGGCTAATTATTGCAGGCTCGGCTGTGATCACCGCCGACTTCATGATTGTTGATGTTCTATACAAGAGTGTCGGCGAGGGCCGATACAATGGAATCTAAGCTTATTGCATTCGGCGTTTAGGAGATGGGGGATAAAATAAGTATGATACCTAAGTAATTAACAATGGTGGAAGGCCGCGGGAGATATCGTTTGTTAATACCGCACTCTCTTATTGCTACATAGCCTGCTTGTAAGATAAGAGGACAATAAAAGTGAATGCTTGCTTATAGTACATACAGGAACTGGAGCTGAACAATCTTACCTTTCTCCCCGTGGAACATTTTCCTTTTTTGACCATTCCATTCCCACCTTTGCATTGATAGGCACCGGGATACGACGGGCTACTCGTCATTGCATAGCTACCTAGGTACGTAGGTGGCTTATGAGATAGTAATCAGGGGGATCGGCAAATCGTCATCACCCTTCTTATGTACGCCACAATCAATACACCACGTACCATGGCATTTTGGTGGACGCCACGAGGTGGGTGGTAAGTAGGGCTGAAATATTCTAAGCCTTGATTCGTTGGCTCGGACTTTGTCCCCACAGTAGAATCCTGGTGCCTGCATTTCGGTCTGCGCCTCCTGATGTTCTGGGACCGGGGTACTTATTGCTCACTTATCACGGCTCCCCCGCGACGTCGTTGAGATTTAATTTCTCTCTCATCCCGTCGCATGAAGCGGAGTCCTTCGTTCTAACAGGTCCGATCGGATTTTAGGTCCCATCGAAATCATATCCACAGCCTGAGATCGCAATAGTATCAATGCCTCGAAAAGGTAGTTCGAAGGTCAAGACGGGTTGTCTAACCTGCAAGTGCGTCCATCAATATTATGATAATAACCTAAGGCATATGCAAGGAGTTAACACTCATACAGGGTTCGCAAAGTAAAATGTGACGAAGGCAAACCCCATTGTCGGCGCTGCGTGTCTACGGGTCGCAAGTGTGATGGGTATGTGCCGGTCGCATCTTCTACAAGTCTATCATGGCATCGTCCGCGGCATCTGTTCCCAAATGTTGATGATGTAAAGGAGCGGCGAGCCTTGCAGTTTTTTTGCCAAGCTGCTGGGCCCTCTCTGTCCGGTCCCATGGACCCCTATTTTTGGTAAGCCATGGCTTCGGCCCAAGGTCTCTGAAATCCGGGAGGCGCCATTAAATATATTTATGTGGAGTTTCTGTCTAACTATAGAAGGACACATCTAGTTATGCAGTTTAGCACTTTTGAGCCTGCAGTTAGACATTCCGTTGTCGCAATTAGTTCTCTCTACGAACGCATACATTCAGAGTCGACGTCGATGCAACCAATAGCTGATAACAGACTTGCGCTATTTCACTACAACTCGGCGATCCGAGATCTGAAGTCGATGGAAAATGAGCCCTTGGTGTTGCTAGTATGCATATTATTTGTGTGTATTGAATTCCTGTTAGGAAACCGGGAGGCGGCTATTCAACACTGCAAACATGGTGTCCTGGTCCTGGAAAATGCCGAGACTCTGTACCCCTGGACAAAAGAACATCTCTCACCAATCTTTCGACGGCTGACACTATTCCCTTTTTTCTTCGGGTTTGATTATACCAGCTTTCCGAAGCTCGTCAACCTGGATGATCAGTTACCGCCCTCATTCGAATCATTTGAGGAGGCACTGTATTATTTAGACGGAAACACTGTGAGGACTGTTCGATTGGTTCGTCGTGGAGATGACTATCGACTCGGGGACATGCGCCATAAACCGGTGTCATCCGATCTTCTGTCGGAACAACGTAAGATTAAGAGCTTGCTAGGCGAGTGGAACTCTCGCTTCTTGGATGTCCTGAATAAACCCTCGGCAGTTGCCAGGTCAGAAGAGACACTTTGTAACATCAATTTAAAATATGAAGTTTCCCAGATATGGGCGGACGTGGCTTTCGAATACGACGAAACGATATACGACAAGTATCTCGACAAATTTCGCTCAATGGTGGCCCAGGCCGCGCAACTACACTTGTCGAAACCCCACGACTTGAGGGTAGCCCCGAAATTCATCTTCGAGATGGGATTCGTGGCACTGCTTTTTTATATTGTCATTAAATGTCGATGCCTAGAGACTAGACTTCGGGCGCTCTCATTGATGAAGGTACTCGGCGTATCTAGGGAAAACCTTTGGGAAGTCGCTCCGATGCATGCGATCGGCCGACGGTCTGTTGAACTCGAACACGATTGCCTCATTGACGAAACGGATCAACTGTCTACTCCACCCCGCTGGCCAGGTCTACCACCTGATGAGTCGAGAATTAGAGATTCCACCACAAGTCCCTCGCTAACTATCCAAACTGATGCCCAGGGCCAGGAAATTATTGGCAGAACGACAGGGTTCTTCAAACGAAAAGCCGACGGCAGTATTTATATTCAGAACGAATTTATTCCAGAAACGTGGAAGGTTTATAATCATTAAAATGTTCTTCATGGTTAGATTTGCGAAATTCGCCTGCTAGAGAGTTGCGCATATGCCTAGATTGTATATATTTATTAATAATCTCTAACCCTTCTCTCCTGCTCTTGTGGCGGTTGTCTCGAGTCTACACGATTATCGTTTGGGATATCGCATCTCGGCTAGATCAAACTAGTGATATTATTCGGATAAACGCCCACCTAAGTACGTTAACAGCCCCCCTGAGGCGGAGTCGAGTATGGTATCGACCTATTATATCCGAGCCGCTGATTGGTCCGTTCGGACTACGCAACTTTGTAAGACTCAGCCCATGCTCCTTTCCATAGTCTCTGCTCTGAAACGAGTAGAGTATTGATGTGGGCGGTTTCTTATAAAAGTGTGAAGAGACCACAAAATGTTTTTGCATCTCACTGAAGATTTATATGAACCATTGATATCAAAATAGTCTTGGCATCTACGACACCACTTCTACAAATATATATAACCCTATCTACCAACTTACCAACAACCGCGTAGCCTCGATGGCCTCATCAACTCCGGTTCTCACTGCTGGTGGCTTGACTGCAACATATTGGGAAGTAGCTCGACAAGCGACGACAGCTGTCACTACAGCCCCAACAGCCACGGCTGTGGACTTCTTAACTACACAACATATAACGATAGACGGATTTACTAACGACCACGGCACCGTACCCGCTAAAACAGTCGATATTGTTATACCGACATGCATTCAAACCATACAACCAGATCCCAATGGGTACTTGCCCCCAGGAACGTGCAATGCTCTTTGGGACTATTACCCAAGCTTTCCAGCAGCATTAGCATTTACCATCCTATTCGGCTTGTTGACACTCGCCCATATATATCAAGGGATAGCGTATAGAAAGGTAACTGAACGCTCTATTAGCTCATCCTCGAATGTCTACTAATGTTGAAATAGAAGTTTTGTTGGGTTATCGTCATGGCCAGTTTCTGGGAAACGATGGCTTATCTATTCCGTACAGTCAGCACCCGATACCAACAGAGCTCCGGTATATACCTGGTTTTTCAGATATTTATTCTACTTTCTCCGCTGTGTAAGCACATGACAACCCCCTTTATATAGTTGATATTCGTTCTAAGACGCTATAATAGGGGTAAACGCTTTCGACTATATGGTTCTCGGCCGAATGATATATTTCTTTACTCCTTCGCGACAAGTTTTCAACATACCAGCGCCAACGTTGGCTGCGGCTTTTGTCACCTTTGGTAAGCGACTATTTTCTCTCTGTTGATTAGTGAAAGTTTTTCAATCTTGGTTAACTGGCGTTTAAATTGTTGCTTCTCTTCGCTAACAGGTGTATGATAGACTTCATTGCGTTCGTAATACAGCTAGCAGGCGGCTCGATGGCGGGCCCGACCGCGCCGGCAGAAGACCAGTTAAGAGCCATCCACATATATATGGGCGGTATAGGGTTACAACAGTTTTTCATTGTAGTCTTCGTGGCTTTCGCAGTCAGGTTTCAATTTGATATGCGGCGTGTACATGGATCCGACAGTCGACACGCAAATGGGAGGTCCGGCTGGCGCCCTTTGCTATTTACACTATATGGGTCATTGATGTGTATCACGGTAGGTACTTAAAATCACGCGTCTGATTTGGTTGCTGACAAGTATATGAAGATCCGTATTATATTTAGACTGGTTGAATTCTCATCAGGGTCAACTGGTGTGTCGAACCCCTTAGTAGCCAACGAAACTTATTTTTACGTCCTCGAAGCAGTACCAATGCTGTTGGCCATTGTCGCTTTCAATATCACTCATCCGGGATCAGTTCTCGTGGGACCGGAGTCGGAGATGCCAGGATTCTTCACAATGTGCATGGGGTTTTTTAGAAAGAGGAGAGCGTTTAAGAAACTTGATGAATCAGATCAAGAAGAAATGTCTATCTTGCGAGCGTAACCGTTGCTTGTGTAGTTATATGACATACTTGATCATGAAGTCGTGAAGAGGTGGTTAGGTATTATTGGCGGCATGTTTAATGATGGAGGGTTCTTGTTGGGTTGTAATTATTAGGAGTTAGGAGTTTATATAGACTGCACAGGGGTGTGAATTCAATTCTAGAGATACAATAATAAGGGGTACATATGTATGTACATAATCTACTTTAGACTTTAATGTCCATATTAGGCTCATATTTCCGAGTGGCGCTCTCCGTACGTCTGTATGTACCTAGGTAGGTAGGTACCTATCGGAAAACCCCAATGATATACCGGTGTAGCCTGCATACATGTACATCGTAGCAATCTACATAAACCTAAGGCAGTACGTACATATGTACCTAGATACCTGGCTTCCAACCTTCAATGTTGGAAGTGCATATTAGTTCGGAGTTTCCGTATTTCATCGTTACACAAATTACGCAGCGCCTTTCTTTTCTTCTGCTGTCTTTCCTTGCTTATATGTATGCTTGATACCTTCCCATACCCATCAACCCCTCATCTGCTACCTGCCATCGTAAGGCTTCGTAGCATTTATTTTATTCTCGTTACAACATTTGTTTGAAACGAACCTGAACATAGAAACCGCGCGGTCGTCAGTGTGCTAAAGTAGTTATTCGAATCCGCTAAGATGTCATCTATCCCCGATGCTTCAGATGGAACGACGAAGCAGCAGCCTCCGCAGGTCGCTGCTGGCCTTCCTAATACCACCACCTATTTGACCGGCTACAATGACAAGGGTAAAGCAATCGTATACTCGACGCGTCCCTCGAGCTGGGAGCCATTCGATGGCGGTGCTTGTATGTTTTTGTCATAGCCTCGAAAGTCACATGCATCCTCTAGATTCGACTGTACCTTACCTGTTTGAACATACTCAAAGGTGTCATCTTATTGAGGGAATGGGATTTCTGGATTGGATATCCTTTGGACCCTCTCATATGCGGCGTATCCATGCTGACTTTCCATGGCACCTAGTGGGATTCAACCAGATATATACCAATGTGTCCCCGCCAGATCTGAATGGAGATGCTGATATTAAATTTCACGATGACGCAATCGCAGGAGGGAAACTTGGACTTGTCAGTAAAGATGGGGTCGTTTGCCGAATGGTTGACTTCAGCCCTCAGTACGAGTGTATAATGCATCGTACCAAGTCTATGGACTTTGGCATCGTCGTCGAGGGCGAGGTCGATATGGTATTAGACGATGGTAGTGCCACGCGGATGAAACGTGGTGACATAGCTGTCCAGCGCGCTACCATGCATGCCTGGCGCAATCCGAGCACTACAGGAGTGAGTAATACCACGACTTCTCTTTTCCTCTTCTTGGCCTACAATGCTAGCCCTCCTCAACAAAGAATCATCTATGTGTAATGTTCCCAAAGCTAATTAATTATTACAGTGGGCTCGGATGGTATTTGTTTTGCAAGACTGTAAACCGTTAATCTTCAATGGGCAGAAGTTGGGAGAGGATCTCGGAGATGGTTACACGGGATTACCTGCGAGTGGAAACGACGACGAGTAGTAACCTGGATGGAATTCATGAGCTTGGCATGTTATGAATGCATTTAAGAAACAAAGGGCCATAAGTGTGTATGTGAGTTGTGAGAGATGAATATATATATCAATGAATCTCCATCAACCTGTTCGTGTAACGCGACGTTTAATTATTTAGCATATTACTTCGTACGTTGTGACTGTTTAATGCTGAAGCTACAAACTTGAGGACATGTTGGGTACATGTACTTTTGATAGATTTCTTTTGATCTTATATTATTGGCCAATTGATTTGGATGGAATGGTTAAACTCCGGTTACTGCCCCGCTTTCCTATTGAATTTAAGTACAGGTGCATAGGTACTGTACTTATGTATGTATAGTGGGTTAAGCTCCAACGAAGCTAACTAAGCAGCTAAGCACTTATCGATCAGGCGATTTGCTGCAAAACTCCAAAAATTTCTTGGTTATCCATCTTTGAACAATTCTGCAATGATTCAACAACATACACATACTGCCACTTACCTCTTCATACTGTTAATAGACGTCAGTATATTCAAAAACGGTCTCTTCATACATAGCGACTACACATATACAGCGAATACAACATAATGGCAGTAGATTATAGTCCGCGGAGTGTCGCTGACGCTACGCGATTTACATCTAATACACCACATGCGAATGCGAAAGCCACATCCAATTCCTCTTCATCCACCAGCTCCGCCTCTTCCTCTCAGAAACCGACCTCATCCTCACCTTCATCACGATCACCACAAAGCCGTATGCCGCCTCCAGAAATGCCTGGATCGTCAACGCCCGAGACTATGGAAGAGCGGGTACGACGGTTACGAGCCGCGCATTTAGCTGCAAGGAAACATGAGACATCGCGGTTTGATCGTGTCGTAAATGTATCGAGGAGGTACTTCGATGCTGCTCATAAATTCACCGTATTAGGTTTAATTACATTCAGCGGTATGTTTTGTGAAAAAGCCTTGCCTTTTCCCCTCCTTTCCCATCTAGATCATATATGAAAAATGTATTCTGACCGATGCTCCTCCTTCCAACAACAGGCCTCGCCCTCTTTGTTACTGTATATGCGACAGCCGATATGATGATATACAACCGCAAGCGCCGGAACGAATTCTTTGCCCTCCAGAAGCAGCTCAGAGCCGATAGCTTGGAAGCTGCGCGCCTAGCGTACATGACCGGTACGGCATCCGAAGATCAGATAGCGCTAGTAGAAGAAGCCGAGGCGAAAGCTAGGCAGTCAGGCATAAGCCTACCCCCTTTACTGTCCGCGCCTAGGCCAATGGTTGCAACCGAGGGTACGGAGAGGACTGTTTGGCCTGGTGAAGCCTTGACCGAGAGTAATCTGTCCGGCGCGGACGAAGTCGAGCAACCTAAGAAAAAGGGCTTCACTTCTTGGTTATTTGGCGGGTTAAAAAAGGAGGAGACAAGTGAAGAGTCTCTAAATTTTGATCGAGAGGCAGCTGCTGCCGCAGGATCAACATCATACTCAAATGTCACTAAGACTATTGATGAATCGCAACAAGTGCTAAAGGATAAGGCAAAGGCGGCATTCGAACAGGAGCGGGAGAACCAAAGAAAAGGGGGTCCCCTAGATCAACTCGGCTTGGACGGGAAGTCCAACGGTGGTGAAGATAAGAAAAAGGGTTGGTGGTGATGGGTGTTGTTAGAGGCTACTGCTAGGATCTTCACGATATAAGGATTATTAAAATGGAAGGCGGTTGGTACATATATATAACCGCTTAATGAGCTGGCTAGTCATTCAACACGTTGAATGGTTTGCAACGATAGTCGGATCTCATGCATGAATTTGGCATGCTCAGGATGGGAAGACTGCTGTATCATAACTACCTAGGTAGTAGAAGGATGGGGCATTGAATTCGGCGTATTGGACCATTTACCATGAATAAATACTCCCCCTGCCGATTGTAACCATTCTATCAGCTGCATCTTCTGGAATTTCGGAAAATTAACTATCCTTTTATGATCTTACGATTCTTTGATATGTTCATTACTATGGAGGCGTAGGTATATAGACAAATTTTATGTATATATTTTTTCTGTCTGATCTGTTCCTGTCCCCCAATAATCACGCAATCGCTGCACTATTAGTACAAGGAACATTTCGACTACGTTGAGCCAGCTCCTTTCAATATGATTGATCCTCCCTGCCTTTGAACGCCACCGGCTGAACTCCTAGTAGAGCAAAAAAAACGAAAATAAAAAAATACGAGGCTAACGAAAGCATTCCGGATCCTCAAATTCTAAATGTGACTTCCGGTTTCCCCTCCCCCCCAATGAATGCATAATTTCCCCTCTCAGAACCGATGATCCTAATGCAATAACGACTGTGTTTTGGGTATAGAGGTAATGAACGTATTGGCGATGCGGAAGAGGATGAGCTAGTATGATATATCCAATAGATTTAAAAAGAAAAGAGATGCTGTGTTGCCTTGGCTATGGTGTTTACTTTCCGAGAACACCATGAGATGTGAGAAAGAAAGAAAAAAACTTCATACGACTGCGAGTCTCAGGCGAGACAAAGACGGATAATCGTTAGGTAATTTATGATATAATAAAATAGTAATAGCATCATGGACGATATCTAGGTGGATTTAGTTCGCCTTATAATTTACCGAGAATACGACTCAAAGGATAGCGAATAACCTCCGAGCAAGCCCTGTGACATCGTAAAGAGAGCTCGGTGTCTCCGAGATGTCAACTAGGCCCAGCATGCCATTTTAGACGGGTTTGATGCTCTCCATGAAATAGTAGTAGGGACGACAAATGGGAATATAGGGGGACGTTCGCGCCGCCGTGTGCCCGTTTTCGGTATCGTCATCGTTCGTAATCTGACCTTAGGCTCGGAACCTTCTATGCTGCCCCTAATCTACGAAATGATAATGTGGTTAAAATGTCCTGGGATCTTCATACGACATTTCTCACAGTCGGCCCTGTATCCTATACTGAACGACTTTTTCATGCCGGGCTGGAGGGTCCAGGAATTGAGCGTGTGTTTGCTACGCGAGTGTCCGAATTTGCCTCTTGGTGATGGTGTAGCGGGTGCCGAGGAAGGGGATGACGCGGGATCGGCATCCATCATACCAGCATCACTGTCGGTAGCTGGAGGGATGGTTTGTATGTTAGGATGGATGGCCATAGCATGAGGATTCGTCGAATGGGGCAAGTGAGGAAGATATGGCCTTTGAAGCTGAGCGGCTGCAGGCAAGCGAGAATCTAATACCATGCCCGGGCTCGTAGGTGTGTCTTCGCCGCCACTTTCACTAATAGGAGACGGCAGACGTCTGTTTTGAACCATTGACCATTCAGCAGCACCCCCAAGCGACCGAGGCACCGAGGACTCATCGTGTCCCGTAGGAAAAGGCTCGGCTTGCGCTAAGCCGACTTCGTCGTCTGACATTGGAGCGTTGACTAATCGATTTGCAGCGTGCATCGTCTGGTTTATCGGACCCCAGTTGTTTCCCCGTACTTGTGCAGCGAAGGAACAATGTATAGGGGTGGGCATGCGTCCGGTAGTGCTAGGATCGACGATTTCCGGTTGGGATGAAGCGGGATGGATATGTTCGGATGCAGAATCGACCATCATATCTGTGTCCCTATCCACATCCATGGATGGGTTCGATTGCTGCGGATATTGCGCGTCTTCCGAATCGGAATCGGTCGGGGTAATCGTAGTGGGAGGGGTTGTTGCTGCTGTCGCCGCCGGGAAACCTGGTGGACCAGACCATCGTTTCTGTGTCGGGGAAGTACGTAGCGGAAGGGACTGTAGACGTTTCTGTGTGTAGAGGTTAGGATAGACACGAATTGGTGAGCTACGAAAAGTGAAGGTAGAGTTGGACTCTATCTTATAATACATGTTTATATACGTAATGGATGGTAGGTACTGACATTACGATGTTCGGTGAAGCCAAGATTCCCATTCATGGCTTCTCCCATGCAAACCAGGCCAACACAAGTGTCTTCTTCATCTTCTCTCGGACGCTTTCGCGTAACGTCCGACCATTGAGAGTCGAACATGTTTGTGGGGAAGCAAGAGTATCGACGAAGATGGCGTGAGATGGGACCAAGTTAAACGGTCGAGAATAACGTCGGTTGATGAAAGGATAAAATGGAAATAATTATGATTAGGCAAGGGGAAATACTAATGATGATAATGACGATGGTAACAAAAGGGTATTAATTTTTTAGAAAGAAGCCAGAACTCGCAGGCTTAGGGGGTCAATTCGTAAGACCAGTGGAATAGAAATGTCAGAATCCTAGCTCTTTTTTGGCGGGGAAAGAATGGATGATGACGAGGTAGGAAATAAGGAATCAAGGAATTGGGAGTTGGGACTGGAATCTTGGTTCGTCGTGGCTGGGGAACTTTTAGGACCCCAAGGACGCCAGAAGCTCCTTCGGTCGATCCGTAGTGAAATATGTAGGTATGGTGGTATGTACTGTAGGTCTTAGAAATGAATAGATTTAGGTCTAGGAGGCATTAGCTTAACGAGATAAAGGAAATATGCGACTAAATTCGAAGCAAAGTTTGGCCCGCATTTGCTTCTTTCCTTCCTCCGAGAATTCCTTAGGTGGTTGGAAGATCGTGCTTGACATAACAAAATAAAAAAAAATAAAAAAAAACATCCAAGGAAAGATTTATATGGATGTTTGGAAGCCTAATGATAAAGAAAAAGCGAAAGAACAATGCAATTCGCCGATGGCGGTCCCCTAACTTCTACTAAAGTAAAGTAAAGTACACTAACGCTCAGCACCTGACGATTGTGGGGAAGCAAGGTTTAACGTTTGTTCTTGGACAAGGGTTTCCTACATAGTGGGTCAATTGCATTGCCCAGCCCAACCATCCACAGCTGCCCATAAACCAGCCTTGTGGATTGCGTGTCTTTTTTAGATAACCCCAGGGCTAGGTCCTGTACGTAAGCCACCCCGCGGCATTGTGCGCATACGCTGCGTACAACTGCATGTTTAGCGGGATACCGGCCTAAATTTTAGGGACTTTTGACAGGATGACAGCAACCTTATAAGAGACAAGTAATCACTAAGTATATATTGGTATGCGAATGCCTACTTTTATGTTGATTGTATCTAACGAAAAAAAGATAATTTTATTTCTAGCTTATAAATTCAATTGGGTAATGTGGTTTTCTTATGCGGAACACGTTGTTGGCCGTAGGTTTCAGATTTGCTTCACGACTTACAGCAACATACCACAAGGGCTAGTTGAATAGATTGACGGTATCCTACTTACTCAAGCATTTAACCTCCTAAATATGTGATACGAGATGTATTACTACAACTCGTTAAAATATGTCAAACTGCAATCAAAGATCTAGCCACAGTTCTTTTTGATACCTTGTATACCCCTCGCTTAGTGCTTGAGTGATGGTTTTGATATTCCACCCGTTGTTTTATCCTAGGTAATTAGTACCCTGAAATCGTCATAAACGTTTATCCTAAGAACACAGAAAAGTAGTGTCCTAATTATCTATTTTGGGAGCGATGGAAACTTGTATACCACCCGACTGAAGTCAAATCGCTATCAGCATTTCAACCCATGAAGTTACAGTATATATCTAGGTCATAACTAAGCATATGTTTCCTCACGACCTTTTGGATTTATTATTAATCGTTTACATCTCCTAAATAATAAAATGGAGTAAAGAGAATAACAGCGTATTGGGGGGAATTGAAATGGGCTGGCGCTGGGCTCGCTTTGGTGATTAGGAGGTTCCATATAAAGGACACAAAGGATATATCGTTGATGGTTCAATGTTTAGACTAGACATGTATGATCTAGCAGCTGCATATGTAGTTCACTATACATGTGGATAGACGTCATTCTGTATACCATCCATTATATGATACCTAGGGTATATACACGTGGCGCCTCTGTTTATTTTCACCAATTGCTCTTTCCAATCGTAAACCCGGCGGAAGGGGACCCACAAAACCCGGAACGGCAATCGCTTATAAAGTGGAGTCAAGTCACATGACAGAATCTCGCCTCGGGAAATCTAAGCACACAACACATATAAGGCCAAATATTTTGCATTCTTACCATCCAATGGTAATCCTGGTGTCCGGATTTACTCCGGACGTCCATTTAAACGCCTTGGTAGCTCAATTGGCTAGAGCGTGGGACTTTTACATCCAGTTGTATGAAATCCCAAGGTTGCGGGTATGTTCTCTCCACCACCTACTTTACAATACCACTTCCTTGACAACGAAACTGACCAATGCTGCCTGTAGGTTCGACCCCCGCCTGAGGCGTGTATTACTGTATTTTTTGCTATTTTTTTGAGCCTGTAATGATGCCGTAGTTGTCGATTATCGTGAATATAGGTTATGGAGCTCAAAAATCCCTTTTTTCGAGTTTGTGGGCAGGTACCTAGGTATTATCCAAGAACAATGACTTTCTAGGTCCGTGCTCACATATTTCTCCATATTAAATAACTTAAGAAGTACCTAAGTATTTTATAGATTTCATAATAATTCATCATACTGATAAGCAGGTCCATATTTAGTCGCTGACTATATTACCTCAACTCTTCAACTTTCACTCTATTATGGCCTCTAAAAATATGTCCGTTCGGCGGATTCTTACTCTATCTTCACGGTTTGGAAGATCGGATGTGGCCTCAGGAAAAAACTACTTCTATCCTAGGAGAGATCTGCACTGCACAGCTGCTCGTTACACAGATGGTGTATTTCACGGTTTAGCAGATAACCGTCTTCCATTGCCATGGATAGAAGCATTAAGGCTTCAGAAAGAAGGAAAGAATGTTGCCTCGAACAAGGTCCGTACACAGGAACGCGACCTAACACCGAAGAAGATGAGTGATAGCTACCATCGAGTTGTACTTCCACTTGGTCGTGATCCTTGGCTTAGTGATACATATATCAACTCTTCCGGTCATATAAGGTCCTCGGCCCGCTCCTTCAATTCATCGCTGCCTCTAACTAGATAACCATACTCTAGGCTGGGTACCATCTTTATGGACCTTGATGCTCTGTCTGGCATAATCGTTTATAAGCACACTGGATCCGGTGTCACGACAGTCACTGCCGCCTTAGATCGCATTACCATTGCCCACCCTTTGACGGAAATATGTGACCTCGAATATAGCGGGCGAGTAACATACGCCTCGGGGAGAAGTAGTGTGGAAATCACATGCCAGGTTGCTAGAGCCAGAGATGAAGGGGAACCAAGTAAGCCAGAAGATGTGTTACTTACCTGTACCTTTACGATGGTGGCTTTAGATCCTGAAACCAAAAGACCCGTTAATATACCACGCCTAATCTACTCCAATCCCGAGGAAGAGAGAATCTTCAAGGCAGGAGAGGCTAAGGCTCTAGCTAAGAAGGAGAAATTGAAGACTTCATTGTTGGAAACCGAACCGGATGACCCCGAATCGACCTTGATTCACAAGATTTGGCTGAAACAACTAGCCTATCACGATCCTAACAACAATCTTCGTCAACCCAATAATGTCATTGCTATGTCCAGGACACAGCTCTCAACGGCCTCCATCATGCAGCCACAATATCGCAATCGTCACCAGACCATGATTTTTGGTGGCTTTCATTTAAAACAGACGTTTGAGCTAGCCTTTGTATGTAGCGATCATGACCCCCGGAGTAACGCAACTTCCTCCAATCGAGATGCGCCCAAGATATTTTGATACGCCCACACCTCCCCAATCCTTCGATCGTACACACTAACTTATTCATACAGTGCTGCGCTGCAAGTTTTGCGCATGCACGACCGACCTTCATCAGTGCCGATCCATGTACGTTCCGCAATCCTGTTCCGGTTGGAAGTGTCCTGTACTTAACAGCGACAATCGTTTATACGGACCCACCAATTCTGGAAGAGGATGGAAGCGAGCCGCAGCAAAAAGATGCGAACAATCCGGTGACGCGATTGCACGTTCGAGTAGATAGTAAGGTGAGGGATGTTGAACATGGAAACGCCAAACCGACGGGTCAATTCAATTACACATTTTCGGTACCAAAAGACGTCAAAGTTCTCCCACGTAAGTATATCTCGAAATCACCAATAACCATCTCACACTGTTCACTAAGACGGATTTCCCCTTCTAACTCCTATCCCCTCCTCATACTTGCACTCTAGCTAATTTAGGGGACGTAGACACCTACCAAGAATATATGATGTACATAGATGCGAGGAGAAGAGTACAACTTGGAGATGTGCAGGATCGCCAAGAGCACACAGATTCCGAACTGAGACGATCACAATCGGACGAGAATATTAACCTCACAGAATGAGACTAAGTCGACTTCCAGGTTCATAGAATATGAAGTCGCTAACATACCTATCACCGCTAATATTGGGGACGGACACCTTCATACACATTCAATAGACAATAGATATGCTAGCTAGCAATTGCTTACTACCGAGCCGGTTTGACTCATATCTCAGCCGCTGCCCGATACTTTTAATTAAAATTCTACATTTTAGTTGTCGTGTTGAAGGTTGAGGTACCTGCGATGGTATTGCAGATCTATGTATATAAGAGGTCTCACCTTTAGATCAAGGTATTTCTTTCATCAAACGGTAGATTGATGGATCGTCGGCCTGATCCCAGCGCCTCCATAAATAAGACGGGGAACTAGCAATAGCTTTTGATATTCGTCAAGGCTAGAAACATGATAACCCACCAATGATTGACTCAGAGACTGGAAAGCGCCGTTGTTTTCTTTTTACAAGATTCTCTGTATATTGATACATGACGCCCTATATCTACGGTGATGCGCTTATCATACAGTACGTTATTCTGGTTATCATGCTCCACCATTCAGCCATGTCATCTCCTTGTTCTTCCTGACGAAGCCATGGCCCTTTAGGGGTAGGTCCCTCTTCTTCAGTTCCTCCTCTACTAACTTAAACCTTCCAAATGCTGTTGCCTTGTCGCCACGTGTAACGCGCTTTGTTGCGACCGAGACGTTTGGCAGTTGAATGAGATCCTGTTGACGCTCCTGAATCTCCTGGGTTAGAGTTTTTGGCTTTGGTGGCTTTTGTATTACATGGATTAAAGTTTGGACATCAGTGATATCCGACGATTGATAATCGTGGATGAGCTGGCCAGTGAGTTGAAAAACTCGCTTTGTGACCTAGTAGCATTACCGTTAGTTCCTCCTTTCTTTCTTTCATTTCCATTTAAGGAGCCAAGGCACCTTCAAAGTGAGTGGAGTTTGGAGAGTTTGGAACTTACAGCAAACTTGATTTGGCGATCCGATAGAGGGATAGATTTCCAGTTATCACCCCATACCCCTCTGAATACCTGAGCTTCCTCAGCTGAGAGCACCGGTTCATTTTGCAGGCCCTCTGACACCGGTTCCTCAGTTGTGGAATTGCTACTTTCGCTAGGCTTGTTTTGCGAGTCAAAATATTCCAACACCACATGAGAATTGCTACCGAGCGACACGCCACCATTCTCCGTAAGGCGGATGTCTACCTCTAGGAGCCGACGAAGATATTCTTGCTCCGTTGTTGGCCATGCTCTCGTTAGGTCGGCGATTCGACCTGCCTGCGACAGCGTAAACGCCTCTACAACAGCTTGTCGGATGGAAGTTTCTATGACTGCAGGATCAGTCACCTTGTTCGGTGATTTGAAACCGACAAAGTCGGCTGATTTGGGCCAATGTGCCTCTTTCTCCCACCAATTTTCTACTCCTCCGACTGATTCCAAGCCTTCGGAGGTCAACGCGGGCACGTACGCGGTGTCTAATACTTCGTCGGGTCTCTCGGCGTAGCTACGTGGGGGTGGCATGGCGGATGTTTGCCATTGTTGCGGCAAGTCATCTTCTGACACTTCTATATCCTCATTACCACGACTTAATGAAGTAGATTGCTTCTCTGACGAGTACAATCGTATGAATGCAGATGACCGGAATCTTGTTGGTATAGATCTCCGAGATGAGATTGTGATGGTCTGGCAAGACGTACAACGTTCGCCGGCGAATGGTATTATCGGAGAGTGGGATATCGAAGTAGGTAGGTTGGATAGCCCCTTTAATCGTGTTAATTGTGGTATTCGTGGCATTGTGAAGAATTGGCTAATCCGAGGCCAGATTCAGCCAGTGAATGGATTGATTAAATCGTGTTTTTTTTTTTATCTTTTCTTTTGATATTGAGAGTTTGCAACTTTCTGAAAAATTGCAGGGGTTCGCGATACCGGGACGCTTGTCTCCACTTTGAAAGTGATACTCTGGTACATAATTGGTGGGGTTTCCCCAGCCACAGTTCCGTATTTTGTAAGGTCAAGTTCCTTTATCTTATCGGGGTACATGATATATAGGTACTGTACTGTACTGTACGATTCATCTTCGTCATCCAGATTCAAGCTTAAATTGTATACTTCTATACCTGCTATACAACAACGATCACTATCTGGATCATGCCAACATACATCTCTTCTTTCGTCACGCCTTAGTATATACACATACTCAATTGTACCATGTACAAGGGTATTCTTCCATTGCGATATAAATTATAAATGCCCGCCTAATACTATCAACATGATACCTTTTCATCTCCCCTTACTTCTTCTAATAGGGGTCCTCGTCTCCTACGTAAACGCAGCCTGTAAGCCAACCCGCTTTCTTTGTCACCCCGCTCTTCGTATTGATGTATATCGTCTTGTTTTGATATTTAGGACTAACTTAACTCTTTGTTTTTAGCTGCGCCGACGTTCTGTAAATGTACCTGCTTCAAGAACAGCACCTTGATCCAACTCGGTCCACAAGGTGATTCCTCTGCCTCCTTTAGTAATTCGGCTCCTCCCGAGTCTGGTCACTCGTTACGTTCGCTACCCCTCCAAGATCGAGCCGCCTCCGCTTCTTGTACACAATGCACTCGAGCGTTTTGCCTTTCCCAACATCTCCCTATCTGCAAAGATGCAGAGGAGAACGACGTCGTGGCCATGTGCTTCCAGCGCGATAGTCGCAAGGATCAAATTATCGTCTGGGGTTTCATTCTAGGTACCACAGGTTTATTAGGTTGGGCTGCTGCTAAGAGGGTTATCGAGATGCGCGAAGGCAAGAAGATATCCGCGCTGGGATTGGGTAGTGCAACGAGTAGACGAGGAGGAGTTCCACCCTCTTCGGATAGAGGTGAATATATGCCAGTCGGTCGTGACAATGGGCAGGGTTTAAGTAGATGAAATATAGATATGTGTGTAGATGGTCTCTACGAGTGAATCTGGGCTTTGATTCGGACTTTGGCGTCGCTAACGGTGTTTTTGGATACTCCGACGGCGGCGTTTGAAATATGTGTCTCATATCTTTAGATTTCACTTGGCCTTGGAACTTTGATATTCACGACGGATATTAGAAACGGGATACGCGCATCCTGGCATCAACACCTATATGTTGAATGCCGAGCTAAGTATGGATGGCGAGGGAAAGCCATATATATTCGTCTAATTTTTTAAAATACCCTGTAGACCAAAGCCGAACGCCCCAAGCCATTTTTTGGTGTTCCCCCCATCAAAATTTTGAGATAGTCGTCGTTGAGCTAACGAATTCCAGATAATGCGTACTTCATGGACATTCCTCATAAGAGGTACTACCCATCTTCCCATAATTCGATCCGCTCAAAGCTGAATCAATTTTTATACGGAATGAACTAATGAGTACTAAAAGTCATGTGCCTCTTTTTGATGACCTATTCCTCTTCAATTAGAGTGGTTTTCGGCTCTTCTCCTTGGCCATTGCTTGCTAGTGCGCCGTTCTTCTCCCTCCGAGCTCGGACTGCGGCCGCGAGGTCTTCGAGGACCTGAATTGTCGAATCCCAATCGATGCAGGCGTCAGTGATGCTCACACCCTTCTTCAGCCCACACGGACCCTCTGGCGGGACCTTCTGGTTCCCCTCGTTGATATTGGATTCGATCATGACGCCAATTATGGCCTTTTCTCCCTCCCTCAATTGGTCGCCAATGACCTTGGCAACCTTGGGTTGATTACGGTGGTCCTTATTTGAGTTACCTGGCCCGTTGGTTAGCTTAATCTTGGATGAACCTGGACAAGATGGGATCTTACCATGTGAGCAATCAACCATGATGGCCATCTTTTGTCCCTTCTTAGCCAGGGTTTCTTTGGCGGCTTGGATATTCTCCTTATCATAATTGGTACCCTTGCTGCCACCCCTGAGAATGACGAAACCATGCTCATTCCCCTTGGTTCTTGTGATAGCTGCCAAGCCTTGCTTAGTCACGCCCATGAAGTGATGTTTAGAAGCTGCTGCGCCAATAGCGTCGATAGCGACGTTAAGATTTCCATCAGTGCCATTCTTGAAGCCAATTGGGAAAGAAAGGCCGGAAGCAAGTTCGCGATGTAGCTGTGACTCGGTGGTACGGGCGCCAATGGCACCAACAGAGATGAAGTCTGCTAGGAACTGAGGTGAAATGGTATCCAGCATTTCGCTGGCGATGGGCATTCCCGCATTAGTTAAGTCGCTGAACATTTGTCGAGATATGCGGAGACCTTTGTTGATTTGGAAGCTGTTGTCGATATCGGGATCGTTTATTAGACCTTTCCAACCCACGGTTGTCCGAGGCTTTTCAAGGTAAGCCCGCATAATGATACACAAGTCATCCGATAGCTTCTCAGAAAGCTTCTTAAGGCGCTGCGCGTACTCGTGGGCTGTGGTCGGGTCGTGGATAGAGCAAGGACCCACGACGACTAACAGACGGTCACTACGACCCATGATGATAGCGACAGCATCTCTTCGACCCTTGACAACAGTCTGTAAGGAGGCGTCGGTCATGGGAATTTCAGATATAAGTAGTGCTGGAGGGATTAGAGGGTCCTGGCCCAGGACTGCCGTTTCAAGATACATCAGCATCTCTCTTGTCTAAGTACTGGCTTCTTTCTCTTTTTTCTTTTTGGTAACACAGCACTCGTCTGAGTTATGTAGGACGAAGAAAAAGGAAGAGAGATCTCGAGTAACATAGGAGACTCGATATTAAAATGTAAAATGTAAGATTAATGTTTGCTATCTCACGTACCTCTCATATCATCGGCCACGAGGGGCGCTATATCGACTCCCGGCATAGTGGTGAATGGACGGGCAAAGTAGTGACAGAAATGTAAAGGAAGGCGAGTGATTGGTTGATGAACAAGCAATTGTCTAGGGGACAAGAGACGGATGATTAGTTGTTTGCTACGGACAATCTGAGCAACGGATAGATGCGTAATACGTGGTGTGGAAGCCGTTATATTTTTGCAGATTCGAGGTGAGTCAGACGAAATATTTGGATGATTGAGATGAGGAAGAGAAAAAAAAAATATTGTAAAAGGAGAAGTTGTCTTGATCTGGTTCCCCAATTCTTTGATCCCCTGTTGTAGCTTTGTAGTTTAAATCCTTCAGACCCGAATCTAATATGTTGATAGGCTAAGGTATTCAGAGAAGAATGGTATGAGAAAATAATGTAGTTTTAACAGCGTTGGATGAAGTTCGTATGTTAGTTGAAGAATAAAATATTAAGTGAATTTTTGGCGTACCTAAAGGTCCGATATCATAAAAAATCACTTAGTCACCTTTTGTATGTACATGTATGTACCATCTAGTAGGCAAAAGGGCGTAATTCTAATCACTAGGTACATAATATACGTACTTGTATAGATATTCATATAAATTTCTTCCGCTGTTCGCAGTTTAGTGAAGAAGGAAAGGAAGATTGAAGTGGGGTGAAAAAGTCAATAAATGGAGGGGTTATCCTACGTAAGTGGCATGTATCACGCTAAATACACATTTGGATGCACCTGGCAATGTACCTAGCTGTACCCGTATATGTACTGTGGGTCTCTTCATGTACCTACGAGGTAAGCTAAGTGATTAACCCTATTTGGACAAATCTTGACTTGGACTAACTTAACTTTTCCTTTCCTTCTCTTTTATCTTCATTCCGTTTTTTTCCCTCTCCTCTACTTTTCTAATCGATTCCCAGCTATTCGCTTGTCCTCATTCATCTCATCTTATTGTCATCGTAAGATGGTAACACGCATTGGTTACCCACGAACCAATTATTTTCAAGTTCTATCACACCGCTCTAAACGAGCTCGTGGAGTTTTGCTATCACGTTACTGGCTCAGCTCAATTTTTCTACAGCCTACTCATTCGCCCACGGAGCTGAGCTACATGATGAAGAATAAGATAACATTAATATAAGTTTATGACTTAATTGTCAATTTTTCCATCTAGATCTATCCCGTCCCTTTTTGCGTATGCATTGGCCTCTAGTGTTGTTCATGTCGATATCATCGGCCCCTCACCCCGAATAGCACCACTTTTAGGTATGATTGGGGATAGGCCCCCAGACTTAAACCGGACAGCAGTGGATACATCATTCCTACGTACCTACTGGGTAGTATCGAGAGCTACTCTGGAAATGGAGATCTCCAAAAGCCTCTTTTTACAATCTCTTACCTCTTCAAATGAATGTCATGCTGCATATCTATTGATTGATATCATTCCGTTTGTGCGGTCTATCAACATGTCGATTCTGGACAAACTCGGTTAACTTGAGCCCCCTTCCTTCTTATATGGGTTCATCTAACGCTCATGGCATCATGCTGTACCAGATTAAGTGTTCAGGAACCAGCCCTACGGCTAAATGATAGCCTACCAATGAGGCAATATGGCAACGGAGGTATATTATCCGTCGCTTTATACCTCGGCACCATCTTATGGAAATAAGTATCTAAGCTACTGCTATGGAGATCTCTCCTGTGCCTTGGCGTTTTTATCTCTGTTGGTTGTCGCGAACATGGCTTCCACCTCGTCGAATGCGCTGAGAAGCCTCAGCTTCAAGTTCTCCCTCCTAACCACCTGGTTGTTATGGTGGACACTATGCACTACTGCGCTTCCTACCAGTAATGTTCCACGCCAGGACGAAGACTCACATTGGGTCGCAACATGGACCTCGATGCCGCAGCTGGTGGAGCCTAATAACATGCCACCCTCTCCATTCGTATGTCACGCTCTCACCCAAAAGCTCATGAATTGACTAGCTAAATGTGGTTGTAGTCGGGTTCAGCCGCATTCAAGGATGCCACTCTTCGTCAGACATTACACTTGTCTATCGGTGCCGAGAGATTACGCTTCCAGATCTCCAACACCTTCGGCGGGAGCGATCTTCCTATCACGGAAGCTTCCGTAGCTCTTCCAACGGGCGGAAAAACTGGAGTTAACGGGATCGATACGGCCACTTTGAAGGGTCTCACCTTCAATGGCTCGAGTTCGGTTACGATCCCTAAGGGCCAAGTTGCTTATACGGACCCAATCGACTTCAAGGTTGACCCTCAGGGAACTATCACAGTCAGCCTGTATTCTCAACCGGGCCAGTCTGGAAGCAGTATCACGGGACATCCAGGAAGTCGAACTACGTCATGGATGCAACAGGGCAACCATCTAAACGCATCGATCGTCACAGGCGCGAGTACCGCACACTGGTACTTCCTTACCGCTGTCGAAGCTTGGGCCCCAAAGACGACCGGTGCTTTGGTGATTCTCGGGGACAGCATTACGGATGGACGCGGAAGCACGGATAATGCCAACAATCGGTACAGCCAATAGAAATCTAGGAGCTCAAACCCAGAATTTCCACTGACAGTTTTGTAGATGGCCCGATTTGCTTCTTGCCCGAATGCAAAAAGAAGGAATTACTAATATTGCTGTGTGCAATCAAGCGGCGGGTGGCAATACTGTACTGACAGGCGGTCTAGGGCCACCACTCATGCAACGCTACAAGCGGGATCTTCTCACTACCGCTGGCGTCAAGTACGCCCTCATCTTCGAAGGCGTAAATGACATCGGGGGCGCGTCTACGGACTCGGGAACGCAGACTCGCATCGGAAGCAGTTTGACATCATCCTTTAAGACCATTGCCACTGACGCAAAGGCGGCTGGCTTGACCGTCTTCGGGGCAACAATAACTCCGTTCGGCGGGAGTGGGCAAAGCTACAGCAACCCTACCAGAGATCAAACGAGACAGACGGTAAACAAATGGATTCTTGGTGGTGGTGACGGTAGTTTTGAGGCTTCAATCGACTTTGCTAAATTCGTGGCCAATCCTTCGAACGCAGCTAATCTGGCTTCCCAGTATGACGGTGGAGACCACTTACACCCCAACGGCGCAGGTTACCAGGCAATTGCTGACCAATTCCCTCTAGATATTTTCAAAGGGAATGCCACTGCTGTATAAAACGCTAGCTAAAATTTATTGACCAACATAGCGTAATATATTGGCCTGCCAGGGTTCTAAACTCGAGTGTCAACCTGTGGCTGTGTGATTGAGATATCAATTTCAGCGGGCCGAAGATATCATTTGCTATAAACCCCCCTTTTACAGCTACATGAAAGCATTTATCTACCTACTAGTATTCATTCAAGCTGTGCCTAGGTCCTACTCCATACGATAACAGGAATCATTCGTAGTCATTTGCATTGTCAAGTTAGTTAGAAGTATTCATAATTTCTTCGGGAAACGAGGCTATCTCAGTGACTAGAAGTATTACAGGCCTTCTTCTCAGTCGAAGTTTCCCACCAAACACCTAAGAAAATTCGGTTCTCCACTCCGTCGTTCGTCTGATTCTCGTCCCCCATACTCTGTGCGATTGATATCTTGTTTGTCGAATCTAAGGGCATCGTGCCTAGGTATGCGAGCAAAATGTTCAGAGTATTATTAGGTCCCGACAGTCTCGGCGGTAGTACCGAAATGGACCATGAAATAGCTCTCAAAGGCGCCCTCTCAACCATTTCACGGCCCGAACCAGAAACTTTAAAGGAGCGCCAAAATATCGATAGATTGGCCGTCTCAGTCGTAAATGTCTTCATCGAGAAGCTCTATGGCGCTTGAGGTAAGAGTAGGCGCAGGGACAGTTGTGGAAGTTGCATGTGGTTTAGCGACGTTTTCGGTCGAATCTTCGTAAAGCTGTTTGGAAACGCCGAAGAGCACCGCCGAGGCAGCATTAGGTTTTAGGTGCTTGACTAGACGATACACTTCCTTCCTAACACGGACCTCCTCTCGTGTAAGGTAGACATTGAAGGAGGAAGTTGGATGGGTTGCCTCGATCTGCAGATATCGCATAATCGGTTGGATGGTTGCGATTTGACGCTCCACTTGTCTGAGCTGGCGTCGTAAAGCGACTGACTTATTCTCAAGCGCTTCCCTCATCGTATCAGAACCAGCGTTCGCAGGGCGGGAACTCGAGTTCGGATCCGCAAGGTCGGTGCACTTGGCCAATTCCGCGTCATTCTTCGCAATGTCTTCCTTGATGGAAAGTAGGTCTCCGTGGTAGCGGATGATCTTGTAGCTTACTGATGTGAGAAGATCATTTTCCTTGAAAGTCGTTGATTTGGATTGAGTAGTAACCGAGCTCGAATTCGAGGGCGCTGCAACGTCTGTATGTTGATTCATGGTCAGTTATTGAAAAGTCGTAGACCTGAAGCGTTCTAAGAGCGACTATGATTAGAATTATGGCGGATGAATTTGTAGAGGGGATTCAATAGATATTGATTGAGGTGAGAATGGGTTCCTGATTGCGTTGGGAATTATTAGCTGGCCACGGAGGAGTACGACGTGCTTGTACCTAAAGTATGTGCACTGACCGCAGATATGAATCGGATCCGCTGGTAGAAGATGTAAGGCGTTGAAAGAAAGGTGCAATCACTTATCAAACTAGGAAACAACACATGGACACTGTCTGTTCCGACGGGGTACCCGGCCGATGGTGGACTCGGTCGGTACTCTTCCCCGGAAGCAAACGGGGTTGCCTATCGTACAGCGGGGATCATTGGTGTACACTTGCACTGTCTATTCCATAGCAAGAACCCGGCTTGCGCATGATCTTTCCCTATTTTCATACGTTGTCATGCCCGCGTATTATCTACCATGTGTATCGATCTCGGGGTCTGCATCTATGTGAGTACGCGCAAACGCGAAGGACGATGCCGTTCTCATTCTTTTCACTTAAACCGCTTATTGGTTTCATCATTGAAATTCGGGATACATCGGACAAACAGTATTATCCTCGTGTCCGGGTCGTCGTCTAATATCCCTCCTAAATCGTAGTAGGAATGCCCTGTCCCTGTGTACGTCATAGTTATCGTGCTGGCACTTGACATTTTGCGATGTAATATAGCCGTGGGGCTTCCCCCCTCGCGTGTGAGTGGTTTGTGAAGGATATACCTCGTTTAAAATCAAATACATTCGCTATATGATTATCTAGTCTATACAAACGTCTCATTCCATGGTCGCCGAGTCTGATCTCCCAAGCCCGGCATACACGTTATCGTGTCCGGGGGTGTCTCAACCCACGGGATCTTCATCGCTTCCGCATCCTCTTGTTCTGTCCACCGCGATGTGTATCCCTTCAGCGCCTTGATCTTGGCTGCCGCCTCGTCCGAATACTCGAGGTTGACCGAAGGCACCACGGCAATGCGGCCATGGCCGGTCCGCCAGAGATCCTTACAGAATAGCGTGGGCTCTCCCGAATGACACTCGCCTTCACGTGACGCTCGAAATTCGATCCTTTCTTCTTTCTCCCCGTCGCCAGAGGACTGCTCGCCAAGTATTGGACCGGCCCCGAATGTCACAGCACCGTTCCAGCAGGCGAAAACCTGAAACGGAAGTGTCCGACTAAATCGTCCCCTCGTAGTACCGTCGTTCCAGAAGAGATTCCATGCACTGTTCCAATTGCCATCCGGCGGAATATCGAAGAATAGATCGCCCTGTATGGTGCGCGCCACCCAGACATCGTAGAAGGTTGGATCGCGGCCGACGTAGGTCCAATCCATGGCGCAGGTCATATCAGCCGACTGAAAGGCTCGCTGATGTGCTAGCTCGAGGATGTCATTCACACATAGCGCTACATCGTTTAAAAATATGACTGTCGTGTTGGCATTCGGCACGAGGGCGGATTGCGGAGATATCTTCGGGTAGCCAGGCACGCCAGCAATAGAGAGCAACGGCGAGAGGGCCAAATTGCGGAGCTTCGCTAGTTTTTCTATCCTCTCCCCAGCGCCAGGATCCAATTCGCTCGATTGAACATAATACGTAACCACTAAATCTTTTAGCTCGGGTCGGAGAGCGTAGAGAACCTCACGGGTGCCATCGTTCGAATTCCCTTCCACTATGGACAAAACACAATTGGAGGGACCTAAGAACCTAATAGCCTCGACGGTTGACCCTAGAAGTCGAGGTAACACTTTTATGGATTGCCGCAAGTCAAGAGCAAAATAATATTTTAATTCCTGAGACGCGCCGTCTCCTATTGGCGCTTTCAAGTATTCATATCGTGCGGAATCTGGAGCCGGGCATTCCAAACGAGGGAATGTAGTGTCTGACGGGTCGAATATGGCTTTGATATATGATGTAGTATCGAAGGAGGAATCCAATGCCACAGGCTCAGGTTCAGGCTCCGGTGTGCTCGTGGGGATATGACTAACTATCTCTTCAGGTTGTGTTGTTGATGGTGGTGGTGGTTTATCTTCAGTGTTGGCGGGAGATATCGGGGCGTGCTGATCTGGATGAAAGCTATAATGTCTCCATTGATCCCACGATTCCGGTGAGAAGCTTTGGTAACCGATCCAAATTGTTATGGTAACGAGAAAAATGCAGGCTACCTGAATTATAATCCGACGGCCTCGCAGCATCATGACATGACTTTTAGGAGTTTAGAGAAAAAAAAAAAAAAGAAAGAAACCTTTACTAAAATCCCATTAATCTGGCATAAGGCATTTCCGGGCCGAAAAGGCTGAGTGTCGGTATCGTCAGGGATGACGGATGACAGATGAGGCTACGATGCGTTAGACACGCGTTCTTGTTTCAATAAGCGCCTAATTCCGTTTTCGGGCATATTTTATTGATCATTATGAGCAGCAGACCCAATTTCCACATTTGTCCGGCTGAGCCGCAGTGATGCGATAGAATGTTATTTGTGGCAAATAACGATGATCTTTATTGGCTGTTGGTTCCCCCTTAAAACAAAGACCTGCGTGTGTTGGTTCGAAAAACACGGGAAAGCAAGGGCCGCATGAAAAAAAATTCTGTAGGAATCACATAGTAATGACCGCTGCTCTTATCTAAAATGGTAGGTGCTCACGATTCATCGGGGTCTTCGCTTTTTAGCATGTTGAGTCAAGACCGGAGAGTGGATTGCTGACCACGACAATTTGACGATGGATCCTTTCTGTAATTGGCCAGAGTCCTTATTTACACAGAAGGACTGGTGGGAAGGAGATGGGGTGACATATCCACACGAAGCAGGGCCGAGCAAGGGTGAAGCGGCTCTCCCCTTTAGTGTATGTATTGTGAGTTGTATGTGCCGTTATTGTAATGAACTATTATTCCGTATGCGCAGCCTTCCTCGCTTGACGAGCTGAGACGAGAAGCGCGTCCCGCAAAGAATACCGGGGGTGTTGCCGTCTCTGCTTCTCCCGTCCGTATTGGGTTGCTAATCTGCTCGGGTCCTCTACCCTTCACGTTTTTTCTTCCATATTCTTACCTACACTGTAGCGTACGTCACTCATGCATCCTCAAAGGTAGCCAGGCAATATTGGAATCCTCAAGATGGCGGCGCACCTTCATGTCTCTCGTTTTTTCTTATTGCTTTTGCATGTTGTGACCGTCCTTGCTTTCTATAACGTCTCAGTCACGGAGCTAAGAGTAGTTGAGACAAGTCTGCCCCGATTAGGCAGAAGAAATGGCGGTATCGCACTCGAACAACGAGCCGTCACGACCGAACTATCTACGTGCGGTTACGTAGACGGCGATCCATCTAAAATTCGAACTGCTGAACCGGGCTATGACTGTCGTATAGATATTACGAAGGGTTTATGGGGGTTTTGCCCTACAACTGTTATTTCGGCTTCGGATTGTGGATTGGCGGGAGTGTGCGTTGATCAATCGGATTGCTCCGAGGGCTGCGGGCTGACAGGAACAGAGGGCATTACCACGTTCACCTGGTGAGTCGATATTATCCCCAATGCATCGGGATCGATATACTAATAGCGCTCGGATCGTAGTACCAAGTCGGGTGAAAATTTCTGTTCTACTGCCCTCAATGTTCGAGGAGTAGACCAAACATTCAGTTACATAGCCTGCGGTGCGAGTGCGGAAATAATCACTCTGCTTGCTGAACCATCGGATGAAACAACCTCGAGCACGTCCGCGACAGCTACCAGCAAAGAAAATGTAGTGGGTAGTTCATCAACTTCACAGCCGGTACCAGCTTCGACTACACCTCAGTCGGGAAGTCTACTGACTAATCCGTCGGAACCTACGACACAGGCCCAACAACAACAATCGGGTGGCTCTTCGACAAATACGGGTGGGATCATCGGAGGTGTGCTAGGTGGTTTGGCGCTTGTGTGTGGTACGGTGTTAGCTGCTCTCTATCTTCTTCGACGAGGTCGGCAGAGACAACGAGAAAGCCAAGAAGCAGCGAACGCTATAAATGGTATGGCACAATCCGGGCCTAATAAAGACTACTCGGCGTACAGCATGGTACCATCACCATCAGAAGCGGATAGCGTCCCGGTAGCTAGACCACAGACACATCCGGCCGAGGTGTACGGCAGTCCGGCTTGGAGACAACATTCAAGCGATGCTCAGGAGTTGCCTTGAAGTATCATTCTCGGTATGGGTGAGACGCTTGAACTAAATAATTCGGACCCTATATGAAGTATAGAGATGGTACTGGAAGCATTCGCATTATTATATATAGGAGAGTGAGTTTTATAGCTTGGCTCCTTTCTAGCTTGAAAAGAGTTAGATATCCCATGGATATTAGAGATTTATGTATATACTATAAGACTTATCTTTTCGTAACTTATTCGGACATTTCAATTGAATATAATATTTGATATAGGCAATTCTTAGAGGTGTAAGCGTGGTTGAGTGAGAAGCAGAGTATTGATTCTTGAATTCTCCCTCACTATGAAGTAGGCGTGAAGAAATAAAAGAAAGGAAAGGCGAATGGGAAGATTTAAGAAAAGAAAGTTGATAATAGCAGGAAGAAGGTACAGTACACCTTGAAGCTTCTAAGAATTGGGGTTATAGCCAATAGGACGCAAGAGATGATGGAGTTACTTAAGCCCGGGGTAATCGAGCAAGTGGTCCGCTTTTCGTGGTGGGTAGGTACGTACCCAGATAGTGTAGAATGTGAGATTTTCATCAGCCTCACAAGTCATAGCCCCACCTTATCCACATTATCCACAAACGTGCGCACAAAAATATGCACCGCCACGTTAAAAAATTGTAGGGTTTTCAAGCCCTCCAAAATTTTGCCGAAAGTTGCGGGTTCCAGTCCTTACAAGCCTCGACTAACAAACCCTCTGGGAAATTCTCGTGCCTCCAATCTGGAGAATTCGAGAGACGACCTACGATTGACGACCATTCTTTCCAATACTAACCCTTGATCGCGACCAGTCACAATGGTGAGTGTTATTCTTGAAAATGATTATGAATACATGAAATACATCATGATCATTCCACCCATTCAATCTCTTGAATTCAAAAGGACCAAAAAATATATTAACATATCAATTCTTAATAGGCGATCAAGCACAACAACCAGATTCAGCACAACCGTACGTCCAACACCCCCGAAGTCACACCCGAATTGATGGATCGAGCGACTATATTTGCAATTGAAGAACAACAATGCTGATAGAATTCATATAGATTTCCGAAAGGATTGGCAACGACGGGTCCGAACCCACTTCGACCAGGTATGAAGACCCGACTACTTGATGATTTCAACGACGAGGTGATGGAAATGGAAATATTCTGACACTGCGATTGGGATTTTTATAGCCGACCAAGAAGATTCACCGTCGCTCTCTGCGCCGTGCCAAGGCTGCTGCCGTTGCTCCCCGACCCGTCGACAAGCTACGACCAGTCGTCCGATGCCCTACCATTAAGTACAACCGTCGCGTTCGCGCTGGACGTGGTTTCACCCTAGCCGAGTTGAAGGTAAAACCACACCCGAGGGATCTAAGACCACACAAAGATCCTCTGCCGCTCGCTAGTATTTATAGACTTCGAGCGTCACGAGCATCTTTCACTGGGATATATCCGCATTCACATTTTTTAGTTGGAATAATCTAACAGCCATATAGGAAGCCGGTATCCCCCGCCTTGTAGCGCCCACTATCGGTATCTCCGTCGACTACCGACGACAGAACCTCAGCGAGGAATCCCTCGCGGCCAACGTTGCCCGTCTTAAGGCTTACCAGTCCCGATTGATCGTCTTCCCCCGCAAGGGCGCCAAGCACCCCAAGGCTGGCGACAGCAAGGACATCGACCTATCCAAGACCGAGACCGTTTCCACCCTCGGATCTGCCCTACCTATCATCCCTGTCGGCGAGGGTATCAGCGAGATCAAGAAGAGCGAACTACCCAAGCCTATCGAGGGCGGTGCTTACACCGCGCTTCGCAAGGCCCGAAGCGAAGCAAGACTACGTGGTGCGCGGGAGAAGCGAGCCAGGGACAAGGCCGAAGCGGAGGCCAACAAGAAATAAGATGGACGAGGATCTGCACGGGAGTACGGACGGCATTCTTAGGGTTCTGCTTTCGTTGTGTCGTTGGACGGTCACGGTGGGTTGGCTTGCGGTTTCTGTGTAGCCAAGAGAGGAATAGATATCATCACTCTCTCGCCACATACACATGGGCCGAAGCATTATTGCATCTTCCGGTTTGCTCTAGGTCGTTCTCAATGGAAAAATGAATGGACATGATTATACCCGTCTTTGACCAATTGTGAAGTGAAACTGGGTCAGTACGTTGATCGAGGAACAAAGGACACGAACATGCGAATAGTGACGACGTCCTTTCATTCATACTAAATATGTTTATGTCTATTTGAATTTCTACTCTGAACGCTTAAAGCAGTTTAGAAATTAACTGGCTACCTATAACCTATGGATAGATCGAAGCCAACAGTCTTAATTGTCCCTTGAGCTTTAATCCTTATTATCGAGGATTAATTCTCCACCGATCTTTAGTATTCGGTTGAATGTGTTTCTCACGGAACTAGGAAGCTCGTCCGGACATCGCTTTAGTAGTTCAGCAATTAACACCAGCCCATTCTCCCGATCTACTTTCGTCATAGTCGCAGCTTTCGCTGGGTCGACCTGCTGCGGTTCGAGCTGACCTAACCCACTTATTGCCGAGAGGTCAGGTCCAGACGACACCTCCGCTAGCTCATTATCATCTGAGCTTGGTAACGCTTGATGCTCAGACGTCTTCTCGCCCGTTATGGTTTCAATAAGCACGTTCACTATTTCAGGTCGTTGCTGCAGCGAATGTGTCACGACGGCGGCTCCTTCAACTGAACGTGCCATTAAGGCGAGTACGAACCATAGTTCGGATCGTAGGACTGAGAACTTGGTCTGTAGACCGAGATATAGTAGTATATCTGGTAACGCTGGATGGTTCTTATAAAACTCCTGCAGCTGAGAGCGGGTTTCTTGCTCCGAGGGAGATAAAGAAGTCGATGAGTCTTGAAGGAGTAGAGAACCGGGAGTTTTCTCGGAGTGGAGTACACGGCAGACATTGGCCACCGAACGGGATATCTCCATTTTGATGGGATCTTGATCCGCCTTTCGATGAAGTTCCATTAGACCATGAAGATGCGTTTTATCTTTCGCGTTCACCGACGTAGAAACGCGTCGCACGTTTTCCGGGCAATTTACAAGTAAGAGACGAGTAAGAGATACGGCATCAAATTGGATCTGTGGCTGCGTGTCGACGTTCCAAATACGAGGAAGTACATTCGAATCCAGTAGTCCCGCGTCGCCTAAGATTGCCTTATTGCTCGCTGGGATAGACAAGTTCTTTAGGAAACTAAAGATAGAGTGTGCCAATTGGGCATCCACAGGTTGGTCAGAAGATATGGCAGCGATGAGCGGTTTATGTACTGATTTTTGTTGCACTAAGGCGACGCTCGAATCGTCGGACCGAGCGATATTGCCTAGAGCTAGACAGGCTGCGGCTTGAAGGGATGTGGAATGACCTGAAGAGATCCACCGTAGGAGTGTATCCGTTAAGTCGCCGTCTAATGGGCATAAAGAAACGAATCGAGGGTGGGCAGATAGATCTGCTAAGGCTCCCGTATACGCCAGTTCCAGTTGATTGAGTTGTGATTTTTCCTCGGCATCCTCGAAGTCGAATATCGAAGAACCCTCGGCGGCAGTCTGAAAAGCTTCCAAGAATACTTTGATGGCATTTGGAGTCTCTAGGAAGCTATCTTGGAATTGCTGACGGGAAAGGTAGGTTAACGCAGCAGAAGACAGCCCGGTGAAGCCGTCGAGATCCGGTGAATTTGGATTAGGGTCCTTTAAACCTGCTTGAGTTAAGAGGACATATGGCGCTTGAAGGTTTAATGAGTCGAGCTCGGAATCTTGGGTCTCGTTAGTTGGGAGGCCCCAAAATACGTCGAGGGTCTGGGTGCGGATGGTGGGGAAGAGGTGTGATTTACCTTGAGTCGCCGCAATGCCTATCAACTTGTAGACGATACTTATATAAACCGATACTTTTTCCTGCCATTGGGGGTTTATAAAGAGATCAATTAAGTAGTTACTCAACCCAGCTTTTGCTGCAGTTGCTTGGGTAGGCTCTGATTAAGATTCTGTCAGGAAAAACGCACATATCACGTAGGTCGACCCATTCCCCTTACCGTAATCAACACAGATATTATATAGCACCGGGATGGCAAGTTGTAATAAAGATTCATTGCTCAAGAGTTTCACGAGCCCAGGCAGATGATCTGAGTCAATGACTCTTTGCCGATTTTCATCTATTTCCAGTAAGTATGTGCATAAATTGGAAGGTGAGGAGGTAAAGACAATTTCTATTAGAGTATATGGACGCTTACCTTGATCGGCACAAGAATTACCTATGACGCGGAGGGCATGGGCCACGATATCCGGGTCCGCATCCGCTGCCTGTGTCAGGTCTAAGAAGAAGTTGAGTAGACCTGATCTCCCAAGCGGTATCCTCCATCGCCCTAAAAGATAGAAAGGTTTGTTAGACCCCACTATGCAGAAATAACCACATATAGAGGGTAGATTAAAACTGATCATTATCATATATTGGATATTCACCTTCTCGACTCGCGTTTCCAACTTTTTCTACAAACGCCTTAAGTTCGGGGGACTTGGCTTCCTGGAGTTTTTGAGCTAGATCGAGAACCTCTTTCAAAATCTCAACCCTCGACTCCTCATTTTGGGGGATGTTGTCGAAGACATCTTGGATCTTGTCGGGCGTCATGGTTTAGGGCTCATGTTAAGCCTAACTCAAAAGGGAAATGTGTACTTTAGGTAGTATATGTAGCTGTGATTGTATAAACTTAAAATGAGCGGCAGTGATGATGACGATAGTTGTAAAGGGGAAGGAGGAGGAGGTAATGCCGGTGATGGTCGTGCCTGCTACCTATTAGATCTCGATAATTGGTAGGAGGTAGGTACTTTAGGTAGGACTTTCCGCTAATCGGGTCCAGATCCGGGTAAAGATTAAGTGAGGCTCTACACTACTTTATAGCGGCTTCATCCACTAATAAAGTGAGCTAGTACTGACTTTTAGGTACCAGTAGGCCTAACTACATAGCGGGGTTAGACGCGCGTCGGCCTTTTTTCTGCTCTCTCTTTTTTTCCTCCGTTTCTTTATCTTTTTCTTCTTCTTTTTTTCGTAGTTTTCACTCACTGTCCCTTTCACACTTCTTCTTAAATCAACCGACCCCGGGTAGAATATGGAAATATCCATATTGATGAGGATATGCCAATCATACATCATTACAATAACGCCCAGGAAAAGAATTGTGCCACCAGATAGGTGAAGAAAACTAATTGCCAATGGAATAGGCCCATGTCTTCGCGATGCGCGATAATATGACTTTAAACCATCTATAAATATGATTATTAAGATGCTATTTCTACGAATCTTACCATTCCTTCTTGAGTAATCTCATATCTCATGGTATTCCTTCGGTTGCCTTGGTTATGTGGGCTAAGAAGCCGAGCGACACTTGGGCGATGCGATCCGGGAACAACTTGAGGGTTGGACCATGGTGATGACAAAAATATCAAGCTTAAGTAGATCGAGATAAGTTATATCAGGTCGCACCACTTCCCAGCACATGAACGACTAGAGACTGAGACCGTAACGTTAGGGTAACGCAATTCAGCATGTTCATTTTTCATTGCATCGCAGCAAATAAAACCACCTAGGTATTCACTCCATGATGGGATTCCCATACATTAAAGCCCCTAATATACTTGTATCAATATCATCGATAGGGAGCATACCAATTTTTCCGGCTTCTCAATGATCTTGGCTCGTGTACAGGCTGAACCAAGCATTACACGGGACTAAGAGTGGTAGAAGATGTCACATCGTATTCCGTGAACTATTCAATTTCGGCGCTTCCAGCCTGTGGGATGTTAGTTTCCGCCGCGAGTGGCCGTCTTGGTTGGTAGCCAACATCGATCGGGTCCAACACAATAAGATGGATTTACTACCTGCAGTGGTCCTTGAAGAATATCAAGTCGATATTTGATCTCAACTCCCCCACTTAACCAGTGCCCCTTTTTCGTGTCCATATCGTCCTACTCATGGATTTCATTCCCACCTACCCACCAACGCCAGATAGTTAAGCAAGATACAAGTATATTAACATATTAGACTCCATCCGATGTCATGGTTATTATGACTCATGAATAATAATACCGGTGGCTATCAGATGATAATATGGCCTTGCAAACTATAGGCACATGTTCAGTATAAATCCATCCACACTCGAGTGCGGTAATAACGCTTCCTGACGCGAGTCCAACCATCCGAGTGTTTCAGTATTGGCCTAGGTCATACCTCATAATTTCCGCCACCTTCGTTATGTGCGACACAAGCTCTATGATGTCTGGAGCAAACATATTCATCTCAACCTCTAGCATGTCCCTTTCATGCAGCGTGGTATGCGTGCCACTGACTAGTGACCATGACATGTAATTGAAATGCTCCGCTAATCTAGGGATTATTCTCACGGAGAGCAAACGTATGACAAGACGGCCTGGAGTTTGCTTCGACTCGGGCCAACAACGGTATTAAAAGAAAGCATATCCTACCTCTCCAACCAAATAGTGTTGACTTCCTATCTACCTAGTCTAGATCAATCCTACAGTCGCTCGTTCACCATGGCCATACGCTGGCTTTTGTCACTCGTTTATCTTTCGGCAACTCTCACAGTTGCACGAGAGTATTCATATTCAGATGCGGATCTCTTGGACGCCACTATCACGAAGAGCGTCACCGAGACCGTCACGAAATACCTCTCTGAATGCGGCAACACACAAGTTCCAGATACGACTCTACCTGACACTACTACATTTACCAGCACGCTTCAGTCCACTGTTTCTATCATCATCCCAGCCAGTGTGACTGATGTCTCAGGCGTCGCTCCTATAGGCCTCAACCCATCCCAATCGGGTTTCAATTTTACAAATGTGACTCTTTCGCCTACTCCCTCCGTGCTAGGAACCGGTATACCCACTGGGCTCAATCACTCTACCCTTGCGAACATCACGAAGGTTCCTTGCTCTACAGCAACAGGTAACTTGATCGCCCCAGCCTTTTATTCAAAAAATTCAGCAAATCTAATACTTAGCATCACAGTTATAGTTACAGGGCCACTTAGTAGCTCAGGTCACAGCGGTACTCTCACCAGTCCTGTCCAGACAACATCATCCATTGCGCCCGCCAGTGTGTCCCCAACTCAAGTCCCAATCAGCGAATCATATAAATCAGGGCACGTTACAGCCATGCAGATACTTTTGGGTGTAGCAGGTATATTATCAGTGTTTGTCGCTGGCTTCCTCTAGTCCCCCAAAGGGAGGAGATCCCTTTGAAATAGCCGGGGATAGGGGCTGGCTCCCGGGCCTAAACCAAGTATTTTAATGTTCTCGGCAAGATATTCCCACTATACTTGGTGTAATGACGATGGTACTAATGACGGATATACCTAATTAAGCGTTGATTTATAAATCCATAGAAAAAATATCTGTTCTGAACCAGTCAAATGTTCTGTGGCACTGAATAAGGGGTAGAAGCACTAATGACAACGGAATACTTCATGACCATACGTTAGCAAAATTAACACAATGAATCTATTTCACGCTTGGGCCCTTAATCAAGGTTAAGTGATTCGCAAGTACCATTTGATTTGAGCTGAAATCTCCGCAGAATAACCACCTGAGTAATCGTGTATCAAATCATCGCCACAGATATGCCATTCACCCCCAGATATTTAGGCCAAGCCCCAGTCCCATTCTTCAAATCATAGCCGTAGTTTGAACTCCGTCGTCCTCTTCAGACCATTTCGCTTCCTCGCAACCTTCATATTGTCTCGGTCTTCAACCCCTTTCCCTTCTTTTAGCTTAGATTCCTTTGCCCTCCGAGCCTCGCGCTCCCGTTCTCTTTTCTTATGTTTTTGGTTCACTACTCTTCTCGCCATCAGATTCTGCATGAAACCGATCGGGTCGAGTTTTCGCCTTGCTTCTTTCCATTTGAACCGCCCAGTGATGCTCTCGGGTGATATTGACTTCTCCACTAGGTATTCGTTCTCCAGAAAACGTCGGCGTTTGAGGATAGGCGTCCCAAAGGTGTCTATGAGGTCCCGAGCGTTCCACACCTTTTGCACCTTATGATCCCAGGCAGGGTGTTTAGGGTCAAGCTCTAGTATTTGGATCCCGGTGTGGCCGCGAGCCTGGAATACTGCTGCCACCACCTTCACCTTTTTCAGGTCGTCTGTAACGGATAGGAATGGGCTTGGGTTGCGGCAATTCCAATTAAGATGCTTTTGTACCAATACCTGGAAGTGGACCGGGTTAATATGGATATCTTCAAAGCCTCTTGACTTAATACCCCCGAACGGTTGTCCGTCGTGGATAATGCGGTACAACCTTTTTGGCTGCCGGGTCGCCCAGCAAGTCTCTATCTCTACTTCTTTCTCCAGCAAAGGTCGGCCGTGTAAGAATCCACCACCTCGTGCCAAGTCCTCCACTTCAGGAATGCTGGGATATATTTTGGAGAGGTCGTCGTACACTTCGGGCTTCATCCACAACTTAAAGGGGACCTTCCCATCTAACTTGCTGTCGACTATCCATGCCCCAACTTCAGGCATACGGGCCTGCAGAATACGTCGCCCGCCATAGCGAGGAATCATTAGTGTTTCTGGTGGAATTCTAGTCATGGTGACGTAGTAGTAGTTCTAATAACTAAAGTTGATTAAAAATTGGGGGATAGAGATCGCGATAATAGATGATCAGAATCTAGGATATGATATGCTATTGTAGAGTATCTGATGTATGGCTATTTGTAGATGTAGTAACACGATATGATGCGGGTGAGATGACGAATGTAGGAGTCGTTGATATTGATGACCTTAACTTAATGAATATCTTGGTGATGGAAGAGGCCGTTAGGGTATTCGAAGGTCCATTAATGGGCACTTGGAAGTTATTGCTTGTAGCTTTACCTTATTTCTACAGAAATAAGACCCAGCTGCGATAGTAGAATCGTAGAAAAAACATTGATACGAGAGAGAGTGTGTGTTGGTGGGTGTGTGTGTGTGTGTGTGTGTAGATAGATCATATTACTGATATTAGAATCGACTCGAGGGTAACCACGATCTTCGAGAAAAGGGAAGGATAGGGGGTTGTGAGGTGAGCCTGTATAGCTCCTTCTCTTTATAAAAATCATTACTGCGATCGATCCATCGCAGAGGTAGCTTAGGTGAGATAAAATAAAACGGGTTCATTTTGAGAAATAGATGTTAAGAGTCTCTTCTGTGTATATCCGAGTCTCTGTGGTGGCTAGTTACGAGCTTCTCTGGAACCGACATCGTCCTTATCCCTATTTATTGTTGGCTATATGATCATGCTTTAAGAAAAGTCTTCTAGTGAGTTCCAGCTATTAGGCTGGTAAGTAATGGATATATCAAATTTACATTGTGTTGTTCGAATACGACTTGCTTACTTATAGAGGTAGGTGCGAGGCAGAGTGGAAACTAAATTGCCCGTCTGTACGAAACAAGTATAGATGTTCTCATAACTTCCTTTCAATCAGATGTCTTTTTCATGACTATCCTACTACTGCTTGCTATATGATTACATATGTGAATTTGGCCTCTACCATGCTCTTCCTACTATAGTCGAGTTTAACTAGGTCAGTTGTCGTGGAAGGATATAGTTATAAGAGGAATTGGTGTATTACAAAACAGCCATGATTATTCAACTCAAGTAGAATAGCTTCAAGTTCGCGGCACAGCATGTGTCCGCTGACTCATCGTGGTCTCTTTGTGTTGGATCATGCTAGGAATTATTTCGTAGTGGGGCTGGACAAACACCTTCAACTGTTTCAATTAAACGGAACTCATTCACCTCATTCTCTACATAGAGCTTAACTTGGGCTTATGTCACTGTCATACAACTTATATAATTCCATTCTAGTTAAAAAATAACTAGATATGAATGAGGCTCTTTGCTCGATTCTCTGTGCGCAGGATGAATGGTACTACGATTCGGAGGGCAGGTATATTAAATTCAATAACGATGGTACTGGTGAGGTATGTAGGTTCTCGCCCATACTGTATATCTATATCTGGGAATCTGTCAATAACAACTATAAGTTATGGTGTCGTTGCAACTTCAACTATTGGATCGCTGCGGTATTGGAGTGGAAGAGGATTGATTCGCCGCGTGATCCAACCGAGGTGGCAGGTGTCGCCCAAAACAGGGGTCCTCAACTTCTAGGCCAGCTTAATCTTGAAATAGCTCTTGTTAAACGTCTACCAAAATGGGTTGAGGCTTCAATTCTGTCAAAAAGCACATTGATCAACGAGTTCAGTCTTATGGATGTTGCCTTTCAACCCAAGACATACACCGTTAGAATTGAGAAGGGAAACTTTATAGAACCCTGTAGCATTAATTGCGGGAACTGGAATGGATGGAGATACGAGCTTCGCTTGCTATTTGATAAGTCGCCGTATCCGCCACGATGTCAATGGAAACAGCCGGAAGGTGGTCCAGATGGGGGTCAATTTTGGGACCACAGAGAATTTGTTGGTCGACATTTAGAAGATCTGCCAACTGGAGGAAGAGCTATGAATGATATATCTCCATGGAACGGCTGTATAGTTTCCTAATGGTCTGGACTGGCTTTGCCGTGGTGGTAGCACATAGGATCTTGCCCGGTATGGGCAGTACATTGTGTCGGAGGACTTTCTAATAATTCACGGATAGTTTCGGAAGATGGCATCAAATAACCTCAATATCCCACCCCGGCGTCCTCTATGGTATGATCATCATAGGATAGCCCGGATTGAAGGCCGATTGGCGCGTATATGGGTGATGGTCGGTTTGGTGGAGGTGAGGTTGAGCTATCAAAACCCCCTTTCGGACCCTTTTTCGGACCCCTATTTGGGGTCACTCCATCGCAACTAGTGGTATAATATGGCTTCGAGAGCAAGCCGTGCCTTGTATCTTAAGCTGACAGCATCGAGTCTTTCAAACTTAATGTTTGTGTATGCGATGATCAACGAAAATATGGAACCGTGTGAATACCGTGTTTAGCCATAGCAAGGCACGTTCTATTTATATTTTATCTCTTAAACTTGGGTTAGATCTTTGATTATGACCATTATTACGTCTGAATATTCCGTGTACTTTTTTTATCGTAATGTCTCATTGCTCGTTGCTCATGTCGCATTAATCCCTCGTCTCTTTCCTCCCTCATTTATCCTTGCTAACCCAATTGATATTCTCATCATCCATCGCTATAATGAATACTGACGTTGAACTACACGTGTGTCGGGCTCAAGTGTACTTCCACAGATATCTTGGTAGAATCCCGCTGACTTATGATCTCAATGATGTCCATGTCCGCGTCGGCGTGTGTGATGGTATGGATAAACGTAATTATAATCATGATATTGGGGTGGTACCCATGGCGGATATTCGTCTCGATATATGTGATAGTGTGGATGGTGGTGGTATGATATACGAGGGTGCGGCGTAGAATATTGTGGCGGATTTGGCATAAAGCCCGGGGCGACTGAGTTCAGGAATTGATGTCCTGAGGGTGAAATTGGGCCAGTTCCGGCCGGGCCAAAATGGTAAGATAGAATATAGCATAGAAGTGGCGTGTAAGGAACAGTGTATGGACGATACACATCGTTGGTAAGATGGTAAGGAGGATATGAATGCATTATCTTGTAGAGGTGCCTGTCCTGGAGGTGTTGTATGTGTTGTTGGGATAGAAATGGGGAAAATGCCTCAACAATGATTTTGAAAGAATTGATTTTCGAGTATATAATGTAAGATTAAGTGATCAAGCAATCATTTGATTAAATGCTTATTTCTCTCTTTAATGGGTACGACGTGTAGAACGAAGTTGATATCACCTACCACTGAGTATCGTGGACTTCTTAGCGACGTATGTAAAACTCCAGCCAGTTGACTACTTAAATAGTCAACCAAAAGAAAAAAAAAACTACACCGAAAAAGCAATGGTATGAGGGGTTGTACGACATGATTACCCGCCATTATCACGGTCGCTGGTAATCAATGCAATGCGCCGTCATGTACGCCTCCATGTATGCCTTGCCCTGCCTACCTGCGTGCTGAAATCTTGTCCGGCTATATCCACTCTAGATTGGCTATGAGTACTTTGATGGACGGCGACCCTCAAGCCTTCGGAGAAACAAGCGATTACATATCTATAGTAAGTTTAGCGGTGTACGTACGGACTTTAGGTAGGCTACGGTATCCCTCCAATTCTTGTCATTGACACCGATGAAAGGGGTTTTCGAGGATCTTTAATGAAGATGTTATTGATTCTAAATAGAAATAAAGGGGGAATATATAATTAGTATTCGGAGAGAGTATTTTACTTATGAGTGATATACTCATTTTTGTTGTTAGGGCTGCTTGATCATTAATTTATTGTGAAGTTGTAGAAAAGAAGAGAAGAGTATGGTCTGAATATTGATGTAGGTGGCTGAGATGATTTATGAGACATTCATAAATTGTTCATAAACTTATACATGCATATAAGTTGGTGCATAAATACTTAAGCGGAATCGCGGCAGGCCATGGTGTCCGCGTCGCGCGATACGAATAAAATAGACTTTTTAGTATTGATAAGTTTACTGAGTTTAACGTTAGCGACTTACAACTTCCAATTCAATTCTTTTTAAGTCGCTCCTTTTTTATACCTCGATACTTCGTTCAGCTCACGTTCACCAACCGACCGAAAATACAAATTACGGTCCTCAATTCTAATAAAACCCTTCCACCCAAGTTAATCGCATACAAGCGCAAATCACAATCAACATGACGCGCGCACAGCAAACCATCTCTATCGGTCTCCTCGTTACCTCCGTATGTCAATATAGGCCGCCTCTCTACTACCTTCAATGGCTTTGGAATTGCTCTTTTGTAGGACCTACTAACAATCATCCCAGCTTTACCTCGCCTTGTACTTACAACTCGTTCCCCTCCCCGAGCTTGTACAGACCGAGATCGTTCCTGTTGTACGTCTAAAGACTCTCCTTACCCTACCTAGAATGATGTAGCTTATATTAATACCTATCGCAAATAAATAGCTTCCCTTCTGGGCCCTCGTTTCCTTCGGCGCTTACCTCCTCTTCCGTCTTGGCTGGAATGTCATGACCTTCCACGATGTACCCGAGGCTCATAAGGAGCTCACGGCCGAGATTGAGTTGGCCAAAACCGATCTCCGACGCTTGGGTGTTGATGTGGACTGAATGCTCTACATCATACATGCGATTGATAGCGGAATAATGCGGCTAGGTCTAATTTATATGGACTCGTCTTGACCACAAGGGGGGCCATTGTCTGAGCACGAACGGAGACATGAATCATTTGGGGACAATTCATCAACCCATCCCCTATTCTTGCGACTACGATTCTATAAGGCATACCCGAATCAATGGAAAAGCACAATATCTTCGTGATCTGGCTTGATTTGGTGACTGAATCCTGCTCTATACAATGGGGCACTATTGTGTGATATTTATGCCCAAAAGCAAGGATAGATTTGGAAGTATAGATGGTATATGGATACGGTCCGGATGATGAATTGGGGAGTGGCATTTCAACCAAACCCTCATCAATTCTAGCTACTCTTCCCCTTCTAATTGTAGCATTACCTCCCAACCGCTCGTAAAACCACGTCATATCCTCATAAGCGCGTAACAAGCTACGATTAGTAGCTCAAGTTATTCCGTTCGTAAACGCCTTTCCCCATATTCATCCTTCCCCAACCAGTAATGCGGCCACCGTCCTAAGCGCCTCCATTGGATCCGTATTTTCTTGGATTAACTTGTTAAACATATCTGGTACGCTGGATAAACTACCTCTCGTATCGTGACCATGCCCTGTTAGGAATTAGATTATATTTCATAAACATAAATAACATATTAGTAGTACGAATTGACTTACACTTTGCGGGTGCCCCAAATAAAAGCCCCATCTTGCTCTGCGCTTCTCCCGTCCAGTCGAACTCAATACGCCATTGAATACGAACACTTGGAATTTCTTCCGGCTCATCAACAGCAAGTAAATCTAGATCGAGACTCGTCCTACCCAGATGGGGGAGCAAATCAGCTTTAGTGAAGCGAATTTTGTCGGATTGTGCCTCTAGCTCATTTTCGTCGTCATCGTCGTCGTCCTCTGTTAAGGCTGGTCGACCTGGACCTTGGGCTTTCCTTCTTGTACCCTTTCTCATCCTTCTAGCGCATTTTGCGAGGCCTTTACTCTCCCCTAGTTCTCTCTCGACGGCACACCAAAACCGTGCTCTCCTTGTCGCAACACGGAGCCACTCGCTCATCGCCCACGTAACGACGCTAATATTTCTTGTTAAAGAGCTGGTGCCGTTACCTTGGATAACCTTCTCTATGAAAGGCCCTAACTCGCTAACTGCGGAGGGTTCGAGGCGTGGTACTTTTAAGGCGGCGACGGATAACGACTTGGTGTTGACTGTCATTTCGATTTTGGCGGCGAATAAACCAGGTGGTGTGGAAGAGGCTGAGATTGAGTGCTTTTGCAAAAGCGGTCCCGCATTCACTACATCGTCTCGTGGTATTATCGAAACAGTAGATGTAAAAGTTAAAGGGGTAAAGACTTGAAGATAGGGTAATTCCTCCTCCGCAGTCATGGGCACAGGATGATGTGAAATGGGAGGGTTCTCATCCTCATCTTTCTGGGACTTTTCTGGTGGGGGAGCAAAAAAAGATGGAAGTGCGGTGGTGTTTTTGCTGAAAGGTAGAAATGATATGGGATTTAATGCTACTTCAAGCCAATTTTGCGTTGGAGTAGGGGGTGCCTCCTTTTCAGGTGGCAAGGCGTGTCGACGTAGTAAATCAAGGAGACCATATTTATCTTCTGGTCCTTTTGACGAAGAACTATCTCGTTTGGCTTGTTGTAATTGATGTAATCGATTATTCTCGCGAGTGACGAGTTCTAAATCCGAATTTAAGCGAGTAATTTGTGCGAGCAACGAATCCCGTATGGCTTTCTTCTCGGCTAATGGATCTGGCTCCTCTATATTTCGAGCTGGATGTGATTTTCTTCTTCTTTTCCGACTTTGTGGCTGCGCCCTCAATGCTCTTTCTACGGTTCGAGACGGCGATTCTTCGCGTATAGATTCTTTAGTAGGTAGTTCGGGTCGGAGAGGCGGCTGCTTCGGAGAACTTTTGATTCTCTCGGCTAAAGCTCTGCTCCTCCTAGGGCGTTTAGTAGGTGTGTTATGGATACCCATAGGAGAGGTGTTAACCGAGGCGGGATCGGATATTCCTTTCTCTGTGGGCGTAGGTGGAAGTTCTGGCTCTTCCGGCGGGATCGAATTGGGAGGCGGAGAACGTCGGAGTACGCGCCCTCGGAATGGGTTGACAAGCTCTTCCTCTTCTGCCGAAGGCGGTGGTAACGGGCGCGGTGATGGTTTATTCGGGGTTCTTCGCGGTTTGGAGGCCATAGCTCCTGTAGCACGTCGAACTGGACTTAATGCTGTGTCGGGTATGATAGATGGAGGTGGTTGCGCCTCGCGACCAGTCATTTCCGTATCGTCCTCCATTCGGGTAATATCCGTCTCCTCTTGCGGGGGCGCGTCATGCGCATCGTTTATCAAGCTATCGACTTCTGATGCAGCGGGCGCATCGCTCGAAGGCCGGCCTCTAGAGAAATTTCTTCGCTCTAGGATATCAGGGTTTGATCGCGCAAGGCTAGCTTTGGTCGGCGACGCAAAGGATGGTATTTGTCGTCGAGTAGACCGTCTAATTGAGCCTCCCTCTTCGGGTTGAGGTACGGTCGATCCGCCTATGGGAACGTTCGTTGTGGGCGACGTCTTTCGTCGCTTCGGGGCAGAGGAGTCCATTGAGTTTCTCGGATAGGTTCTCTTATCGAACCATAGTGTTGTTGTTTATTATGAATCGACTTCATGGGCTTAACTAGGTCGGCTGAGTTTCGCCGTTCGATTTATACCTGGACTCAGGCTGATGGCTGTCAACACTTTGTTGTATTTTTTTTTATCCCACCTTTCCCCAGGACACGTTTATACACAAACTAAAGTGTATAAAAATGGGAAGAGGTACTTTTTATAAGTGACCTTATTTTAAGGCGACCAATTGAGTTGTCAATACTCTGGTCTCGTCTACTGAAAATTAGTATGAATGTTATCGGCGATGATACATATAAAAACGCGTCAAAGAAAGATATAATTGTTGACGCGCTTAAGGAAGCTTACCTAGCTGGTCACTCTGTCACTGTACTTTAGTGGATACACACTAGATGTCGGGTCTTATCTTATCAATTAGACTCAATGCTTTAATGTATATATCGTTTAGAAGTATTTAAACTAGTGCTATATACCATATTATCCATCAATCCCATAGATCTCCACTCTTCTGACTTACCGATGACGTGAAAGGCCGAAGACCTGCCGGTTTTTTTTCTCAATAGTTCCAATGCGAAATTTCCCTATGTTACTTTTCCCTTCTTTCATTTTGCCGTCATCCCACTAAGGTCTTTGATAAAATCAACCTCGGCCTTGTTTACTTTCAATTCCACTTCTCTAGACATATATCTCCAATAACACACATAATGCCGCTAAACACAAGATCCTTCATAAGAGCCTCTAGGCTCGGTACTTCGCTCGCGCGACAATCTCAAACCCCTCGCGTCTTCCACTCAAGCGGTGCAAAACTTCCCGGTGGCACCCCTGGTGAAGCTTCTGAGCAGGCTATGCCCTTAGGTCTTTACTACGAAGCCGTCCTCAACAGACCGCAACCCATCCCCGAGGTCAAACCCGAAAATCCTCCCACCTCGTCGCCCAAGTCACCCCGTACCACGGTCAAGAAGGCCCCTGCCAAGAAGCCCGCTAAAGACAGCGCCGACGCGACCTCCGCCTCGTCCACATCTTCATCCTCGTCCGGGCCGGAGACATCCGCGGAGCCGGCGACAGCACAAGAAAAGGCACGTATAATCTTTGGCTCGCGACTCGCAGGCCCGGCCGAGAGGGCCGAGCGACTCGAAGCAATCCGGAACCGCAGTACGCTAATAGCCGGCGTCTTAGTCCCCCCGCGGCCAGAAGAGCCCGACAACTGCTGCATGAGCGGGTGCGTGAATTGCGTCTGGGATCGCTACCGGGACGAGATGGAGGAATGGGCCGCCGCGTCCACCGAGGCCGAGAAAGCTCTGGAGGCGCAACGGTCGCAAGGAGAACCATCGCCCGACACAACTCCTAGCGCAATACAAGAAGTGGCAGAGAAACCACAAGGCCCCACTGGTGCCATAAGCATGGATGATGATGGTGGTGGCAGTGATACCAATTGGCAGTCAGACTTGAAGATAGCCGATCAGCCCAAGATTGCCAAGGACCTCTGGGATGACGACTTATACAAGAACGTACCTGTGGGCATTCGGGAGTTCATGAAGCAAGAAAAGAGACTTAAGGAAAAACATAACAGGGAAGGGACTTTCGGCGCTTAGAGAGGAAGACTACATCATATATACCCCTTGTGTCGAGCAATAGACTTATTCGTCAGAAAGAAAAGAAGAAAAAGGGCCGATTCGCACTCCAGTTGATTCTATGGGACGTATTCGCGACTCCGTTTTTTTCTCTCTTTGTGGTATTCTGGTATGGGTCATTATATCCCCGATGTGTACCGAGTTGCCTTTGGTGTCTATCAACACGCCGCGTCTACCTTACCTACCCGAAAGGGAAAGACGTTATCCATGCACCTCTGCCTACTCGTCGCTCTTAGGCAGTGCCGTTCCCATTTTTGGCTTGTCGCGCTAACTCGTCGTGCGCATCGATATCTGTTGCTTCCCATGGATAACATATCCATTCATCCCCAACGGTTCGGGCTGCTAGATATCGTGATTCCGCCATCATGTCCGCGGGCAAGGTGCCCTTCTTCTGCTTATCTTTGTTCTATCTCATATATTAGCGCTCTGTCGCGGTAGATCATCCCTTAGCTCTAGGCTTCGGAACAACTCACATGTAGGACGAAGATACTGAATTGCGTCTTCTCGGCGGTAGGGCCGAGCTTCTGTCGCGCGATTTCAACGTCCTTTTCTAATTCCTTAACGGCATATTCCAACGTCGTTCGGGTGTCATCGACCTCGTCCACGATCAGGATGCGCTTCCCAACCAAGTTTTGGATCTCGCCGAGGCTGCTCAGATCCAACCACTGGGTGCGAGTAACTTTGGTGCCGATCTTGTCTGGAGCGCCGGTACCGTTTGGCAGATCCACCACGGGTAGCTGTTCGTATAAGGAGAGGCCAATGGCTTGGATAGGGATGTTGGGGCTGCCGGGCTGTTTGAGAAAGGAACGTAGGATCCGCGCGGGTACATAGCCACCACCGCCAATAGCGATTATGAGCTGAGGTTGGAATGAGCTCAAGATCTCGGGTGCTGCCTCTTGGCAGAGTTTGTGAACCTGTTTGCGACAACAGTAGTCAGCGAATCAGATATGAACGCTCTGTTTTTCTGTAGCTTTGCGCTGATTTGCAAGAAGCAGACGAGAACCGCGGGGTAAGTTGGGACGTAGCAATAGAGAAACGAGCAAGATCAAGATCTGCTTACATCGTTGTAAGTGACGTAGATCTTCTCCACCATCTTGGATGCTGCAGAAGATTTCGATCGTGGGGAAATTTCCGAGGCTTGTAGCTTATACGGGTTGTACGTTTATAAGGGCAGCGTAAAAAGGAAGAATCGGGACGTGGAGGTGAAGAATCTGACGGCAAATTGCGATAGATATGGAGTAGAAATATGGAGGAGGAAGGATTATCGCAGAAAATAGTTGGACTAGAAGAAAAAAAAAAAGTTGAAGAGAGTTAAAGCTGCGACTGGGACTCGATGGGAAAGTTTTTAGTGGGGCCGTGAACTCTAGAGGGCTTTTTTTACGTGGGGCTTTAGGGAGGGGTTTGCAGGCTTGTAGGCTTGTTAGGGGCGTCACCTTCAGGCGGCCAGGGCTCCAAGATACATTCTGTAGTGACGAATTAGGCAAGTCATTACATGCAAACCCGTAAACCTTCATCGGAGGGTATATTAGCGGCCATCTCCGGGCTACCTTAACCTTAAATCTCTGGGTACATGCAGTTAGGTATTTGACAGCATCCTACCTGCCTACCCAACCTAACTCATACCTGACAACCCCCCTATCACCGCATACCTACATATGTACATAGGTAGGTAGGTACATTGGGCACCTACCTCCTACCTAAATGCCTTATTAGATGTCCTTCGTAAATAATTGATTTTCTTGTCAAAATTATGTAGATACCGTTTTTTTTTTTTCTTTCTCTTTCTCTTTTCTTTTCTCAAGTAAAACTCCAATCCGCCTCCTTATATCTTAATGTTCACTATCCTCTTAGAATGAGAGGGCGGTCAATAAAATGTACGTGTGATTCATCTACATCTACATAATAACAGATCTAACCCTAGAAATACGATAGGATGGGGTAGCGTAGTATAATTACCTGGATTCGAAAGAGTAGATCGGCACGGTGGAGAGTTCCGAAGGTGATATAGGGTATATAGTTGAAATCCCCCTGCGGACGAATAGAGAATGACCCGGGTACCACCGTCTAGGCCTACACGAGCTTAGGGCGCACCCGGCTTTGGTGATAATCTTGCGTATTTCTAGCTTCACCGCATAATATTTCCGATCTTCTCTCCTTTTGAATGGTCTGACAACCCTAGCACAAGAAATAGGGGGTATTGTTCACGGTGACGAGATCGAAAAAGGTAAGATTTCAAGTATCACCGAGGGCAACGCACAAGCACCCTAAGGTAGCACTTACATATGTAGGTTATACAACTCGTCGCATCTAAACATCAGTCTATTTCCTAGGTAGAAAGCATGAGACGACTCACGGCCCTCCTTGACTAACCACGAACCTTAAGGGGGGGAAGATTACTCTGCGTCAACTATACTACCTAAGTATCTAAGTATCGCATACTTATATAAACACAAGAAGGGTAGCAGACGATTATAGAGTAAATTATATATAAAAATAACGTTACGTCAGGTATGTTACTATCTTGATCAACGAGGTATTCGGTAGGTTAGCCAGTTAGTTGTGCTTGGGACTTGTTTCGGACTCGAAAATCTGGTTGACCTAGTATATTTAAATAATTATTCGTGTGCGCCTCTATTTAGGACAATCTAACCGCGATACGTTCATGTCTCAGCCTTAAGACCGTTAGCATTGTTATACTGGTAAGAATAGGTCAACAAACGTACGTAGAGCTGCGTTAGGATTCTGCAACTGAGGCTTTGCCTAACGCCGTAAAACCGCGGAATATATACCTAGGCTTCATCATACAAAATCCAAGAAGCCGCCACCAAAGAAGTCTTCCATGGTTGGGAATATCGCATGTTCAGATAGATCAAAGGAAGGAAAGATAGCTCCGGGCTCGACGGCTTCGACCTCTCGAGGGAACACGTCGCTTGCGTGGTAAACCCCACTCTCGCGAGTCGGCCTATGGTCATCATGTCCAATCGACGTATTTATTCTATCTTGAAAATCGTCTCGGTCCTGCGCATGGACTCTCACTGACGGTTGATGGGAGCTCGTCGAATTCGACACACCGTTAATTCGAGATTCTATTTTTTGTTTGGCAAGTTTGCCGTACTTGAATGACCACGCTTTACCGGGAGATGTTCTGATCCATTGGTCAATCCGAGTAATTAAGTCGAGACTGACTTGATTGGAAATCTTCGATTGTGTTTCGTCATAATGCGCTAGAAGTAGGGCACAATATCCGATGCAGAGACAGAGGCACGTTGGCGTTGAATCCATGCGGAAGCGCGGCATTTCTAAAAAGGTCTGTAGACAGATCATGGCATACTTGCACGCATTGGCCCGTAGGAGATTGCCGTCGCCGTCCTTATGCGGCTTTGACTGTGTCGGATCATGGCTCTCGTTATCGCTCCCATTGTCGCCATCGGTTCCCGAGAGGAACGTACGAGGCCGTAACCCCTGCCCAACTTCCTCAAGCGACCTAACAGCTAAAATAAGACAGGCGCCGTGATAGCCGATTCTTAACAGCGATGAGGTCGGGAGCACTAGAATCCTTAGCTAGGTGTGCTTGGAGATCTATCTGATGTAAAGTTTACCTAGCAAGTGGTTCCATTTCTCCTTCCATGATAGAAACTCTTTACATTCGCCGCCATCTCCCAAGTACGACTGGTGCGCGAGCTTTTCGTGCAGCGCGGAGAAGAGAAGTATCTCAGCGACGAGCATTCCATCTTGCATGGTAGCCCGATAAAAGCTAAGCAGGATATTGCACTGGTCGATGTAAGGGATTGGTATAATCGATGGCCTGCCTGTTGTCGCTGCCCAGCTACAATTTAACCCGATGCATTAATGGGTAAAGTACCTAAGTCAACGAGCGAATATGAGCACCTACTGCAAGTGGTGGAGACATATCTTGCACCATAAATGGATGGTCTTTTCGTCATCTGCTGTTGAGCTTCCTTGCTTGATATTGCTGATTATCTTGGAGAAACTAATGCTGAGCATCGCTTGTTTAGCACAATAGCCAGTCAACAGCCAGCTGTCGATGTAGTCAACTCCTTGCTATCTTCAATCAGAACGGTGTTAAGTATATATGAGCGTGAGTTAGCAATACTTACACTACTCGGACTATTTGCATTATCACTCATAATAAGCACAGCGTTAATCTCTTCAAGATTCAGTGGACTTGAGAGGAGGGCTTGCCCCAGTGTGACCCGGACTTGTTCGTAAATCTGTCTATGCAACTGGGTGCCGCAGATACCCTCATCATAGGTGATACCAATCAGACAGCAGACACTTCGTAAAAAAGTCGACACCTTGCGTGTGCCATTTCTTGTGGTTAAATCCTCGAGGCTGCACACAAGGATATTGTGACTTTGATGGCGACAGTATCTGCATATCATGCGAATAATTAACTCCATGCTATTCTTCAGATGTACCGGAATTCGGGACTTACAGCTGGATAAGATGGTTCGCCGTCTGTTCATCGAGTAATTGAAGTTGTACAAAGTCAAGATTAATATGCCCCAACAATCGCCTGTAACCTCTTGTGATTTGCTGCGATATAGATCTCAGCACAACAATAGGGGCAGATTGAGCTCCTTTATCAGCTGGGATTGAGAAGTAACCTGGAATAGGGGTTTCTTGTTCCTCGGGGGATGCACGTCTATCATTATTGTTGGGAGTATCTATATCGTCCCGGGTTTGGTTATTATGTGACTGGGCAGATGAGGTCAAATCTTTCAACATGGTCTTGATCTCCCGAAGCTCATCTTCGCAACGTTGGAGCCTTGGCTTGTTTATTAGCCAACATGATATCCAGGTGCCCGTATGAGCGCATTCGGGGCTAGAAGGGGATGAAGGGAGGGGTGAAAATTACTCAAGTACCTCTCCTGAACATTGCTTTTCAGATTGGGCTGCTCAGGTACGGAGTTAGGCGGTGATAAAGCATGTTCTCCGCGGAGGGAACAGTCAATTCTTTTCATTACGAAGATCATTAGTCTACACGTAAGATAATCGCTAAAGATATTACTCTGCTAACCTCAATGTTTGGCATCGGTGGCAACCTTGAGCACCGGTATCATATTCGCATCTGCACTTCAACTTCTGACATGACAAGCAGGAAAATGCCCGTCGACGCCTTTTCCGAGTAGAGTCATCGGTCGTCTTTTCTTCCAACCCGCGACGCTTTGATGGCTTAGGAGATGTGACCTTAGAAGTAAGCATACTTAACGACGTATAATATTATTATGTCGGCCTGTAGATGAATAGGAGGTATAGGATAAAGAGTGTGTGATGAGTTAGAAATGAATTTACCGACGGAAATCGATGGATTTCCCCCCGAAGTTTCTTAAGATACCACCGATACGCGGCAATCCAAGTAGCCGACATTCCGACCGTAAAATAACCCGTCGGTTATCGACGGAACTTCTTCTTTTCCTACTTCTTTTTCTCTTTCTTCCTTTTCTTCATTTCTCTTTTCTTAATCAATTGAAGCTATGGTGGCTATTCAAATTAAAAAAAAGTTGATGGATTATTTGATATGAATGAACAACATTGGCTTCGTTCCTTGTTCTAATATACCGATGTACCTAGGTACTTCCTTTATAATGATGCAAATAGGGGTCACTCCTTTTCTACCATTATTTGTCATAAATTTATCATACACCTCATCATCTATTAGGCATCTTCTGAGTTACAAAATGTGTTACTTCATTTACTCCGCGTAGCGATAAGTCCCACTGCGAGCCTTAGCTGTACCTGGGTATTGATCGACCCTAGGATGCTGTTCAAGAGCTGGAGGCATAGAGACGCAATCATCGTGAAAATTTGTAAAGAAAACTTCAAGTAAGCTAAATCTCGAGCTTAATTGATGAAATTATGGGTTCTAAAATAGCAAATAGGACAAGACTTATTATAATACTATTAGACTGGTTTCTGTTGTTCTACCAAATCAAGAGGCTAAGGAGTAACAAGCACTTTTTTCTTACGTTTTTCTTGTGCAAAATTCACATCTGCTCACAGCCCAGTAGCGTGGGATGTTGCCTAAACCTCAACAATAAAAGTGATTATATTATTTCGTAGAAAATATAGATCAACCAAAGCGCACTCACCATCTTGCTCTCTACCCTCTCTCCCCGTCAACGAAACGCTCATCTTCTTTGTGCTTCTCGTGATACCTGGTCAGATATTTCTTCTCTTCATTCACCTAGAACTTCTTCCTGAATACTTCCATTAAATAAGCATATGATCCTTTAGAAGATCGACAAGCTCTGCCTCATTGGAATCATCTTGACACGCATGGTCCATTCTATTTTACGGCCTACGGTGACATAGACTAATAACTTGTTGGAAGTATTTGGCCCATGATGGATTCTAGACACCCATTATCTAAGAGCCCTTCCATTTCAATCTCAGAACATGAGTGGGAGGTGGAGGAGCTATCCCGTGATAGTGCTCAGGCAACTATTGAGCGCCGTTTTCAAGAGATGCCGGAGCGCACCGAATACCCTGTCATTGATATGACTCAAGATCCTGACGAATTCGAGCAAAAGGAGCGCGAAAACGAAGACTTGCTAGAACCAGCGGTTGCCAACGTCATAGAAGTCATCGACCTAACGACGTCGACGTCGGGGCGAAGACCACGTAATGTAGTAAATCCTCCAAGGCGCAACCCATCTATAACCCTACCGAATCAATGGGTAAATACTTATGACTTCAACGGTGTAGAACTCAAACCTGGAACGACGGTTGAGATTACACCACTTCCGCGACTCTATCAGGCTTCATTCCTAATGATTCAGCTCATCGTCCCCACCGAATCTGGCGTAATTCTCCGAGGTCTCCCGCTCACGCGCACGAAGAACCTACGAGGTAAGCTACCACGGCTTCGTAATGAACTCGTTTTCATTCTCGAGATCGACCAGGACGACCCACGGCCCGAGGAAAATCAGACCGCGGTAGAAGTTCCGCTAGCTGGTGTCCTCAAGACTCGAATCTGCCATATAACCAATAAAAATTTCCCAGAGCACCGATTTCCAACAGGGATCTACAAGGATGTCATTGATATTGAAGAGAACGCGGTCCTCATATGTCGCTGGAAATATAAGCTTATATACGCAAACGCCGCTAGGCGTGTTGGTAACAAGCCACCCACGGAGTTAGTGGTGGCACGGGTCATACAGAGAGAAGTCATAAAGGACAAATTTCGGACGGATGATTTATGTCTTATGAACGTTTGGAGAGGTGGAAACGTTCGAGGTGGCTCGTACATACCCGACGAACCAGGAAGCTCACGGTTAACAGTAGATCTGGATGAATCAAGTACCCAAGGTGACGCATCGCAGCCCGCTTGGGTCCCGAAGAAGCCTGGGCAGCAATTTACTTTTGCTGACATGTTTTGTGGCGCTGGAGGGGCATCTTTAGGGGCGAGAGAGGCGGGCTTCCGCGTCAAGCTGAGCTGCGACAATGCAGCGGGGGCCTGTAATACCTATCGACTGAATTTCCCCGAGGCAGATTTACACCAGGAAGATATGTATGACTTCATCATATCGATGCGAGACTCTACCATTCGTGTAGACATACTTCATCTCTCCCCACCATGCCAGTATTGGTCTCCTGCGCATACTACTCCTGGTACTAACGACGACGCAAACATCGCAATTTTATTCGCTTGCCACGAGCTGGTCAAGATTCTTCGGCCCCGAATTTTTACTTTGGAACAGACGTTCGGCATCCTGCATCCCAGGTTCGAATACTATTTCAACGCTTTGATCTATGGATTTACTCAGCATGGGTATTCCGTGCGTTGGAAGATAGCCAACTTACTAATTTGGGGAACGCCATCTCAGCGACAGCGCTTGGTCATGATTGGTTCTTGTCCTGGTGAAGAATTACCGCCGTACCCAGCTGCGACCCATTCCAAGGATCCCTCCTGGGGAGACGGGACGAAACGATATAGAACTGCCTGGAGTGTGCTGCGAAGGATCCCACGCGACACCCATACACACGACGAGCTTCATCAGCCCAGGTCAATGAAGCGGCTACGTTTCCCGCCTTGGAACCCTGAAGTACCACTTGCTCGCACTATCACTTGCGGGGGTGGCGTTGGTAACTATCACTTTAGTGGCAAGAGAGCTTTTACAGTCCGGGAATTTGCAATGCTACAGAGCTTTCCTGTGGATTACCAATTCCAACGACCTGAACAGAAGAGGCAAGTCGGTAATGCATTCCCACCTGTTGTGGTCAAAACGCTCTATAAGCATCTTCGAAGATGGTTAGAGCGAAAGGACCTCGTGCATGCAGATTCGAATGAGCTTTCCGCGCCCGAATCCGAGGGCGAGGAAGGAAATAATAATGAACCCGACTGGCAACATGACTTCCAAGCTGATGACGATAGTGATGTGGAGTGCCTCGGGGAATGGGAGGTTGATAAGAACTTTGGTGAGGTAGAATTTCTAGGTGCGCGAGGTATCAATAGGAACAGTAGTGACATAGAACTCTTAGGAGGACGAAGAATTCGTCAACACTCTAGTATAGTTACGATTCATAATTCGGATTCAGAAGACGGTATGGATATTGATATTACGAGCCAGGGAATTCGCAGTCCAGATATCTGTATCGATGCCAATCAATCGAAAGGCAGCGACTTTAGTCGTCCCATTTTGCTCGATTGAGGAAGACAGCATCATTCGCCTTTGTGTATTGAGCTTGTTTAGGAAGGGCTGTAGGGTTGAATGAGACTGTAATGTCAGCATTTCCAGATATGGGAATTGCTGAGGTCTTAGAGCCGGCTGAACTCATTCGAGGGGGTGATGGGCTTAAAATTAATCAATGTAATTTTAGAGATAAACGGTATGATCACGAGGTGTATTCGCCTCAATATTCCACCAACAGGCATCAGACCAGGGTTCTCTCCAGACCTTCTAATACAGCTTAGTTCGCGTTGCAATATCCTTCAAGCCTCAAGCAATTGTAAAACCCGGAGACTTTAGCCGTTGTGACATTCGTTGCCCCCTGACGAAGGCTTCGTAAGGATTGTCATCGTTGCAGTCGCGTATCGGGGTCTAAAAAGCGTATGTAGCAAAAATTTTCTAGATCTAAATGTAGACTATCCCAAGTTTGTTATCATACGGCTCCTGCTAATACAGGTGTTTTTTACTTGAGCTGTTTCGGGAAGCTATCCGTTTAGAAGGTATCGATCCTCGGCTCGCGTAGTTAAGAAGGACGGATGACGCCTCGTTAATATCAGCCCACAACCATACTAAGTATAGCGATAGCTTATTTACCATGTAGGGCGTGTGCTTATAGGAAACGACATTGAACGTGCGACTGCGCCGTCGGCCTAGACTCATCGAATATGGATATGCCATCTAAGCTATACCTGCTCCGAAAGGATGAATTGAGCATAGCTCAGAGGGCATTTTTAGACCGGTAATTACACTCGTAAGACCAGTACTTAACTTAAATCCGTACCTAGACATAATATTGGTTTGTCAGAGTTGAACGTATTAGGTTCCAACAACTTCACATAGCCTGTGACGCGTCTCAGTGTCACTGCGGGGAGTTTTCCGTACTCTCCGTGGCTGCTGAAGAACTAGTTTGAGATCCCCTAAAGATCACGGGCATTAGGCGGGTTTTCCACCTAACACATGGCTGACTCGTGGTGGTCTAATTCGTGAAAATTAGGGGGGCTGGCTTCTGGAGGTGAAAAAGAAAAGCCAAGCTAACTGCTACGTGCAGTAGTTCTAATCCATAGCGCAGCGGAAGCAACCGCTTGCAGTAGCGGAATGCCTTGGAACTTTCTAGTTGAATAGGCTACGTGAGGCAACTGATAGGGAGAGCCAATGAAGCCTGGTAACGTATTGAATGGAGATTTAGACCGCTGCTTGCTGTTTAAGCAAAAGCACACCGCACTATCGCATGCCGACTTATTGTTCCACTTCAACTGTTTTTCCTCTTCAAGACCCAGCTATGGTTGGATCGCATGGCTTCTGTATCTTGGTTGTTCTTGCGGAGTTCAACGCAACAAGCCAATTCCAGAAGCCCGACCGCCACACATGAACTAGTACACGTAGGACGACGGCAACAGGAAGCATCGCCGGAACATTCGGCGCTCTTCAAGCAATTTCGCCTAATACGAATGAGTAATGTAAGGGATAGTGCAAGAATCTGATAACTCAACGTTCAAAATTGTTCTTGTTAGCGAGATCTAGCACCTAGGGTCTCATCCAAGCTTACGATACATGCGGAAGAGGGGTACTATGCGGCTGCGTATGGGGTGGTTACCCGAAGACGCATCTAAGACAACGATATCACCATACGACAACAAGATCTATACATTAGCGAGTCAGAGCAGAGTCTAGACCGATGGCCTTAAGGCGGACCCGGACTCAACAGCTCAAGCTGATGTGCCGAACTGGTGGTAACCTGTCAGATTGGAAGAACTTGCACATTGGCCAACATACTAATCTCCTTTTTTTTGCAAGAAGTGCTAGTATTTACAGGGTTGTAATAGCAGACAGATCTGTTATTTTTGGTGGATGGCAAGACGGAGCGAGGAATAGCTAATTTCCCATGCACAGCCAGTCCAAAGATGCTGCAGCTGCAGCTGATTTGTCGCATGAAAAAAAATCCTGGAGGAAGTTTCATGGTCATCGATCGATTTGTCGTCAAGATAGATATTAATAAGATGAATTATTAGTCGATACTGTGATCATGCAATTGATCGATCCACTAGTTATGCTTAAGCACTCGAAGCTGGGATGAAATCCAAGAATTTTCTAAATCGAATTGATTAATAAAATAGACCAAATTTCGCACAGTAGGACCTAGATGTAGAACGAGGCTCGAATAGATACCTACTACTGAGAGAAGTACCCCTGAGGCCGCAGAAGAATTTGCGCCTAATTCTTCATGGAAAATTACAATACGACGTGGGACAAACGCACGAGCACTAACAACATAAGGGTGTTTGATTTTTTATGATGAGAGTATAGATACGAGTTTGGATATGATCTACTAGAATATAGGATAGAATATTCTATAATATTATTACTTGGGTATATCACGACTTATTTACCTTGGACTATCCAAATCTATTAAATAATGAGAAAATTCGACATGGAAAAACGCATAGCGAGTTGGTACGGAGAACCCTGAAATCTATGGGGTCCGGATTCAATTTTACTGAATATAGCCGGTAGCGTAGTGCTGCAGTCAGACCGTTAACGGCTCGAGGCGAGAGTTCTGCAGGCTCACTTCCGAAATAGGGCTTATTATTTAGTACCTGTCGGAAGTTTTCTCCTCAAACTAGTTAGTATCGCTGTGACGATGACAAGGAGACTGCAGGTTTTGCTACAAGTTCTTCTCCTGACATATCAAATTCTCTTTACTTTAGGTAGCTTGGCTGACCATCCATCCTCTCTCTGCCTCTATCCGCCGCCAACGCCGCCCCCTAATTAGCATGGAGGGCCCTGGAAATCGCCAAGCCACGCAGTGCCGATCACTATTTCATGATGCCTGTCAGCTACTCCTACGACTTTAGCGTACAAACTTCACGATACATAGCTCACACATAGAAACTCGGTAACAGGCGTAAGTACTCAAGGATGTGGATTGTTAGCTAATCGATGCTACAGAAAACGGACAGTAATGTAGTTCAACGTCATCCCGACTTGCCGAAATGTTCGGCAGAAAACAAAAATGGATCAAATCTCGTGGCTTGAGTAGGTAATCAAAATATGTAATGTGCTACACGTGTAGGTAATGGGGGAATTGACGGTTTTTTTTTGGTTTTTTTCAGCGCAAACATCTGATGAGTTCTATCCTCAACCAATAATAATACATGACACCTCATATTTACGCGCACCGCAAGTTACGAGACGGCGAATTATTGGTTGATTTGTTCATACATGTCACCAATATTTAAAGTCAAAAATGGAAACTCACCTATTCCCCATTTCCTATCTTGGAGCCCTCAGCCCCTTTTCTATGCCCCTGGTTCCTAGATGGAGCCCGTGCCCATCCGCTTAACCCCACAGGTCAACGAACGTTGCAGGGTGTAACAGGAAGATTAACCCTGCCAACTGGTCTATATCCCCTGGAAGCTCCACTAAGAAAGATGCTGAGAGGAGGTGAGACGCATGAGAAGAGCCTCGCCATTGGGACGTCTTGGTATGCTCTTAGACCACTTTTTTTCAGGGAGTTGTTAACTGATGCGGTATTGGTTAGGCCGTTTAACCTCTGCCTTAATTGACGATCTGAATTAGGTCAATAGAACTGACCGCTAAGTAACTGGGGCCAAAAGGCTGAGAATTGATGGCAATGCCTAATCACGGGTGGCTGGGTAGCCATGATCCCCTTGACCAGTGGATTGGTGCTAATTTCAGAGGAAGTAATAGAAAAGACGGCCGTGGCCGTCACTCACCATCAGTTTGTTCTCCCTTCTTCACTCCCATCAAGCTTCGGCCAAGATAGTCATTCGTTTGTGCTTTTCGGCATCTTTACGCTCTCTTTTTTGGAATATTACTGTTCCAGTCCACTCTTTAGTGTTTGCCGTTTTTGTGCCGATTTCCTGAAAATGCGTTTCTCAACCCACGGCTCCGCGGCCGTGGCCATGGCGGCTCTCGCCAGCGCCACCGCTCCGGCTGAACGAGGTCTCCTTGACGCCGATATCCCCAAGGACCTCCTTAGCGAGCCCATCTCCGCTAACGTCGACCTGGGCATTGACCTGAGCGGCACAACTTTGGCCGCCGGTGTTCTCGCCAACGTCGCAGTCCCCCCCGTCGCAGGTGTTGGTGCTGATGTAGAGGTCCTCATTGAATGTGACACCTGCTACACCAAGGGTAACATCAACGCCAGCATCTCGCTGGAGAAGGTCGTCCCTGCTCTCAGCCTGTCCTTGACTGACATCGAGGCCAAGCTTGACTTGGACGTTAAGATTGGTGCTGGTGCTACCATCGCCGTCAACCTCTTCACTCCTGAGAGCCCCATCTCTCTTCCCCTACCGGGCCTAAAGGTTGACGCTCTCGTCTCCCTCGACCTTATCATTGGTGTTGACACTGCCATTGACCTATCTGCTGGTATTGACGTTAAGCTTGTCGACGAAGCCACGATCGAAACCGATATCTTCGCCGGAAAGATCCTGGATGCTGCTTTCTCCGGTCTCTCCGTTCAGGTGCTACCTATCGAGGTCCGCATTGGCTGCACCAGACTTTTGGCCGACCTTCGTCTCCGTGTTGAGCTCGGCGTTGCTGCTGACCTCGACCTAGGTGAGGTCCTTCCTGGCCTTCCCGACATTGGTGCCGGTCTCGAAGTTGCTGTCTTCGCCAACTTGCTAGAGTATGTTGGTTTCTTCTGCGCCACCCCGACCTGCCCTCTCTCCAAGGAGTCGTACGGTCTCAACATCGGTGCTGCTGTGGAACTTGATGTCAGTGTTGAGGACCTCTTGTCCATTCACCTGGCTCCTACCCTCTCCACTGCTCTCCTCAGCGTCCCTACCTCTACTCTCTGCGTCCAGCCCTCGTACACCTCGGTTCCTACCCTGTCTGCTACGACTGCCTCTGCTACCAACTCTCCTTCCGAGACCGGTTCTGCTTCTTCCACTGGCTCCGCCTCTGGCAGTGTTACCACTACATCTGGCGATGCTCCCGTCACCACTCCTGCTCCCTCTGGTGGCAACGGTGGCTCCATCACCTCTACTGTTACCAACACCCAGACTTTCACTGTTACCCAGTGCGCTGCCACAGTTCCCAACTGCCCCGCTGGCTACCAGACCACTGCCACTCTCATCCACACCACTGTCTACACGACTGTGTGCCCTGCTACCCAGACTGGCTCGATCACTGCTCCCCCCCCCAAGCCTACTCACAGCAAGACCACTGACACCCCTAACGTGACTGTAACCAAGTCCGTTGTCACTCTGGTTCCTTGCTCCCAGGAGTCGACCTTCACTCCCCCCACCAACGCTCCCACTCCTCCTTACCCCTCTGGTGGCAAGCCCGCTCCTAGCACCTCCGTACCGGTCGGTGTCTCTACTCCTGCTGCCACGCCATCTGCTTCCTACCCGGCTGGTACTCCTTCCGCCTCTTACCCCGCCGGTAGCCAGTCTGCTTCATACCCTGCAGGCTCGCCTTCAGCTAGCTACCCTGCCGGATCCCCCTCGGCTTCGTACCCGGCTGGAAGCCCTTCTGCCAGTTATCCTGCTGGATCTGCTTCTGAGAGCTACCCGGCTGGCACTCCCTCTGCTAGCTACCCCGCCGGTACCCCTGGCTACCCAGCTGGTCAGCCCTCTGGCAGCTACCCTGCCGGTGGTCCCACTGGTGGATACACAGTCTCTAGCCCCGTTGGCTACCCGACTGCCGCTCCCCCTTACCCTACTGGCCCTGCCGGCTACAACAGCACTGTTCCCCAGCCCACCCCAGTTACCTTGAGCAGCTACCAGCCCAGCGCCAGCGCCGGTTACCCTACCTCGGGTTACCCCACTGGCCCGGCTGAGACCCCCATCCCTACTGCCGGTGCCGCTAAGCTCGGTAGCGGTGTTGCTGGTGCCTTCGCCATCGTCGGTGCTTTCGTCGCCTTCATGTAAGGGAATGTTTAGAGTTGGTTGTGGTGGATATTAGCATAGGCGAGGAGTCTTGTAATCTGTAATGTTTCATTGGCAAGCAAGCGAGGGCGTGTTATCATAGCTTGGGTATATACCACTTATGTTCATGACAGCCTGTAAATTTAGGAGATCTTGGCCGTTGCTGCATCGGTGTTTTCTAGTATGAATGTGAAGATGTTGTTAAATCTTTACGCTTTATTCCCTGTGATTAGTGGACCTGCCACTATTCTATGACCGTATTGTGTCTATTGTATTATTCCGTGATCCGTCTTGTAGCGTTACATTATTGTTCATTGTGTTTTGTCGTTTCATGTTTTCTACTCATTACGCTGCTAGTCACGTGTACCCTTTTTGTATGACACTATCTAATAACGGCCCGGTCGACTTGAATACGAATAAGATGTAAAGTATTTATCACACAACTACTAGTGCGAATTCATCTATGATATTAGCATTATTAACCCTTATGTTCGTTCAACTAGTCAATATCGTCACATTCGAAGAAGCCTGCTGACGATGTTCTCTAGAAGACTTGCGTACCCTATGACGCTATTAAAGACCGACTAACTCACGCTAATTCGCTTGGAGTCGCTGCGGATCCCCGAATAGCTCCAACTGGCCTCGTGTAAAAAACGCATCATGTACATATATGCATGTCTTCTACTACATTATCCCTGTAGCCCCCCACCTCTTCCGCCTTCGTCGTCCTCTATATCTTCTTATTGCTCGATCGTACATACCAGTGCCACGTCGTCTTACCTTCTTTCCCCGCACCACACCCCACGCTAGAGTCTTAGGAGGATTCCTTAAACCTGGACCTAGACACTAGGAGAAATATTTATCAATGGAGAAGATCTAAACTTTTTCTTACCGCTTTATATAAAAGGGTTTTGGTGGCGTATTCTTTTCATGCGTGAATTAGCTGTAGTCGATATTTAGTTGTGCTATTGTCTCTTCCTAACAAAGGTCTCTATTTCTCTACTCTCCTCTCGTCACCTTACCTAATAAGCTAAGGGTAAAGAATCCAGGTGAGGAGTTTACATACGCAGAAGTTTTGAATTACCACCAATTAAATATGGCACCGTTCCGCGCCGAGCATTTGGGTTCGCTATTGCGACCTGAAGATCTCCTCAATGTGCGTGCAACCATCCGGGACAAGGGTATTTCACCAGAAGAGGCTGGACTGCCGGCAGTTGAAAAAAAGGCCATTGGTGATGTAGTTAAGCTGCAACAGGACCTTGGCTTTAAGGCTGTTACTTCGGGAGAATTCAATCGGACACGATTTTGGGGCCTTTTATGGGATGAATTTGAGGGTACCGTACGCTTACAAGATGCTGAAGCGAGCATGTTTCGCCTATACCACCCTGACGTTGTGAGTTTGATCGAAAATGACAGGAAAGTTATGCCTGGAGATTCGGTCATCGCTGGAAGCAAGTTGTCGCATAATCCCAGCAAGTCCGTCTCCAACTTGAAGGAACTCCAGCAAGTTCAGGCTTTTGTCCCAGAGAATGAATGGGGTAACATCAAGCTCACCGTAATCGCCCCGTCTTGGTTCCACATGCGATACAAGCAAGGGTGGGCTTACACTAAAGAAGCATATGCGAACGATGCCGAATACTTCGCAGATGTGGCTAAGATTTATCATGCCGAATTAGAGTCGCTATATAAGGCCGGGCTACGAAATGTCCAATTCGATGATCCAGGAATGGCTTGTAGGTCTACCTCGCGAGAGCACGAACTACAACCCCTAGATTGATGACTAATCGAAAACAGATTTCTGCTCCAAGGATTTCCGAAAGGGTTGGGAAGAAGATAAAGACAATATTGGGACATGGGAAGACCTTCTTGATGCTTACATCAAGTTGTATAATGACTCGATTAGCGGCTTACCCTCGGACTTCCACACGGGCATTCACCTATGTAGAGGTAACTTCATTGGTGGCAGACATTTCTCTGAAGGTGCTTACGACATTATCGCCAAGAAGCTGTTCGAGAACCTGAACGTGAACACCTTCTATCTCGAATATGATACTGAGAGGGCAGGAGGCTTTGAACCTCTACAATTCTTGCCGAAGAACAAGAACGTTGTTGTCGGTGTCATAAGCACGAAGTTACCACAGCTAGAAGATAAGGAAGCCACGAAAGAGCGTATCTATAAGGCAGCGGACTTCGTTGCGAAGGGGAGTGGACAGACCCGCGAGGAAGCCCTAAAGAGGATATATGTTAGCCCACAATGCGGCTTCAGCACTCATGAAAGCGGATATCCTCTATCACTAGAAGATGAGAAGAAGAAATTGTCATTGGTGAGACAGGTTGCCGACGAAATTTGGGGTGAACCTTAGATGTGGTACGCGACGTTATGGATCGAAGAAAGCAGATGCGATTTGTTTGAGGTCTAGCGATGCACTATCTTGGTCACTTCAACAGTCCAAAAAATGGGTTAGACGGTTCAAGACAAAGAGAGGGGTGGCGGACGGGCGCATTTTAGGGGTATACCCATAGAGAATCAACTTCTAGGACAATCATAAACGGATCCTATTCATCAGGAATAGGAGGGGGAAAAGGAATGATATAAATCGCGTAAGACCAGTAGTATTCGATGGATCTAAGGCGAGCAATGAATAGATGTTGTCTTCTCCGGCAGACGTTAGCACTTTATCCTATGATGACGCAAAAATCATTAGGTTATCTACCTACAACTGACACATATTATGTGGACATGGATATTAGGATACCTAGGTATTAATTCGGCTTCATTCTTAAATAGGCCTGCAATTTGAGGCATTGCTGCTTAGATGGGACAATGCTAAGATTCTACGCTGACCCCATTATTATTGCGGAAACCAAGTCAATTTTTTTTTTGCGACGAGCTCGCACTTGAAGAATATAACAATAATGCTTTCACCGAACCCACCATGGAGCGATTATTGGATTCTGTAACTGATTTAGGCGGCAATTCCGTAGAGGTTTTGATGGCACGTCCGAAGCGTGTGTCAGGATCTTTTCGTTAAGATGAAACCGTGGTAGGCGAAAGAACTTGATCCGTCACCAAGAATATCCATATCGATCTCCCAGTCAGTCCCTTCGCAACCTAAAAGGGGCCTTATGAAATGTGGCTGGCGATATGTCACATATAGAAACACACCATCGTCCTTGAGGACCCGTTTTACCTACATTCTATTAGCAATCTCTTAGGAGAACATATGGAAGCTACTTTAAAGTGCAAATAACCTCGGAAGATGGCTCAGTCTAAAGCCCAAACTCACCTCACGGATATACTGGCTAGTGTTGTCCTTCACATTATCGGGTGGGTTCCAGGGGCTACCATGAATCATAGCATCCAACGTTCCTTTATCAAACGCAACGTCTATTGATTTTTCGGGAAGGTCATCCAAGTGGCGGACGTCAGCGTGCTTCCATTTAATACCTTCCATGCTGTAATGTTTCTTAGACATAAGATCGACCACGATGGTAGAAAAGTCAACACAGAGCTGATCCTTGTAGCCTTTCTCCCAAAGTCCTACTGGTACATCCTACCGAAAGGTGTCAGCCTATCTTAGCTGTCTCTTCTACCAATGGAATCGCGCGTTCCATATTTGGGAGGCGCACACTATCTCCCGATCCTAAATGCAGGAGTGTCGGGTTTGTGTCCGGACTTCGAGTTTTGAAAAGTCTCCGATCGAAAAAAGACTCAAGCTCGACGAAATTTCTAAACCATTCATGAGTAGGTCGGTCTCCTTCGGCTTGGGCATATCGTTGATCCCAAAATTCAGGATGAGCTAGACGCTCGTTTTCCTCGTCGGATGAACCCATTATAATAGGTATGTAGCCTTCTGGATAATTGAGGAAAAAAGAAAGGGTTGGAAATGTTTGAGGCACTAAATTTCTTGAAATATCTAGGTACCTAAGTACCTAGTATCTATGTACTCTTCATAAATACTGTCACGTGCTGCTCTGCTACCATTTCCAGTTAGAGCAGGTACTTAGGTACACTCGACGGAAAAGGGGTTCAAATATTCTGGGGCAATTTCGCATTTACATCAGTAGCCATTCCAAATTCCACGGAACTTATATCTGTCAGATACAACTAAATCACTAGAAGTCAAGAATTTGAATCTTGAAAGGACCTCTAGGAGTGCAGGTGTCAACATAGGGAATCCCGTTTAGAGGATACCTAGGTACCTAGGTAGGTTTATGAAGCCTGTCGGGTACTGTATTGATCGTCCTATGTTTACAGTATACAGTAAGTAACTTGATGTTACCTACTGGTAAGCATTGCTTTTGAGTCTCAGCCATGTCGTTCTTCCCCTCATGAATGTCACATCTAACTAGCCAATAGATTCATTTCCGAATGTCACTGCCCGTCTAAGAGAGTCCGAACACCGTTCCCATTCTCCGAGGACTTCTTTCGGGACTATAGACAAATACGATTCATCGGAATAGAAAAATGTCTGCTAGATACCTAGGTACATGATGTAAATACTTTTAGCACATCCATAATCACGCTAATGCAGGTACGGCATGGACTAAACTTCAAAATTTCCATAATAGGAAATTTTGCATTTACATATTGCGTCACAGCTCGCTACGAGCCTGTACTTGGGTACCTAGGTACGTACAATAGTATCGATAATACTACGTCACTATCGTCATCTATTCTTTCTTTTACTTGAAGAACCGAAGCTTGAATTTGTTTCTCCCCGCCAATACAATTTCCTGGATTGAACTTCGAAGTGATTAATTCTATGCGAAGCCGACAGTTTGGGGAAAAAAAACACACACGACAATGGCAGAAATTGCGGCGGGTGTATGGGCGGCCGAAGAGGTGGTCTCTACGGGTGTGTATGCCGGCGCAGCCAGTTATGCCGTAACGAAACCTACCATGCCTCTTAAAGCGACCTTCGCGCAAATTGGATCTACCTCAGATGAGGTTTCAAGGTGAGATTGAACTCGTTGTCTATATTCACAGTACCTAACCTATTTTAGATCATCTCTTATTAGGTCCTATCATACTCTTACAGTCGTCGGCGACAAAGCCTATATCTTCGGTGGCCAAACTACCCAAGGAAAACTCGCTACCAATAATATCCACTCCATAGCATTGCCGACGGCGAGCAACGCTACTCCCGAGTATCAGGTGTTACCAGCTATCGCTACCGAGAAGAATCGTTCGATCCCGGCTCCGCGAACTAAGCATTCAGCTTGTGCACTTGATAAACACATTGCTGTGTATGGGGGTTGCGATGATGCTGGAAATGTCCTAAATGAGGGTGCAAAGATATGGTTATACGATACCGAGAAATTGTCGTGGGAATGTCTTGAGCCTGCTAGTCACCCAGAGAGAGTACCTCCCCCGAGAAGTAGCGAGAGTTTATTCAACCACGATGGCAACATCATCCTCGTGGGAGGAAGGGATTCTAGTGGCGTAGCGTTGACTGACGTCTGGCATTTTGACTGTTTTACTAAGATTTGGAATCAGTTGCCGCAAACTCCAACCGTCACCGCGAGCGCAGCGATCGCAGGTAACACACTATACACCATATCTGGATCTGACACAATGAGCAGCGAGGTACACTATTTAGAAATCAAATTATACGCCGAGGAACCTCCAACGTGGGAGACCATCTCATTTCCGACAAACCCCCTAGCGCCCGGACCGAGACCACGATCGAACGGTGGATTAATACCTGTTACGACCGGCTACGGTAGGAACTATCTCCTTTACTTTTTCGGTGATCGTCAAGGGGCAGCCGAGGAAAACGATCTGCTTCAATGGAGTGACCTTTGGACCTTCCAACTCCCATCTAGCGATGTGGAGGTCAAGGCATCGACTAACGTAGCGGAAGCGATAAAGCCTGCCAAAATCAAAGACCAGATCCGTACGAAGCTTGGCGCAGATACGGGCAACTCCAGTTGGGCTGAAGTAGAGGTACAACCACCCGGTGACCTGCAAGCACACGAAGGCAAGGTGCATCCCGGCCCACGAAGTTCATTCGGCTACGACGTAACATCCGACGGGAAGAGTGTCATACTGTGGGGTGGATGTAATGCAGCAGGGGAGCCGGAAGGTGATGGGTGGGTTATTGGGTTATCGTGAGGAGGTTCGTATGCTTCATCTACATATTTAGTTATTCCTTTAGGCTGAAAACATAGGGGGTGCTGGTGAACATCATCTAAGAAGATACCTAGTAGAGGCGTAGCATTTACCTATTCAGTTACGAGAAGGGTTCATTATAGGTCCGCTAACATAGGACAATGTGTCTGAATAGTCTAACAACGTTGGTATTGTCTCGGCATGGTCTTTTGGATGATAAACAAATGCTTTAACTCCTATCAAGGGTGAACAAAGGATGCATTTGGTAGAGCAATTGGTGTTTGGTTATGTATATTAATCTGACCCTGAACTTGTGGTATCGCAGATAATTGGATATGCCAACGACCTTAATTATATTGCTTCACTATTTGTATCGGCTGGCTGAAGCATTTAGTACATTATGGATGACCAAAAAACTTGGATCCATAACCACACATATTACGTATCCAGTGATGAAGAAAACAGTTCGATTGATGTCGGCCCATCAGCTTCCCAGTACGACAGTGAAGATGAAACGAGATCTAGTGATGATTATACTTCTGATGCAAACTCGGAAATGAGCATGCCAAGCATGAGGAGGAACAAGGCAACCAGACGGAATAAAAGCGCCAGCCCGGCCAGGCATGAAGATATTCCACAATCAAGTGAAACTCCAACGAATAACTCGGGGAAATTAACCGATGAAGAGTTCCACGAACGGCAAATTGCCTATGGCCTGTCTACCGTGCGGAGGAATCTAACTAGACTATCACAGTTTATACTGAAGTTAGAAGCCCGCGCAGGAAAAGTCACGAAGCAGGGTATTCAACAAACCCTCGATGCGACTGTAGCTGACAATACCGATAGATTCGAACGCGACGATTATCCGACCCATCTTAAGGAAATTGAGGAGATAAAGCATCTTACTGAGAGTACGTGGCAACGTTTGTATCTCATTGATAGACATTGGAAAAGGCAGCATCGCCGACTCCGTGACGATGAGGGTAAAAGTCCAAAGATCCAACTTGAGAATGAACACGCCGTGAAAGAACTCTTAGAAGAGGAAATGCGTCTCAGCCGCGTAAAAAGCCAAGAAACCTGCTTTTTCACTGTTGGAGATCTCATTAAGGGGCGCGAATTTATTGAGTGGCTTACCTACCTTAAGATCATCGGTAGATTTAAGGATCACCCGACCGATCAAATGAAATTGGTAAACTTCGCTTGGGAATTCCTAGATCGTGATTTGCGAGGGCCACGACCGGTCAATCCTACCACTATGGAGGAATTTGCAGACCAACTTGAAGAAAAGTATCTACGCGGTGGCTTCTACGATGCAATGACAGGGGATCCTGAGAAGGCCGACCGAGATGACGAGAATGCCTGGAAAGCAATCGAGAAGTTTTGGTTTACTAGGTTCCAGCATTAGCTATGAGTTATAACTTATACGAGAGTGAATGGTGTAATGAATGCAGATGGAAGTAGTAGCCAAGTAGACGAGGTCTCCAATCTAATCGATTCTCTATTTCCATCAAGACTAATCAATTTAAGTATAACCACAACTGTAATAATCATTCTTTTTCGTTCCCGTTTCAATGCTTGCGATACGATGTTACTGTAAAGGTTTAGGGGTACTCTGCTATGTGACTTGGTTCGCTCAAGCTGGATCCCATCCTCCGTTACGTCATAGCAAAGAATAATATCTATTACTCGATTGTATGTCAATTGGAATTTTCAGTGTTTGCCGTATTGATCGGGGCGTTCTTTGTGCGTTTGTCCTACTCGTAGCATCGGCTTTGTCTACGGGACAAGGCATTATAGCTTCAATTGCAAGGACGACGTAAATAACAATAAGTATATAGTTAAATCTAGTAAAATAAAAACTATCCAGCCCCTATTGTTTTAGCAGTATGGTTAAACACCACTGTTTACTTGTTTTACTCGTTGCTCGTTCGTTCCACTCATCCCTCTAAGCTTCAGGAGCAGATAGACAGATCTCGCCAGAGGCCGTTGACCAACATTCCAACACTTGATCATATGTACGCCATACTTTCACGTAATCATGTCGTCCACTCAAACTACGCCTTTATTATATTCCCTTGATAATACTAGTTATTGTAGTATTAAACCAAACTCAGATGCCATCACGGCCCTGCAGCGGTCATTACCAGAACCGTCGCCTAGGGAAGATTGCATAATCGACATTGGAAGGACATTTTACGGTCATAAAGCGGACTCGACTAATTTAAGCGGTATTTACTCTGGGCGTGGTGGGTATCACTGTGATTATTGTTCTATGCATAATTTGCAGCATTTCCCGGATGGTGAATTCCGTGGTCATTGGGAAAGGTGTGTGGAAAATGAGGAGTCGCTGGCGGTCCTTGAGTTAACGACTCTTTTCCAAGCACGATTACTTGGTATTTTGATACCAATCATCCTCGTTTTTATTCTGAGAATATACTTGATACGGTATATTGACAGTAGGGACGCTGGTCAACTTCAACATTCTATATATTTATAGGGGCCCCAAGTAGCTCATTAGTTCGTATAGTTCATTGGCCTGCCCTAAGGATATTCGTAGTGCCCTCTTACCTTCTAGTAATATACCTCGGCTTCTTCTTTCTCCGTTTATTACCAGACGATCGTCCGTTACTCGAAATGCTACCATTAATCTTGAAGTAACTACCTACTCATATAGCTTACATGTGCCACGCCTAACTATCATACCCATGTCGGTGCGCCTTTCTCTGATACTCTCTCCCCTGTGCCTACTTTTCCGGTCTGATGAACTAGTAGGTGTCTTAAAATTTCAGGCACAACAGACGTAACCATCTTCAGACTGCAGCCATCTACATCAGCAGCACCTGCTTTATTCCCTCAGATTCGTCCTCTCTTCCCTTCACTCTGATCTTATTCTAGGGAAGCACCTCGTCTCCTACCTTTTAACTTTTAAGAAAAACACTACTCAATTCCTCTCTAATTTTCCTTCACTCTCAACCATTCCACGTGGGCTACCAAATCCCGTCCTTCATACAACATAATCCTATCCGCTTCATTGATTTGAACTAATACAGCTCGTTCATCTCTGAGCGAATTGCCATCACTCAATCCGCAGTCATTGATGGCCAATTCTTACTAAGAACATTGAAGAGACCATCTATTTAGGTACGCATCTTAAGTTGCATCCTTCTATATTCCTACTTCATTTCCCATTTCCTAGGAAATCTCACTTCCACTATTATCCTCAATAACTACTATGCATATCACTTAAGGAATAATACCTACTTCTTACAATATAGTCCCAGTCCCCAAAAGTTTATGGGCCGATACGTCTGGTCCTCTGCTAATATTTGGTTGATATAGGGAATATTCATCGTTCCAGTCGTAATGGAACAGCCGAATTCCTTTACGTGGAGCTCATGCGAGGGCAATGATGACGGCCGACGCATCGCAATAAAGGAGGAAGCTCTGGGTGTGGGTATCAGACACTGCAAGCATCTTATTGAGAAATTAGAAAGGGTTCTACACAATGCTCATGCGAATGATGCATCGAATTCGACCGTGTTGGGACGTGAAATCCTTGAAAAATGGATCAACGACTGCAGTATGTATCCTGGGATTCGGTGAGAATTTAAGCTAATACAATTTCCGAGAGAGCCTCATTGATCGCCATAAGGAATTTAGGGTCCTTGTGGGTGTCGCGGGGCCCACCGGTAGCGGTAAAACGTCAGCCCTCAATGCTCTCCTTGGTTTCGATGAACTTTGACCAACAAATAACCAAGAGGCTGCTACGGCGGTGCCTTGTCGAATCGCATATAACCAGGACGATAGGAGCAGCATGAAGTTCCGCGCATGTGTCACGTTCCGCAACAAATCCGGTCTAACAAAGCAACTCAAACAATTTTATGAGGATTTGCAGAGTAGGGACGAGCTACGGGATTCATCCACAGGCTCGGCTGAGGACTATGAGGCTTTGAGGAATGCCAATGCTAACTTGAAGCCTACGTTCGAAATGATCAGAACAATATTCGGCCTTGAGGAGAAGGATGTTGTGAAAATGACACCCCAAGATCTCCTTGACTCGAACCAAGACGTTAGCAAGTTGCTTGGAACGACAAAAAGGTATCATAGTAGTAACGCTGAACAGCTATCTGAACAAATTAAGCCATACCTGGATTCAACCGTTGCCCAGCACACCAAGTTAGGCGCTGAATTTGCAGCTTGGCCTCTCGTCGATGAAGTCGAAGTATTTGTGAAGTCCGACGTCCTCCGCGATGGCGTGGTGCTTGTCGACCTCCCTGGGCTTGCAGATTCGGTAGAGAGTAGGGCTGCGATAGCTGAGGCATATTTCCCTAAACTGGCTGCAACTCTAATTGTGACTCCGGCTCGTCGAGCAGCGGATGACTCGACATCAGTGAAGCTGATGTCAGATCACCAAGAGTTGCAGATGCAGATGAACGGAAAGTTCCACAAACGAAGCTATTGTGTTGTAGTTTCGCAAATTGACCAACTTGAGCGGAGTTCGGCTCTGAGAACTCGGGAGGCAAAGTCGAATGCAGAGTTGCAAGAGCTTCTACAAGAAGAGAAGCGTTTAAAGCTGAAGAAACAAGACAAAGAGAACAAGTCGAAATCTGCTTCAAGAGAACTGAAGAAACTCCAAGCGGCATGGCGAGCTACAACATCCACTGGAAATAAACGCCGAAAGGGCTTTAGTGGTGAGGCATATGATTTTCTATTACTATCTTATACTAACAACTTTCTTTAGGTGTATCGAAAAACACAGACCCGGAGGAAGATTACAAGAAATTGATAAAAAGTCAACGGGCTGTTTCTGTAAAGGCTAGGGCAGAAGTGGACGCCGCGAATGAGAAAGTGAAGGATGTTGGAGGCCATATACATTACCTCTGCGTTAAGAATAGGAACGAATTCTTCGAGGGTCGGATCCAACATGACTTTGAAAGACGACAAGCAAACATCACTACTGACGACCACAAGGACTTAAAGGACACATACGATGGCAGAGTATCGATTTGTCCAATCAGCGCCAAAGCATTTTGGCAATGTAGCCCAGGCGAGGAGCCTCTGATGGGGTTCCCGAGTCAGCTATATTCAGGAATTCCGAATCTCGCGCATTGGACTCGGCACGCAACAATTCCAGAGCGAGAAATACATGCGGATAGTCTTCTACATGACCTACGCCACTGCTTCAACATAATTCAAACGTGGTCGAAGGAAGAATGGAGCCATAATCGACTCGAGGTTAATAAGGAATGGATCCAGGAACAGGTATTCCCGAGCGTATATGCCGGGTTACAGGAGGTAATCAAATCATTCCATCCCCTTGATTGACCTAGGTACTAACTAAAAGTATTGAAGAGTCTGAATACGCAATGGGCCGCGGTCGAAAAAGACGTCCGAAAGTGTAGCCCACTGAAGGGCCAAAAACATTCAATTAACAGTTGCGCGGAAGAGTGCACAAAAGTGGTAAAGAGGTGGTCGTATAAAATTGTTAACGACGAAGCCGATCGAGATAGGATACATTGGATCACTTATCAGGCGAACATAAAGAGGAAAGGTGACAAGTTCCTGAGCAGGTCGGGAGAAGGACAGGTTGAATACAACTGGATGGAGAATGTGTAAGAGACGTTTGGGCCTAATTTGTACTATGGAACTAACGGGTGCTGACTTTGCTATTAGATCGGACGTCCTCCTAAGGACAATTGTCGCCGACTGGAACCAGGCCCTTAACCACAATATCCCCGGGCTTGCGAGGCCGGCTGCTAAACGGGCAAACATGGCCTGGAAGGAATTTATTGAGCGTGTGAGGTTTAGCGTTGAGGAAGTAATCCCACGCCTTTCACCATTCCTCGAAGAAATAATCCCTAAACTAGACGTCATAAAGGAACAAATCAAGGACAAAATGCGACAAGCTCTAAGAGACCTCTCTAAGGGCGCATCGGAAGTACATCCTGATTTGGTTAAGGAAATTCAGAGGAAATGGAATAGCACTTTCAAGAATGCCGGCAAAATGAAAGGTATGTATACCTATTTTGAGTCTGCTAGACATAACTAACAGTTCATTAGGAAAGGGATCATTCAAGGAACGCGAGGAGATAATCATACAGTTCGCAGTCGATAGTGGAAGAATGATGTTCAATGCTGCTTTCACACGCTTGAGGAAGCAGCTTAACGACAATTTCAATCGACTTCCCGATATCCTTAAAAGTATAACCAAATTCGCTCTCCAGGCAGTCCAAGACCAGATCGAAGCACTTCTTGACAATGCGCTTTTGCCCGATATCAAGATGGAGGGTGCCCTCGAGGAAAAGGTCAAACTACAGCATGACATTAGGGGGATCTTATTTCAATGGGATGTCCAATGGACCGTTCCCGGGAGCAGTCATACGAATGTGGAGGAGTTCGCGATCCCCAGTGAATACCACGGTGTATAGGATGATTTCGATGACGGTGATAGCGGGGACGACGAAATGGATATAGATGATGAAGATCCCATTTAGCTGGAAAGCGGTAACAAAACCAGCCAGTCACGAATTCGTCTTGTCCAGGAGAACTTTGGCATTACTCAACACCACACCACATCCCGCTCTTACTTTCTATTAAGCACCATATCACGTTGTCTCTGCTTCACAGCAATCCATTTCCACCAGCAGCTAGAGTCATCATTATTGCCATATTGCGAAGATTTATCACACTTAGCTAGTTTGTCATTGAGGGCTCGAATTTGTTGGACACTACAGGGTTTCAATACTCTACGATGCGAAGATTTTTACGCGATTGAGTTATGCAGATAGACTACTCCTACAACATAGGAATTATCACAACGAATGATTTATTCAAATTTAATTACATATAATATTATTAAAATCTAGTGGCATCAGGCGTTTGATCCGACCTGGCTGGACAGTGGCTGACTGATAAATTGTTCCCCCTTTCCCTTAATAGGTACTTAAACTATTCGGGATTACCCTTCATACTATCAAAACATCTAACCTAAAAACTTCCTTTACATCGGCATTTGTATACGCAGAAAATGGCAGTGTGCCATTGTTCTAGTCGTCTGACTATTAGCTCTGAGTGATTAATAAAGGTAAAGGATAGTTCCATGAAGCTCGCGTAAGGCAGGAATTATCCCGAAGACAACGAAGAAGCACACGAGGAACAATCCAAAGTTGCCTTGCGAACTGTGGCATGCAGTAATCAATGCGATCGCAAAGAGAGCCTACAAAGTTAGAGCTACGAGGGTAGCGTGGCTGCATAATTATGTGGCAATCAATGCTGCCAAAAGCGACAGTACCAACACGATGAGTAGAATCCTTCTTGTTGCGAAGAATTTGTAGAGCTGTTGGGGCGTGGGGTGGACCATCTTGTTTTGCTGGAGGCAGGGGTAAGCAAATTAGAGAAAGAGGTTGCTTGGGTTGTTTGAATGGTTCTGTTAAGAACTTAGACGGAGTTTAGTAAGTGAATTGAGTATGTTTGATGGCTGAAGCGAAATGAGAATGACAATAAAGCGAGAGTTGGCCGGCTTTTAATATGGCCGAACCTCGCTCATTAAGACCTTTGCGTTGGTGGACAATATAATTGTGTAATTATTAGGCGATTGTGTGCGTAAAACTTCATCGTCAGAATGTTATAGTTCGTTAAATATGTTCATAGATACTTATGGTGTGTAGATACATGGTATATGAGAAGATCAGGCTTCGTCTTACGAAGCCTGAAAGGGCCGACCCCTACAGCTCGAAAAGTCCCTGATGTGCGATATCAGACCGAATAATCTGCCTCTCGAAGCCTGCTATTGTTACGATACCCTCTGTAAGCTACTTCATGTTTTCTTGGGGGGTACTGCTTCGGTAGGTATAGGTATTCTCTTGTGCACACCCGCAGCCCTGCCCTTTGATGTATTTGAGTTGAAGTACAGCTTCAAACCGGTTTTCGCCGCCCATGTAAATGGAGTATATACAACCTCCAGCCAACCCGTCTTAGCCAAGCCGTAATCCATGCTCAATCTTAACTCGGGATACATCATAAAAGCCACCACCGGTACCACTACCGCAAGTGGTAGAAGTCGTTGGTGAACTATGGCAAAGGTGGCTAGCACATACCATATTACCCAACCGAGAGGTAGGAACAAAAGGGTTTCACCTCGTTCGTCGGTTTGGCCAAGGATGAGGAGGCCTTCCATTACCATCGGGAAGAACAGTAACCCGAATATGACGAGGTAGGCGATCGTAGCCCATCGGATGATAGTAATGAGACGTATATTCCAATTGATGATAAAAGCTAAGAGGAGGGTGGCGTGCCAGATGATGGCGGCACTTAATATGAAGAAGAGAAGCATTTGTGTTTTTACTCTCTTTCTCCCTCCCCCATTTCGTTTTCTTTTCGTCCTAGGCCTTGAATTACGACGACAAAAATTTGTTTGTTCGTGAGGTAGTGATTTGAAAGCGCGTGTAGGGTAGCTCGTAGATGTCTTAAAAGCGTAGTTGTATATTGGTAATTATTAAGCAATGCTGCCTCGTGAGACTGTTTCGGTGATTGCCAGCCTAGGGAGTTACCATAATATCTCGGGAAGTAGGAGCGTTGATACCCTAGATAGGTAGGTAATACGTTGGGTATTCCTTGTGACAACTCTCCGGAAGCAGCCTGAAGAATGGGATCAGCTCACTTGTCTCACCAATTTTGCGGCCTCCTGTTCCCTCGATGTAGCTTCTATTATCAAAGAAACACCTTTCGTAATAGGAACGCGGGATCCTCTATTATCGGAACAAAGAGCTTGCCAGGTTTGCGAGCGTGTATTTTCGGTCGTAAATACACAAAGATGGATATTGTCTATTCCTTCACAAACAGACCAGCCATACCCATCCCAGTACCAACACACATACTCACAACACCGACCTCTCCTCCGCTTCTCCCAAGGCCGTGTAGCAATGTACTCGTCATTCTCGCACCCGTAGCACCGAGCGGGTGACCTAACGCAATGGCACCTCCGTCAGGGTTTACTTTACCCTGTTCCCAATCCTTCTCCAACCCAAGCTCTCTCACGCAGTAAATAGACTGGCTGGCAAATGCTTCATTGATTTCCCAACGATCTACGTCCTTTGTCTCGATACCGAGTTGGTTCAGAAGCTTGGGAATAGCTATCGCCGGCCCGATACCCATCTCATCAGGTGCGCAACCTATCGTGGTGGCTGCTACGAACTTCCCAATGATATTCGACGTCAAGCCCAACTCAGTCGCCGTACTCCGGCGCATCAATAACGTAGCGGCCGCTCCATCACTCACCTGACTCGAATTCCCCGCCGTGCTCGCACCATCTTCCTTGAACGCAGGCTTGAGCTTAGCAAGAGCTTCGACTGTCGCATTCGTCCTAATACCATCGTCTTTTGTAACTTCAATCCGCTTCTCTTCGCCGACTTTATTGCCCTGCTTATCCACTTCTTGAAACCGTGTATGTACCGGAACGATTTCTTGATCGAAATGTCCTTCACTCTGCGCTTTCGCAGCTCGACGATGCGATTCGACAGCAAACTCATCCTGTTCCTTACGCCCGACAACGTATCTTTGTGCCACATTCTCGCTCGTAAGACCCATAGGCATAACACAATCCCTCGCATCTTTAACCGGACTCTCCGACAACTCCGGCCAACGGTCTACAGGTATAGCTTTAGAACCGTAATTCCTCGTCATGCTTTCCATACCAGCCGCAATACCAACTCCTATCATATCGCTTCGAATCTGCCCCGCAACCGTCGCTATACTCTGCAGACTACTGCTACAGGCGCGATTAACCGTGTATAAGGACGTACTATTCGGAAAGCCGACATGGTTCATAGCCATGCGAGCAGCCTTGCTACCGCCGAGTTCGGAGAGGACGACACCGACCGCTACATCGTCTATCTTTTCCGGTGGGAGGTTCGGATTGGCATCGAGGGTGGCACGTAGGACGACCGATAGCAATTCCTCGGGGTAAGCATCTTTTAGTTGACCACGATACGAGCGGCAAATAGGTGTTCGTAGAGAAGATAAGATGACGGTGTCGGAAGGGGATTTGGTAAGTATGGAGGATAGTCCTTTAGGGAGAGCCATTTCGAATGAGGGAGCGAGGCTATTCGCGCACGAGATGGTAATATCTCAACTAGACAAGACAGATCAATAACGTATTACACTGGGAATCATAAGTTGAGCTATATTATTATATAAAATAAATAGTATTGATATATACAGGGTATCAAAAAGAAGAAGAAACAAAAGGGAGGTCCCAGACCCAACCCTTGGAAGAGCGGGCAAAGAATCGGAATAAAATATTCGGCAGAGCTTTGCATTGTGTAGAAGAGATGAACAAACTGCCGGTCACCCATTCCGCAGGTGAGGGGCCACTAAACACGCTACCGATCACTACCCGGTAGGGGGTTTTAGGGATTCTAGGGGTGTTACGTACTGCTATTTATCCTCCTTATGTAATACTCTACAGGGCAGATCAACACTTCTCACGATAGCTTCACAACAGTCACTAAATAGAACACAATATAAACAGAAACATACATGATGTGAGCATATATAAGCAGCTAGACTACTAATTATATATTCCAAATATCATAAATTCATATCTAGGATAGCATCATGTAGAGCAACCATAATCATTTGCCCATTACACAAGCTAACACCTTCAAAATCCCTATCGCTAGGAAGCTCATCATACGTACCTAAATGTCCCATAGATATGTAATTCCCATAGAAGCAATAGGCCTTGAGTGAAACCAAACCCAAAACACCGTGATAATAAGGGGTATAAATACACATATCATCCATCCATTCTTCACGGCGTTATCGTCAGTCCCAAAAACCCGAATCATACCTATGATCGAAGTCGAGCTAACAGTCTGTTCTTCCAATTATTCACGATATCATCATGACTTGCCATCTAAGCTTCTTGACTATAGCGAATCCCCAGTCCAACGCGACTGCTAGCATCGCCTCCGCTTCCATATCTCATCTTCTTCGCTGGACTCAAAAGAGCTTCTCGTCGGCTGTCGTTGTTATCTGCAATACCGCTCAACTTACGCTTCTCTGATGCCAACCCGACCTTATTCAAACCAGCAAAGAGTTTTGATTGCAATTTGGCCGACTTCTCGGCAGGAGCTGGTGTACCATCCCGGGATCCTACAGAACTAGCAACTTCGAAGCTCTCGCGGGGGTCACGGCGCAACATTTCGGATGCTGCTTGGCTAGCCTGACTCTCAAAAATTTCCTCGTCCTCTTCTCTTCGTCGGGAGCTTCGCGATCCTTGAGACATGTATGATTGCGTAGCGGCTGCGACCGACTCGAGAGCCGCACGAGCTAGTTCTTCATTGTTGTCGTCGGCAGATATGGTACTTTCTCTACTTTGACGTCCCTTCTTCTGGACCGGTTGCTCTGGGGGGTATCGAGTGTTAACGTATCGAGGTTCGGTTTGGGGGACTAGGTCGACGGATGGGAGCAAAGTCGAATACTCTCCACGAGCACGCGAAGTTGGTGTGGTAGGGAGGGAAGATAAGGATTGCACGCCACGAGTATGTCTCGGGGGAACTCGTAACGCAGGACGATTAGCTGCTACGGGTGTCGACGGTGCACTATTATCGTGGCTTAGAGCTTGAAGGAGAGCAGCAAATCCGGCTTGGTTAGAGTCATTCTCATGCCGAACGTCTCGATGAACGGTGGATTTGGGGGTTTGTCGTGGAGTGGCTCGATACTGCTGAGGTGAAGTAGCTGCAGGGGTTTTGGGTGTTAAGGCCCCGTGAAATGCTCCGCCAGGGCTGCAGAGCATATGAAAATGTTCTCGGTTTTCGCGAATACGATTAAGGAGCATATCACGTTCGTCGATTAAGCTATCGCGCTCTTCGCTCTGTTGTTGAATAAGTTTGGTAGCAGACTTGACACGCTTTTGAAGCGCCTCGTTTTCCTTCAAAACAATTTCATATTGTGCCTGTAGTTCGCGATATTTGACTTGGGTTGACTCGGTAGCGGCATTAAGTTCTCTTCGAGCTTGACGGGAATTCTCCGTCATACGTAATACTTCCACTTCTCGGCGAGTCATGTCATGCTCTACCGCAGCCCTTTTGGCATCTTCGTCAGCTTGCATGCTCAGCAAATTGTACTGCAACTTATGATGAGCCGTCTCCATTTTTAATCTCGCGTTTTCAGCGAGACATGCTTGAACCATAGTACGAAGGTCTTCCGCGGAGGCATCCGTAATTTGGTCCGATGTTGGGACGATAAAATCCGACGCGGAATTACCATCTCGTGCGAGGGTTCGAAGTGCCGAAGCAGGGGGAGAGAATATGTTAGCCCTTTGAGAACTAACATAACCAAGTGGCAATCCAGCGGCACCGTTGGTCTGGGGAACCTGGGACGAGGGAGGCGGTGTCAAAGATGAAGGAATGACCTGGGAAGATGAGTTACGATCATCGTTTAATTCGATCTTGAATGAAGTAGATGGGTCGATAGGTGAATTCGGTCCTTCGGTCGAGGGAATAGATTGTTGCGATAAATGACGGGTACCGGTAGCATCAGGGGGAGTTGAAGGAACGTGGTCGTAGTCAGTCTCTACAACGTCGCCATTTGGACGAGATGTATTAGTATCTGTATCTGCGGACATATTTGCGTTTTAATTGTATAGATCCACGATATTTGGACGATGTATGTTTTTGTGTTTCGTTGTTTCGATAGCAACCATTCAAGGTATAGGTTGGACACAAAGGCGGTAGCGGAGAGAGAGAGCGAGACGTGTAGAGATGATAAGGAGAGGCCTAATTCGGAGAATGCTGCATTTACCCTTTATGAACCAAATCAAAAGGAGTTTGCAAACACCCGAAATAGGGAAGGAGAAGGAGGAGAGGAATAGGAGGGAGTTTGAAAAGGACTTTTTTGACTATCACATCAATGTCCTTATTGGAATGAAAAAATTGGAAAGTGAGATAGGTGAAGAAACGTGAAGGAGAAACGTTTGCGTGGGAGTGGAGAAAAGATATGTGTCTGTGTGATGTGGAAGGTGAATGGTGGACGATGGATAGTGGACAGTGGGCGGTAGATGGGGGGAAAAGTTGGAATCAGTAGCAATAAAATCACCAATTGGTTGCTCCGTCAGGTCCACATAGTGACCCGGCACCTACCTGGAATCCATACCTCTGAGACCTCCCCGTTACCACTGAAGGAATTTTAAAGTTAGTGGAACCCTGGAAATCTTGAAGGCTGGCACGGGGCCCACTCCACTGAAAATCGGAGGCTGAACATCCATACGCTAACCCTAAAGTTACCTAGCAGCTTAGGTACCTTCCAACCTTTCCTTCTGTATTTGGCAAGTAATAAGTGGTCAAAGCACTGGAAGCTTTACATGAAGCTTCACTATAGTCTCTTATGTCTCTTAATCACAAGGATAGAATTCAACGTATATCACTGCAAACCATTCATTATTAGTATAGTACGTATGACTGTTGTTGTTTTTTTCGTACCCCTTTTTACGCCTCCTTTTTTGACAAACTCCATCACGAAGAATGCATTCTCGAATCCATAATTCAACCAACTCCCCCTCCTAAGAAGCCTCGCGCGAAGCCAACCTGGTATCTATAAAACTATACGAATACGCCGCAAAGGTATCGCGTCATGACCACCCAAACAAGACACAACCCCTCGACCAAAAACTTAAGCTTGCGTTGTATATACCGATGTCAACTTATTACTGATTAATCAAGTTCCGAATCCTCTTCTCCTTCTCCTAACTTGGCCTTCCACTCCGCCATCTCTGCAACAGGTACACGGCCTCTAAGCCAACGAAGAGTAGCTTCGGTTCCGCGCTCGAGTACATTCCATCTAGGTACTCGGAATCGATTCCCGGTTACCTCGAATCTCTCCAAGTTTCCAGTACCTCCTAGAAGTCCAATACGAGGATTTAGGTGGGCTATCTCATTATTGCTGGCATCAACTATTTTCATCCCCTTGATAGACTCCGGATCAATATCTTCCAATCGATTGTTGGAGATGAGCAAGATAGTAAGGCTTGGGAAAAACTCTCGCAGAGTCGGGAGTTTGACAATTCTGTTGCATGAGAAGTCTGCTTTTTGTAGGTTTGGCGCGCAAAGATTCGTTGTAAGCGGCGTCAAACTTGTGACGAAATTCGAAGCCAGAGAGAGCTCTCGAAGAGCTGTAAGATCAATAGGTTCCGTTAACCAACTCTCCCCGGTAAGCTGATTATGTGCCATGGAAAGCGATGTAATTGTGTCGGCGAAAAAGGACAACGAGTTCGGGAACTGTGTAAAAGTATTGCGCTGCAGTCGCACTTCACGTACAGTATGGGCTGCTGCGATCTTGGAGCAGACAACCGGGTGTAGCGAAGACGATTGTGTATCCGATCGATCCAATAGGCCACCAGGCTTAATAGGCCATGTCTGACTAGTTAATGTATGAGATCGCGAACGAGCTGGGGAGTGAGGTGCTGAAGTAGGTGGTGTAGCAAAGTCATCAAATTCCGAACGGCTCTCGGTATCTTCTGCACCACTATGCACTGGAGCAGCTGAGAGGGTGTTATCATTGGTAGGTGGAACCACTGAGAATCCATTTCCAAAATTCTCAAGCCCGCCCATTTCAGACTGAGGGATGGGCTCCAACCTCGCTGCTAGCGCATCTTTCAATTGTTCCGTCGTCATAGACGTGAACTTCTTATCCCTCAAAGGATTTCCAGTAATTCGTAGCATTCCTAAAGTATCCATTCGCGCAATCTCCGGGGGCACAATGCGGATGTCATTGCTAGTGAAATCAACATGGCGCAAATTCTCCAACGTTGTGAAACCTTCCGGAAACGCGGCGATACTGTTCTCATCCGCATTGATAGTAAGAAGGCTAGTCCACGAACTCATGTCCGGAATTGATGAGATTCGGTTCATAGATATCGTGAATTGATGAAGAGAAGGCATCTTTAGAGATTGGCCAATGCCTACTATCTGCTGGATTTGATTTGCTGCTACGTCAAAGATCTGAAGCAACGGAAGGCTCTCTACACCGGGCCCTATGAGGGTACCAGAGAGCTTGTTCTTGCGAGCTTGTAGTTCAGTAAGTGGAAGCTTAGAAAAACTTTCGAATGGCAAACTCTCGAACGCGTTCTCATTCAAGTTAAGCATCCGAAGACGCGTTAACTTATCAACACCATCTGGGAGTGATGAAATGTTATTGCCATGAAGATCGAGAATTTCGAGATTCTGGAGGTTCTCAAAGCAATCCACTTCCATCCGACCGTACAGAAGATTATTGCCTAGCTTAAGATCTCGGACTGTAGTTAACTGTGAGATAACTTCTAGGCAGTTGTTTGTAAGTTTATTTGATGACTATTAGATGGTTAGTAGAAGTCATACCAAAGCAAAAAGGGAACAGATGACATACCAAGTTCAGAGACGTCAACAACTGGAGACGCCTTAAACCCATAGGTAGGGCTATTAACATGTTGCCGTGTAGGTCTAGTGACTCCAATCCGCCGAATAGGTTACCCTCGCTATTATCTTCATTGGCGAAATCATTGGGATCTATGTCGGGAAAAATCGCATCGTCAATCGACTCCAATTCATTATCAGCCGCCACAAACCGAGTCAAATCCACACTTTCTGCCCACGATGCACCAGGACGATCCGTCGACTCAGAATCGTACATCTTCAACACCTCTGTTGGAATTTCCTTCAAACCCATAGCCGCAATATTAAGCCTTCCGGTAGTTCTAGCGGTATTAATTCGCAATTGCATTACTTTGCGATTTGTATCCTCGAACTTTTGTTGACCAAAAGGATCATCAGATAGACCAAAATCAAATGTCGTATCAGTAGGGACGACAGGTGCTTCATCTACATCAGGTATCTTGGTGCTCGAGACTTGTCGAGATGCAGCACGCTTCGCGGCTTTCGCTTTTGCGATTTGATCTCGTAGCGCGGCAGACGACTTTCTAGGTGTAGATACCGGCGCTTCTTCAATAGAGTCCACCGTCAGCGCCGTAGAAGCAGTAGAAGCACTCGATAAGTTACGCCCATCATTAGATGTGCTAGATGATTTGGCCGACGCGAGCGAAGCTTTACGGGAAGGGCTAGGCGGTACTTCCGGTAATTGTTTGTCCAGTGACGCCAAGGATGGTTTTCTATACAAATTGTTCATTGAAGCTCTCGATTTCAATGGGCGGGCGGTAGCTGTTTTAGACCCTAATTTTGACATGGAAGGATCCAAACGCTTATCTGGACTTGGTGAAGAGGGCCCTACCGAAGCTGATAGCGAAGATCTGGAAGGGACCTTGTTCAAACTAGGCCTTGAAGCGAAACTTGAAGTAGCCCTGCCAGCTGGTGTCCTAGAATTGATAGCAGAAGCCCTCTTCGTCGGAGTACCTAGCACGGTCGATAAAGGCGGCTTATAAGTATTCGTAGACGCCCGGAAGTTTGTATAGCTGTCCTGTTGACCCGAACTTGACCCTGGCCTACTAAGAGATCTTGCAGATCGTATGGTGGAAGCATCAGATTGATAGCTGGAACCTGGTCTCGAGCTCGGCCTTGATCTTGACCCTACACTGCCCTTAGATTGTGGCCGTCCAGGCGGATCCATCTCGAAGAAGTTGCTACCACGTCGTTTGAAGGCGGGGGAGGATGGCAGCTGAGCAAGTGTCTCAATTGTTCTCTCGGAGAGTGACGGGCGAGGTCTTCTTGGTTGCGATTGTAGGTTATCGAAAGTAAGGCCTTCGTCGGCAGACCTTGTTAGTTGTGGAAGCGAATCAACTGCAAAATCGTCATCGTCATCTTCTACTGGCGAGAACGTCCCTCCGGTTGAAGTAGTGGGAGAGGCTTGAGAAAGTTGGCCTGACGGTCGTCTTCTAGGCACCAGGGGCTTCTTAAAAGGATCAGGACGAGCATCTCGGCTTTCCTGTATAGTTGCTGGTTTCGCCCCACGCGATGCGCTCCTATTCCTCGAGCTGAGATCTCGACGATTGGTCTGCGAGCTTACGGGAGGTGCGCTGGACTTCTGAGTCTTGCGAACCGTTGATGTAGTGCTCAATTGCTCTTTAGAAGGTGCTGGTCGTAACCGGGGGTTTCGGACAGTATTGGTAGGTGCAGGTTGGGTCGATCGTCCGCGTGTCGGTTCGACGGGTGGTTGAGCCTTAGCAGAAGAGGAAGTTGTAGGAGCAAATACACTAGATCGAGGCATAGGAAGACGTGATGTCGGTCTGGGTAAAGCGCTAGATCTATTACCAGCAGAGTTGCCAGTTGAACGTTTTTCGTCCATTTTGACGGTTGAACTTGAGTCAAGATAACGAGTGCATCGGCGTGAATGAAATTCCCCTTATACTTTTATGCTTGAGGCTAGCGAATGAGCGACGATAACAACCGTGGGCAAAGACGGCGTCATAAGTGATGAGCCCGTATAATAAAGAAGTTGATACAACCACAACAACCAAGCTGTACAAGGGGGAAAGGAGAGGAGGGGAAGGGACCGTTGTAAGAAGATTAGAAAGAAGAAGAAAAAATCCCAAAAGACGTAAAGACCCAAAGTCAATATTGGACAAAGTTCGGATTATTATTACAAACCTTGCTTTATTTCAATGTTGGACAGGGTTGAAGGAGGCACGACCAATGGATGATAGGAGGCTGACAAGCAAGAAGCAGCTTTCCTTGGTCAGAAGGTCAAAGCGCCTGTTAATTGATGCTGGGCAATTGGGGGGGATTTAGGTGCTTCTTTCCCTTCTGTATTTTGATTTTTGGTTGTTCACTTCCCAAAAAGACGGGCCGCTAGGGGACCTCCGTTAGCTTGGGTAGCCTATAGGTACATATGTACTTAGCTTACTGCACATTGTGACCAGCAATTGCTTCCGGCGACGCTAAACTCGTACTAAACTGGTGCTAATTTGTTCGAAAGCTAACGCGTTAACGACGTAATAAACATTTGTAAGGGTGGGGTATGCCGTACCCCAGCAACCCGATTTCCCAATGCCGCTAGCTTCTCGCCCGAACCCTTTAGTTCCCCTTGCAGATTAGAGATACATCCATGACTTACATCTTCCCCCTTGGAAAGAGCCCTTGGGAAGCACTGGAAACCCTGAAGAAACTCGAAAACTCCGAGGACCGATTGAACATAAAAGGTTCATCTCGGTCGCATGCAGATAGATAGATTTAAGATTATTAAACAACTCTATACGGTTTCTATAGTGTCACTACATAGAAATGTAGTGAGACATTATTAAAGAATCTCAGCCTTATAATTAATATTTTCAAAAGTATTTACAGAATATCTAAGTATTGAGTAAGTTGTTGAATTACTTACCTGCAGTACTTCCTACCTCCTATTTGATAATTTAAGGGGTCGTGACTTGACAAGAATAACAACAATAAAACAGTGAAGAGAACTTCTATTGGGCAAGACGGTTATGTATGTAACCTCGAGATGCACAAACTTCGGGTTGACTCGATAACCTTTGAAGGGATTCCCATGCAATGCGACCTCTTTTGCATGTGTTAATCTTGACCCGTCTTATTTGTGGTAGTTTTCATCCGATCTCTAATGGTACTAGTAGTATACTATGCTATACTATGCAAGCCACATAGATTTCTAATTTCCAATTCCTTATATTATTTATCTTGCATTGCCATGTCATCCTTTATTCTTTTCACTAGACAAACTTGTACACCCATACCAAAATTACAGCCCAAATAACTCTCGGAGTAGTGACAGTAAGAAACTCCGACAAGTTAACATCCGATATATTATGTCTTAGTTTATTCCGGATATCGAACTCAACTCTACGTTACTAATGTCAATGACACTCACATTCATTGAATAGCTCATTAACTATTTCTGCGTAATAGCTTAATAACCACGCCATCAGAATCTACAGCCCAACGAAGGGTATCGTTCGAGTCGGCAACGTAGCCATTATACCGGCTATGGGAATTCTATCTAGAGCCTAGAACATTAGAAACAATATAGGTACCTAGGTGCATGTAGATCACAAATGTCTTGGAAAGATAGACGAGGTTTTGATGATGGTGGTGCCACATGTAGAATGAAAGCCAACCAAACCCCCAACCCGCCGTCTTATGTCTCAATAACGCTGATGTGGTTTGTTCGGAGTTGCCATGATATCATCGACTATAAGCCACCCTCACAGATCCAATCATTCCATCGTAACACGTAAGCATCCGGACTGTAGTCCGATATACGTTACGGGCGGAAAGCTGATAGAATATGCCGAATGTATATTTTCTGCAAAGCATAGACAACGACGAAGACGCGACGGGAAACAAAAAATCAGGTGCTAGGGACTTTATAAGAAGTCATTTCTGTATATTCTCTCCCAAATAAGATATTGCAACCACTACGCATACATGGAGATGTGGGATAAATAGATCTAAATCACCCAACCTATGAGATTTGCAGTCAATTGACCTCCCATGCGATACCCACCTCCAGCCCAACTGCCGAGATTAGAAAGTTTCCGTTAGCAAATAATTCAAATAAAAGATGAGCCCCGTGCCAATTATATAACGAGAAGATTGAGAAGGTCTTCATATGATATATAATAAAGCAATTACATTGATGCATTGGGAGTCCTGGACAATTGAATGAAGTTTTCAATGTGTGGGGAGGGGGAAATTGACGAAGAATACCTAATAATCATTTGATCCAGTGATGTAATGAAGATACATTCGCGGCCTTGTGACGATGAGTTATTGCTAAAATAAATTCGCAATATGTCAATGGTAGGAAGTTTGTAAAAGATGCAGTTTTTTTCGTCCTTGATATGTGTTTGCCTTGGGGGGCAGTAAGCCAGTAAAATCATATAACAAAGGGGATACCTCTTAACATATTCATATTAAATCCAAGGTATTGGGAATCTCTGTGTTTCCTCGAAGCTTCAAGTAGAAACAATGTATAATCTCGGTGAAACTTGTGTAATCACCTACCTAGGCAGGTAGGTAAGAATCGACGTCGTGTGCTACCCAGGTACTGGTTCATGGTGCTTGAAGGGCGCTCGAAGCCACTGTATTCCGTAACACTAGTCGCATATGACACGTAAGAAATTGATGCAAAGATGACCAAATGAATATTTATGATGAAAATTCTAGGTAAATGCCCCTATTTTAATATTGAATCAATAATATCTGAGTAGTAGTTGAATCTTACGTATGGATAAGTAACTGGATTACATCTAAAATGTCATGTATGAATAATGGAATATGATGCGACGATCTACCAAGGATCTCAATCGGAGGGTATCAGTGGCGCCGCCATTGTAACCAACAGGAATACTGAAGCGACCAGTCATCCCTTTATAACCCATTCTGTGAAGTTACTTTACACGACGATCATCGCAAACTACCCGCATTGCGTAGGCTATTCTTGGGTTTCGGGTAAATATCCATGTCGGATCGGTCGCCTAATATGGTAGGAAGTAATATGTTATATGGTTATAAAGACCAGATCTTGCTGCTCCTCACTGAGAAGTCTAGGGAAATGCTCGTTTGTAGTCGTCGGATCATCTCATAATGCAACTATCGTCTCTCGTTCTATTTGTGTTATCCTCCTCGGGTGCGCTGGCGGCCAAGCACTTCCATGTGCCGGAGCCAGCCCGAGTGCGCGACGAACCCACAGCGACGGCCTGCACATCTTCGGCTCTCAGCACCACTACTACTATCAACAGAGGAGGCGAAGGAATTTGGGTAGTGAGGCCAAATATAACGGATTTGCACGAACTATACAGGTTTAGACAGGCCGACTGGCTCAACAACAACCACACACAAGTACTCGATACGTGCGGTAGTATTTGCTTAAAGGGCAACGATACGGCCGACCCGGGCACCTGGCAGCCTAGTCGGCAGTACTTCCAAGGCGGGTTTGTCAATACTCCAGGAGGAGATCCACCGGATCATATCCTATGGCAATGCGCGTGTTATGACCGAGCCGTGACAATGGACGATCTTGTTCCCGGTGGAGGGGTTTGGAATAATGCAAACCCAGGTAGCGGAACCAGTAAGTCCAGCCCGGTTACATCATTTAGCCATCTCGATACATCTGTTAACTCCGCGTTCTTAGTAATCAACCGAGCCTGTTAAATAGACGGTCTACAAACGTGGCGTGCGTGTGTGTACCTAAGACAGTGAAATTCCTGCAACCCTTTCGACCGGTTTCCTTCTATTAATATATGATGAGTCGGATTATCTGAACCACTATTCATATTGTCTCAAACAGAATAGTCTCACTGGTACGAAGCGAGGGTAAATCCTGCGTGGTCATCAATATTATGATGGGTTAGGTATTTAAGACTTCTTTTTATCTTATTTCCGAATGCCACGGACCTATCAATCCAACAAGGGCCCGTATCTTCTTATCGCGACAAGATGTGACGGCGTTTACATTGACTGGTGAACCGAATATCTCCTAAATTGAATTAATACCTAACGGATACCTTGTTATTGGTCTTTGGCAAGGCTTGACGACTTTGATGTAGACACAAAGTTGCCAAAGGATGGTTCCGGTGGAAGCAATGGTGTTTGGATGGTATACGTGTTTCTGTCATTTCTCTTCTGCAGGCTACCGTCAGGCCTCCTGCCTTTTAGAGGCGGAACCAACAACGGGAACCAAACGGACGAGGATAGAGAGCACGTCCCTACCCCCAAGGCTTAGGAGCTTCACATGGCCGCGAAAATGCCTAGATCCTGAAACTGCGTCCTGCTGCCTTCCATTTTAAACGGCCTGCCTTATTTCTAGCAACGCATTAATGAAAACGCGTAGAATTACGTAGAAACACGGCACTTGGTAAGCTTTCAATAAGAAGAGTACCCTTCTAAGATCAAATACCCAAATATTTCTCTACAAGTTATCGGACTAGGATAATTACGTCCTACTCCAATACCTAACATAATAATACACCCAACTAGACACTTAGGTGATCTCCGAGCCTCGCGAATTCAGCTCATAGCCAAAATGGTGCTCGCCTTCAGCACAGAGTCCCTTAACGGGCTCTGCTCTGATGACCAACTTGAACTTCTGGACGCCATCGACCATCTACGCCTTCAGGGAATCGACCATTACATCTCTCTGCCACAAATCATCGTGTGTGGTGATCAGTCTTCGGGGAAGAGCTCCGTGCTTGAAGCTATATCAGGTGTTCCTTTTCCCGTCAAGAGTAATCTCTGCACCTGTTTCCCAACAGAATTAGTCCTCCGACGAACGCCCGAGACTGGAGTAACTGTCTCCATCGTTCCCGATTCTTCCTATAACTCAACTGAGAATGGCCTTCATAAATTTCATGAGGAGCTCGACGGATTTGAAGGGTTCCCCGACCTCGTCGAAAAAGCTAAGGTGGCCATGGGAATCACAACTTTAGGCAAAGCCTTCTCAAAAGATCGCCTTCGCGTCGAGATCACAGGACCCGACCGTCCTCATCTCACAATCATCGACATGCCAGGTCTCATTCACTCAGAAACGAAGACACAAAGCAAGACAGATGTTAGACTTGTTCGACAAGTGGTGAGGTCATATATGAAACAGCCTCGAAGCATCATACTAGCTGTCGTTTCCGCCAAGAACGACTTTGCGAACCAAGCGGTCCTCAACTTTGCCCGAGAGGTAGACGAGAGAGGGAGTAGAACCATGGGTGTGATCACTAAGCCAGACTGTCTGGTTGAAGGATCCGGAAGTGAAAAAGCCTTTATTTCCTTGGCGAGAAATAATCAAGTCAATTTCGACCTCGGTTGGCACGTTCTCAAAAACCTTGACTCGGAGACTCAAAAGGGCTCTTCACTCCTAAACCAGCGAAATGTCGAGGAAGCTCGATTTTTCTCCAGGGGTGCCTGGAAAGAACTTCCCCCATCCATGTTAGGGATCAACGAGCTCAGAAAACGGCTTAGTGATGTGTTGCTCAAACAAATCGCCTTCGAGCTGCCGAGTCTCATTCGCGAAATTGAATCGGGCTTAGATGAATCGCGCGAGAAGCTTAAGGAGCTTGGAGAACCGCGACGTACTTACGACGAGCAGCGGCTTCAGCTCCTCCAAGTCAGCCAAGGTTTTCAATCTCTTGTTGAGGGCTCTGTCAGCGGGTCGTATGACGATCCCTTCTTCGAGGACGCCCAATCAGATAAGGGATATGAACAGCGAATTCGTTCGGTAATTCAAAACATGAATAAGGAGTTCGCCGATGAAATTACGGCACATGGCCACCGACGTGAAGTTGGAAGCAAGTCCCAGACGCCAGATCAAAATCCAGAATACGTCACGAGGGAAGTTTTCCTCGACCATGTCCAGAGCATGATGCAAAGGACTCGAGGCCAAGAGCTACCAGGGATATTTAGTCCTCTTGTCGTAGCTGACCTATTTAGGCAGCAATCTTCTCCATGGGAGGAGATCGCACGGGGTCACGTCAAGAAGGCCTGGGACTCAGCTGTGAAATTCCTCGAATTGGTCATTGAGCATGTCGCAGACCCATCGATTAGCAATTCTCTTCTTGAAAAAGTGATCCGGCCTGCCTTGAAAACGTTACTTACGGATGCTGAAGTTAAGACTGCTGAGTTGCTAAAATCTCACCATCGTGTCCATCCGATTACCTACAACCAGGAGTACGCGGAGACTATTCATTTCCCCGGCAGTCACTCCAGGGAGGAAATATCCAACATTGTTCGCAGTTTCTTTGGCTTGTCTAGTATCAGCAATGGGAATCAATACTTGAACAACAATAATTATAATCTTAGCAGGCTTGTTGACAATCTATCTAAGCGGGTTGAACCTACTACCGAACGACTTGCAGCCTCTGAAGCACTTGACCGCATGCTCGCGTATTACTATGTCAGTGTTACTTCTTCAAAGCATGCCTACCTAGGTATAATAAATGATAACGGCTAATAATACTCCTAATCTAGATTGCCTTGAAACGTTTTATTGACGGTATCGCTATTGAGGTCATCGAGCAAAAGATTCTTGTTCCTCTCTCCGATATCCTTTCCCCCGTAGCTGTCTTCAAGATGCCGGCGAAGGTAGCAGATCTCATCGCTGGCGAGTCGTGGGAAAGCCGATCGAAGCGACAGGACTTAACTAAGAAGATCGATGTTCTGCGAGAAGGGCTAGGTACATGCGAACGATTTGTCAGTTCGAGACTAAAGGGTAAGAAATTGATCGCCTAAGTATACTTTGGTTAACCCCGAAGCTGATCTTTGATATCTATAGATGAACAAAATTCTCAGCAGGAAGAGGCTGCAGGCGAAGACCTAGATACTAGTGATTTATCTGTGGGGATCCCGACTGCGAGCGACACGGAGGAGGCTGGGGTTGTTTGATTAAATCGGAAAATGCAGTTGATGCTTGGGTGGGAGCGATGTGTCTGTTTCTTCATGGGCACCCACCTCAGTTGCGCATACGGAAACCTGGCGTCTTTCCACACCCTCGCAAATAAATTCACACATTCTACGGGCGTATTGTGTTAAACCTTGATTGAGAGGTAGATGGCAGCTAGACAGACACTCCCAGAATTGGTCCCGGCTTATTGGGTAGGAACCTAAGTAGATGACTAAATACCTAGTTAGGTGCCGAACACTTGTTCTCCTATAAAGGCCTGTTTGATAACGCTCTGTCAATGGTTTACGATGTTGTATGTTCTGATTTCCACGCCGAATTACAGACCATGTTCGAGCCAACCATAGGTATCGTATATCCTAGAATCTTGATGCAAGTTAAGCAAGCCCGATAAGACGACATTAATGTATATTTTGAGGGGACGTCATTTGGGCTAGTCGAAGCTCCCATTTTCATCTCGCGATGATCTGAAGCACTGCAATGGTATCTCCACTAAACCATCAGGGCTATCAATAATTCAAACCCCTACTAACCGAGTTATACCATTCACTAACGAGTCCTACACATTATAAGTATTTATTTAATATTATTAACAAGCAGCTATCTGCTAAATCATTACAAATGATGTATGTACGTATATGCTCCCAGCCAATGTTGATGAACTGGCACCCAATAATGCAACAACCAAGCTACGCAAACCCTCCACTCTAGTGGTATTGCCAGTCTAGTTTCATTCCAGTCTGTAAATCAATCAATCTCGATTTCAAATCGACTCAGCCATGCCTCAAGATGCTCCCATTTTTTTCATGCCGTTGTGAATCATATGCGTGTAATGCGTCGCCAATTACCAAAATATGCGTGGATATAATAAAACTTAGAGAAGAAAAAAAAGATTAAAAAGAGAAAAATCAAAATGGGTATAACAACGCCTCGACCATGCGGATGCAATAACGTGATCCTCCAATTCGTTTTCTGTCGTCGCGTGAGTTCATTCGTCGTCAATTATCGGCCAAAAAGCCATCCCATCTTCTTGCCACCATTGCTTCCCTTTTCTTCTGCCTCGTCGCAATCAAGCTCCAATCGATACCGTCTGACGCTTCCAGAGTCATCATCGAACCCAACCCGTCGGTTTGCCTTGGGTACGAAACAGTCCGGGACCACATGCTTCATGAACCATCCCTTTACACCACGGCTTGCGGCGTCGATAGCGGCATATTCGAGGCGCCGAGTGTGATCGCTTGTCCAATAATGGGTAGTCTGTGGTGGTGGGGGATATGACGGACCGGCATCATCAGTATCAATGCCCTCATCTATACTTCCCGAAAGCGATTCCGGTGGCGGAAAGTAGTAATATGTGGTGGGCTGTTGATTCGATTGGCTCGAGTGCGGAGGTTGCGTACTTAGTCGTCTTACTTGCGGGTTCGGAGTTGATTTTGCGGCACGGCGGGCTGAAGGCCTGGTTCGTGTTCGTGCTTGGGAGGAACTCGTATAGATACCAGAATTGCGTCGTTGGGAAGATCGGGACGCAATGGACTTAGACCTAGGATGTATCGACTCGTAGCCTGAATCATGGCGAAGTATGGGTTTGAATTCAAACTTGTCCTCCTTACGGGAAGGCATCTGTTTCTCAACGGTAACAGACGTTGATCGAGGCTCATATAGCTCGATATCATGGAAAGAATGGTATGTGGTATCAGACGCAGCGACACTAGTAGCCGATTGAGATCGATATAAATTTGTGGATACCGGAGTTAACCGTGACATCTTGCCAAGTTCCACCGTCACCTAGGTCCTATGTATTATTGACTGAATCTCGAATTCCCCAGTTGAACCTTTGGCATTGGAGAGGAAGGAAATAAATGTGTTGTAGCGAATGTGCAAATAACTTCTTTTTAAAAAGTGTGGTGGTAGATATCGTGGATAGGAGCGTTGCTCCGGTGAAATAGAAAATGCAGTAGGGGTTGTCGGGGAATTAGAAACAAATTGCGGTCTGTATCCAAATTATTCCAAAATGGAGATAATGTGTGAGAACCCAATCTGCAGAAGACGGTCAAGATAGTGTCAAGTGGATACAAGTGAATCTTCCCATGTATGCGGACCGGTGAAATAGTAGTCGTGCCGCAGGTGAGCGTGGTTTGGGACCAGTGACAAGACGCTATTTCCAGCAAGCAATAGGGTACTTTTCCCACAATGCAGGTCTGTAAGACGCAAAGGATGGCGTGGATTGTCTTGCAATCAGAGAATTTGTATGAGAGAACGACAAATGTAAATAATTGGTAATTTGTATGCCTGTGTGTGTATGTATGTGTATATGTGTATATGCAGTGCGGATATACCCATACACTGCAGTGACTAGGGTCCAAACCGGATGTAAATGTTCGTGAGATGATACACACGGTATGAAAAATAAAGAATAGTATGCGAAAAACAGAAGCTCGAAACGATCGACAACCTTGATTTCGCCCCTCAGTCGTAGAGCGGCCCTACAGGGCTAAGGATATGTTTATTGAATGTTTTTATTTTTCTCTCTTTCAAAAATTTGTTGAGTGAAGAAGCGGTCTGGCGTCGCTTGACTCGTTTTGGAACCAGAGGCAATTATCGTGACCGGCGTAAAACCCCGCTGTGCACCAAGGACCCCACGTCGTTTGCCGTCGTTGGTTGTACTCTGGACGGAGTGGAATACGGGGAGCGGCGTACTAGACGAAAAAGATCGTGGGGCCTGGCTAAGTGGCGTAGAAGCTTGGGAATCGCTGGAATCGTTGAAGAAAAAAACAGGGCGACTTAAAACCCGTGGGGACGGTATTAATGATGATGGGCAACGATGATATGAGGGGAAGAAATATCCCTTAAATATCTTAACATAAGAATATGAAGAAGAAAAACCGACTGGGTTTTCCATTTATTTTTGTCGCTAAGCGCTTATATGCCGCCGTGCCTCGTGGCTATCCGAACAGGAAGATCGTAGCCCTTGCATTCAATGTGCATGCAGACAGGCAGACCACAACGGAACGGGATGTCCCTAGTCTTGTAAGATTCTGACGATAATAACTAGGTAGTGGTGGTTGATGGGTTGGGTATGCATACCTTTGTACGTAGGTAGGTATAATCCGATGTCGCTGACGATGGCTATGAACATACATACCACATACATAAAATGCTATGTAAAATGATACCCTTGAACCCCAACCTAATTGGCGAGATTTGGGCTGGGCTTGGCAAGTGGATAGTCAGTCCCACGATGAACTAGGGGGTTTTTAAGAAGAGGGGTTGATGAGTTGATGAACAGACGAGCAGACGAGATGATGTACCGATGAAAATTGATGGAAAGAAAATTGTCGATGAGATAGATCAGGCATTCGTGAAAGCATTTAGTATAATTATCAACTTTGACTTGTTATGTCCCTGTCACTATATTCAGCTGCTTAATAGAAGGATCGGACTTTCACATGCTTCCATTTTTTTCTTGCTTGGTTCTGCCCTTCCAATGCTTCTTCCCTGCCGTGCCATGTCGACAAGACAAGAAACAGAGACTGGGGTGGCGTGGCTCTCGATCTCGCGCGTCACAAGGGTGGCTTGGGTTGTCTATCATGAGCTGTATTTGGTAGCATCACCTGGCGCAGTTTCTACCAATCGTCTTGGGTTCATGTCACTCAGCTTGTCCGCCCAGCCAATAATGGCACGTCGCGTACCTGTCGATGAAACCCCGTCAGAAGGCTATTTTGTACTGTATTTTGTGCTTCCCAGGGTTTTTGCTGCAAGGTCTTCTTCGGGTCCCACTCAGGCACGCTTGCTTGCTTCTAGACCTTCCGACTATTTCCTCCAATCATATTATTTTTAAATGTTGGACCTCGGGCATTCTGTTTTGCATGAGCTGTCAGACCTTATAAGGGTCCACACTGAGGTTTTATACCAACAGCGTTCGGAATAGCGGCAGTCTCATATGCTTCAGAAGTTACCAATGATAGTGGTCTTCTACGTATGAAGTAGTATCGTTTCGGAAAAACTGGCATAGTGCGTGTGGTTCTGGCGGTAAAAACCTGTTGATATGACCTAAACTCGCTTATCCCTAAGGCAACACTAATTGCCTATTAGAATTAATGAGCTCTTAGTAGAAAATTCGGTTCAAATTCTAAGACTTGTCAATATAGACTGATCATGGCTGCACCCGACAGTCTGTCAACCTCGTCGAGTGTGCGTGACGTGTCTCAGCAGGACCTACAGTGCTGTGATACGAACAAGACATTGCTTTGAATAAAGTCAGACGTAAAACATCCGATATAATATTCTAGTTGAAAGGGCACACCGCAATATCGTCGCAAGTCTAGTCTATGACGTGCATTACATTTAATGAGCATTTTGCATTCTTAAGAAATTTCGGTGAAGAAATGAAGAAATGGTGAAGAATGCGGGCCTACCTAATGTATGTGTACTCTGGCTGAAGCTCGGATATTTGATTAGACAGTAAACGTGTTTATCGCATACCCCCATCTTCCGATACCCTCTCTTGTCGCATAATAGCTTGAAGATTGATTTGGAGTGTAACGAGTACCACGACTAGAAAGAAGAAGAGGAAAAAAGGGAAGTGAAATAAAAAGGAGAAGAAGTAGAAGAAGAGAAAGGGAAAGATGGAGAAAAGGAGAAAGATGAGATATGAAATATGAAATATCAAGGACAAGAGAGCAAAGATGAAGGACGAAAGACGGAGAGCAAAGGACAGCAGCGGAGAGTTAATAACGAAAGACAGAATATCCAGGACACAACATAAATATTGGCACAAGAGACAAGACAGAAGTTTAAAAAAGACACAGGGTGAAGGACAGAATATGAAGAATACGGGACAGGGCATGATAGGACAGGACGGCACAGGACAGATAATAAAAGAAGGAAGATAAGAGACAGGGGCAAAAGACACTGTCATTAAAAGGAAGGACGATAGGGGGTATCTGTGTGATGGTACTTATGCAAATAGATAACATTCAAGATAGCTTCTTTACCGTTGTCTAATAAGTCATATAATAAGCAAGTTGATCTGGAAAACCACCTCTACGTGATATAGTCAGGCATTTACGCGGACGTCGGCCAGTTCCGGGGAAACACAAGAGTCTCGAAGAGTCTTAAGTTGATTGTGCCCACAATGTATCACAACCGTAATTCTAAAGTGGCTCCGTTCCCATATGAAACCCATTAGCTGTGCTGCTTGGACTTTGTAATCATCTTTAAATCTTCAATTACTGGTTCATTTCATGACCGCTGGTGCCTCGTCCAACATCAGGGGGATTCAATCATTCTACCAACATTGAACTTATTACGCGAAGTCAAACGAAAGTAGCTTTGTGTCTTGCTTCATTGCTGCTAGGCGCAAAGCTCTGACTTTGTATATGCACAGGTATTTTCATAGAAGTCATAAACACATCATAATCTACTCCATATTAAAGTGTAATTACCTTAGGAATAATTCAAAAAAGTCTTTAGTTATGTAGATAAGAGTATACGTCATGGATTATTGTTGTAGTTTGTAGCTTATAATGAAGGATATTCCATTAGAAAAGGGGTTTGTGTAACTAGATACGAACTATTCAACGTCAAGGCTTCTAAAAGTTAACACCCTCACATTGAAATTACATCCATTTTCTACTTATCTATGTTAATATTAGAGTGTCAATCTTAATAAGGTAATACGTTCGAATTGGAATATAGATATTAACACATACTTAACGGGTCGGCAGATGCATTAAGGTATACGTTAGCCAGGAAGTATCCGTGTTTTTAAAATTAATTTAAAGATAAATGTACCTTACTATGAGCGAAGCCTATCGCCCGCACGATTGGCAAACCGATTTTGAAGAGTATTATTTAGCCGGCGGATTCGTTATTTCCCCAGAGGCTTTGGTCTTAACTAATATCAATACAACAAACATGATAGGCGTACAACGAAGCCAAATCATATGGGCAAACTGAGTAGTAAGTATGTGTAGGAATACTTGAAAATCATCTCAGAGCCAAGTAGTTAGGATTGATGTGGTCGGAGTTCTACTGGGCTTGAGTAGGCAAATATGGCAAGTCATTGAAGTTGCAATTAGTATGAGCTGAGCTTCTCTGTAATTACTAATAAATGTAGGACCCTAATTAATTTCTTGTTTACTTTGAGAATGTGAGAAAACGAGTTCACTCCAGGAGACACCTAGTGAGGTATGTAACATAGAACGACATAGGAATCCGTAGGCAGCCTTAGCTAAACCCATCCGCGGTCCTTAAGTAAGTCCCGATGCTCTTTCTCCTCGAGATCTTTGCGCTGTTTCCGATACCCGAGAGGAGAGGAGAGGGACCATTTTATGAGGTGGGCTGTTGTTATCATATTATTGAAGACTTCTAAGGACATCAGCGCAATACGGCCTAGTATACCCCTCTTAATACCCGTCGGGTCTTTTAGAATAAAGTTACCCTACGTAGTTGAAGTAGCCAAGCTCGGCAACCCGTATCTGGCTCGGTACATTCCGAACCGTGTCTTTCCAAACCAACTGGCTACCCCCAATCAAAAACTGCAAGAAATGCCGCTCTTGCATAGCATTGTTACGACGACACGCATATGGCCTTGGGTAGCAGTGTTTGTATTTTTAGATTCCACGACTTGAGGAATTCGTTCCAGCAGTTCGGGTGTAATGTTCTCTGGGGAAAACATAGTAAGCAGCCTGGCTAAATTGGATCCGGCCAGACAGAACACGCTTCTTTACGGCGTGATACGCAAGTCGGACCGAGTCGGAGTAGGGCCTTTCGGAGTACCATCCAATGCTAGTTAAACGGCCATAGATTCCCTAGGAAGTATTTGGGTTAAGCGCGTCCCTACTCCGCCGATTCAACACTGAACGGATGGGATGAAGCCACAATGGGTGTCACGAGGGACCATAATGTTGGCGCAT